CAGAACTGACTTGAGAAATCTAGGAGGTAATACATCCAGGCTGCATGTGGAGGAACTCAGACTAGTGATTATCTCCTGGACAGTTTCAATTTGTACTGGTGTAAAGTGCGTCAGCCCAAAAAGCCTCACTGGCGGTTGGATTATTATTTCTATCGTGGAGGTGATGGCGTTTTTGATACCTTGGACTTTGTCATTAAAGAACTGAGCAAACTCATTACATTTAGATTTGGAAGTAAGTTCTGATGGCATCTTAACAGGGGGATTCATCAATCTATTTACTGTTGAAAACAGAACACGTAGATTGTTGCTACAGCCTTCAATAGTTTCAGAAAAGTACATTTCCCTCGTTCTACGTAGTTCCCTGTTAAAATTGCACAACGCATCTTTGAAGATCTCATGGTCAACTTTGAGATTTGACTTTCGCCACTTCCGCTCGGCCTTCCGGCACTCTCTCTTCTGTGCCCTGACCGAGTCTGCTTTAGTCCATGGCGCTTTTTGCTTGTTTGTAACTATTTTAACCTTTACAGGAGCAATTGTATCCAGAACATTCAAAACAGTGGTGGTGACAGAGTCAAGTAATTCATCTACAGTAACTCAAAGTTCTCAAAGTTTACCCTCCCCATGAACAGTTCGCCTGTATTATCATTTATGTGTCTTCTTCTAACAACCGAAGATTCAGCTGGTGGTTTACAATCGAGACACATGTCAAAAAATGATCAGACAGAGCAACATTGACCACATTTACATTTGAAATATTAACCCCCTTGGTAATTAACAGATCGAGAGTGTGTCCTCTGCTGTGGGTGGGGCCACTCACATGCTGAGTGAGACCAAAGGTTTCCAGCACAGAGCTCAGCTCTGTGCTGCTCAAATATGTGAAATGAGCCAGACATACATGCATATAAAAAGTAGTGACAGAACCAAACTGTTTTGAGAGTGTGGAACTAGCAAGATATAGTTGATATGTATTAGTGGTGGTTTTGAAACTAACCAAGCTTTAAACAGACGGCTGTTATTGTAGCTCTGTGCGGGTGAAACCGGGTGAAACCGGGTCAAACCACAGGCACCGGTAGTTTACAAACTCCATCTCTTTGGTTGATGGAGAGAACTGACATTTTTTGCCCTCAGGAGAGATCAGCTTCAGTGACACGCAGCAAGACCAGGCCTGAAAAATCCCATTTGGAAATACGTTTTGGTATATTGATTGTAATATTTAATTTAGTCGCTAACAACAAACTGACTCTAGTGCAGGGGTCTCTATCCTGTAGCTCGGGAGCCACCAGTAGCTCGCCAAAGGATTTAGAAAAGAACTAAATATCTTAATGTCTCTAAATGACTGTACCCAATATCAATCTCGCTCTCACCAAAATATCACATAATTTTACCAAGCACCACTTAAAGGAGTAGCTCTCTTGTCTTTTTCGTCTCAGGAAAGTAGCTCTCTGGGTGAAAAAGGTTGGAGACACCTGCTCTAGTGGCATTGATGGGTCAAATGCAGAGGACAATAAAGTATGCCTTAAAGCTGGGTCACTGGTTTATTGTTAAAAAATCACCATATTTGTTTCATTACAGGGTCTTTGTGATAAAAAATCGGTCAAAATGCTGTGTTCACCTTACTAGAAAACATGTTAATATTTGCATACTTCGAGAAAGAGCCCTGCGAGTCAAAACATGACGCTTAAGGCTGAGAGCTGATTGGCTGAGTGAGGGTGGTCCTCTCTTTCCTGTCTTAGAAAATGGATCTAAAGATGAGAGAAAGGCTAACATATATATATACATTCATATGAACACTAGTGAAAGAACCAAACTGCTAGCTCATTTTTGTGTGGTTTGAAAGTTACATACCTCAGCTTTAACCTACACCTCATACAATGTTATGTTTATTAATGATAATTTGTTGTTCTGTTTATAGGATTCATCGCGTGCCGTGTCACTAGGTTTGTGGATGGAAGAGATGATTTTCAACTTGGCCGACTCTAGACTCTTCTTCAATGACTTGGAGGTACATAAAAATAATTTACTTTTTTCTTGTATAGTCGGAAATCACAACAGTAGTCAGTTGATAATCCGCTAACCATTCGGTCTATGTATACACAATTGAAAAAGTAAAAACCTTTATTTTATTTTTTTCCCTTTTTTATTTTTTATTTTATCTAATTTTTTTTATTTTTTATTATTTGCTACTATTATTATTGTAATTAATATTAATATTATTATTTTTATTGTATCTAATCTTTCCTTTGCATTACAATTGTTGCCATGTTTTTGAATTTTAATTTTAATTCGAAAGGCAAAAACTCAGAAATAATGCATGAAAAAAAGAAAGAAAAAAACATTTTAACAAGATCTAAGAATGGATTTACAAAAGCTTTAAATCAATACAAAATCCTGCATGTGTCATTCTTCTTCTCACATTGACAACAAGTAAATATATAGACAAAGCACACTCATAGCAGGAACAGACGGGTTTTCATCTCTTCCTTGAGCTCAGTAAATCTCTGTAATCGGTCTCTCAGGACTCCTGCGTCTGCTTTTACATACTGCTGTCAATAGTATTTGAGCTATAGCCACTCAAATGACACACGCGGGTTATGGATAAAGGCAACATTTACTTATTTACTCACTTAAGACGATTGGTCCTCCCAAATGTCAATCATTCTGGGGACATGTGCTTGTCAAATAAGACTAGAGGGTTTGGTTCAAAGAGTGGAGAGGGCGGTTCTTTCCTAATATTTGGGAAAATCCTCCTATTTACTGTTATTATTCTACATTTTCTAAAACAGGAAGACAAAATAAATAGTATCATTATCATTTGTATTATGTTCACGCCTTGAAGAAAGCAATGAACATTTTTTTGTTTCATTTTCTAAGATGTAGGAGCACTAATAACATGTTTGTTTGTTGTTTAATTGATACGTCTTTACCAAAAGGTTGAGATGCAGTTTGTTGGTAAAAGTGCCTAAAACCAAGTGATATAGATTCCCCAATTAGGTATTTTCAGTTCCAAGCTTCAAATAGATTTAGTGACTCAAACAGTCATTCACCAAATGGTTCAGGAAACTATTAAAGGGTGAACGACCAAAAATAATGCATTGTGTTCCTCTTTAATGTGTTTTATGCAGGTTTTGTTGCTGATTAGTTGCACAGTTGCATGTATAGTTGCACATTGATTCTCAGGAATAAGATAGTGAGGCTTTGAGCTTTGACTCTAGGAACCTTTAGGAAGCAATACTCGGAATAAATGAAATGAAATGAGTACAATGGTCAGCGCTCTTTCCTCTTTGGTATGAAAACATTTTGAATTCTTTTGCAATATCATTCCGTTACTGGGCCTCAATATCCAGCAGACAAAACCAGTGCCAACCGAGCATGTAATTTTTGATCCAGTGTTGAGTAAAGTCCCAGTGGGGCGATCTGTGCATGAAGCATCTGTGGGAATAGAGAAATGTGCTCCGAGCTCGGGGATGAGGTAGTGTCTCCATCTGCTGCAGAAACTCGATCTGAGTCTGTCTCTCTGGGGTCACCGCATGACAACGATGACAAAGAGGAGTGTGTCTGAAATATCAATAGTCTACAACGAAACTACTACAGTTAGCTACGCAACGTACCAAGAGGGAGTTGGCTGGTAAATGAATGAATGTTTTTATTTGGACATTTGAGATGAGAAAAACAAATGAAAAACAATTGGGCGACAGTGGCTCAGTTGGCAGAGCATTGGCCCACCATAAGACCTACTTCACGACTCCCACTGATGACTGCTGTCGTTGTGTCCTTGGGCAAGACACTTAACCCCACTTTGCCTGAAGCCCCTGCTGAATAATCAAGGCTCCTGTGGACTCAGCACCTGCAGGAGGATCAGTGCGGGGCTGGTGCTTTGTGTACTGGGTGCAGCTCTGACTGCCACCCCCGACCCAGAAATGGATAAAGGGGAAGAAAATGGATGGATGGAAAAACAAAACAAATGCGATGTATTTGTACATTGATTATGTGAAATAAATAAACAATCGATGTCCAAAATAGGAGTGGGAAAAATGTAAAAAAAACTTGTGTAATCCCATCCCTACTTACAACTCTGATTTTACAAAATAAATGATATCTTCCTTCACCATTTGCAACCTAGTGCTTGGAAGTTTTTAACGTGCTCGACAAACATATTTATCAAAAATAATGACTTTTTATCTTTTTTTTAGCTAGAATATTGTTTGACATTTTTTTATTCCATTTTTTTACTCCACTGACACACTAAAGCTTTTTAACGTCGTGCGGACCTTTTTAAATTGGAAAAAAAGCAATCCTCTTAAATTCTAGTTTGTGTCCCTTTCAACAAACATTTTCTGGATGTGTGCAGCTGTTTATTTCTAGCTCTGAACAGAATTTGAAGTGTTTCCAAATCACTCAGGTCATAATTCTTTGTTATTTTTGACTGAATGAAAAGGGTTTCATCTAATGGTGCGATGGTCATTACTTTGTGTACCCTTAAAAACACTTATGTCTTTTTGTTTGTGTTTAGAAATGTATAACTTTCTTGAGAATAAATTGCAATCCAAATTATTCTAAGTCAAATTAGAAGTATTTTTATAATTTTCAAATATGTATGTTTTGTCCCAATAGTCCCAAGATTCTTATGAAAAAATATGTGTATCTTTTTGTGGAAACTCTGTGAGTCACTTTTGATTTTTGATTTTTTTTGGGCTGATAGCTGATTAAAAGTAGCCCCTTTATTTCTTTCATTTTTTTTATGTCTGAAAAACCTGGCCGAGAGTACGTTCATGAAATTGTAACCCTGAGATAGCACCAAACCACTGTGAGTGCGGAACTAGATAGATTTTTTTGAACATTGTATTAATCCTAATAATAATAAACTAACTTCATGACTCCAATGTGGATTATCCCAAACTCAAATCTTCCTTTATAGATCTCTCTCTGTTTACTCGCTGAGACTTACTGAATTTCTTTCCGTACATCTGTTCACCTTTAATTATTTATTCCCCCTCTTGCAGGAATGTGACCAGGTTCACATCGACGACGTGGCTTCAGACGACAACGGACAGGACCTGAGGTGATTTTTATTTCTATCCCACCCTAAGCCACTTCTCCTGTGTCTCATGAACCAGACTTGCCCTCTTGGAGTTGTAAAAAAAAAAAAAAATGGAGAGATGCATAGTGGTTTTATTTGCGCGGTTGTGTTGGAACATGTACCTCTTCTATTGTACTTCCACAAGCGTATTGTGTGTCCCCCGGATTAGCCACCCCTCTCAGATCGCATCAAAATGTCTCTTTATCATTCTCCCACAGCCCAGACGTTTTACAGCACAAACCTATCCAAGCGTTTAGGACTCTTTCTCTTCAAAGGGCTAAAAAACCAGACTTATTTTTTTTTATACTACATTTTCTCGGTTGAGTTATTGTACGTTTGCCCTTTTCATTGGTCATATGTTTTTATATTAACTCTTCATTCTGCTCCTGGGCTCAACGCAGACTTAAGCATTACGATTTATTGACAAGTCATTATTCACAGCTTCTCAGAATATGAATTTTACTGCTCCCTGACATGTTTGTGGTAGAAGCAATCATTTTTAAATATGGGATAATGTTACGGTTTACAGCCATGTCTGGGATCACAGCGTTAGTTTGACTTATGCCTACAGATATTAAGGGTTAGATAATATTCAAAGCAGATTAGATTCTGGAACTCACTATATCAGGAGTTCTCATTTGTTATTCTCGTTTTGAATATGCATCATTCAAGAGTCAATCAAAATGTCTGAGGTCCTGGACAATAGAAAAAAATGTGTTTTAATAAGACAGCAGAGATTATATAGAAAAGTAGCTATCTATCTATCTCTCTATCTATTTGTCTATCTGTAGTATCTTAGTACAATTACTTTTAAATAACATTGCAGTAGATGTCCTAGAAATTGGAATATTTTTAATAATCAGGACAAAATCTCATATAATGCACTATATATTTGTTTCTTCTTTTTTTGTAAGAATAGACAACAAAACTTCAATACATCAAAATGAACATGTGTTGTGTGAAAATCTGAAATATACTAAAGAATGTTCTTCAATTTGATATTTGAATAACTGCTGTCTTTAAAAGAAAAAAAAAGATTAACACAGATTTTGTGTAGTATGTGAGGAGAAATCTCTTGTTTGTCGCTTGTAGAAAACTGAGCACTTAAATTAAAATGTTACTAATAAGTAAAAGTATAATTACACTTTCTTATTTATGAGTAACTTCTAGAAGTACAATATACTGTAATAACATCTGATGCTGATTGTGTTTTTTAACCTGGGTGCAGCACGTATAACTTTGGGTCAGACGGCTTCCAGACTCCAGCGGGGGCCGGGTCGCTCTGCCTGGGGTCCGGGGTCCATGGAGGAGTGGACTGGATGAGGAAACTGGCCTTCAGGTACCGGAGGGTCAAGGAGATCTACAACACCTACAAGAATAACGTGGGAGGTGAGAACAGCGTTTTGTTTAGTCAAAATTGAGATTTTTCTGTCAAATATTGTGATTGTGTTTGGTTTGTCTTGTCAATGGTAAGATAATGGCCAAAGTTCACATTCTTAACTATTTGACTAAAAATAGTTGTTTTGTTGTTCAAAAAAGGATTGACACATGAATACCAATATGTGAATGTGGGCACCAAATGTCATGTGTTCCACAAAGGACACAGTCTCATCAAATATTTACTTGGAGTTTTTTGCTCCATCCACACTAATGAGAGCTTTTTATGAATCAATTGGCACAAATGTTTAAATTAGTTTAAAATAATGACAATTCCCCCATTTAAATTTGATGTGATTAAAAAGCTACACAAATGTTTAAGTGAATGTCCACAAGTTCAAGTTATTTATCATTTTTCAAAGAATACGTACAACCAGCGAGGTCTGTCCCATTGACTGTAAATATTAACAAATGTAGTCACGCTGTATCTCCGCCATTGAAGCAAATGTGCCATCATTTTTGCCTTTTATGGGCTTTTTCAAAATGGCCACAGGGCAGGAAAATGTGGGGGGAAAAAAGCTCAAGTCCACAGCGACTAAACTAAACTGGTCCAAAAAAAAAAGTAGTCCCCTGATCATTGACAGCATCTTTGGGCCAAGAGCCACTTTTGGACCATCCTGTAAACCCGTTTTCAAGAGGGAAGGAGACACCATACGAAAGCATTGGGTAATTCTCTTTCCGGGTACACCCCCACCGGTCCAGAGTGAGATTCTGGAGCTGAGACCCGCCCCCACTGGTCTGTCCTATAATGTTTGCCACAGTCTCCACTATTCGAATACATCAGAGACTCATTTGAATGAATGAATGAATGAATGAATGAATGAATGAATGAATGGTTTATTTTGGTTGAGGCATTTAAATTTACAAACACTAACAACAAAACAAAAATATTCAACCAAAAAAGGAATAGGCTGAAGCAATGCTTATTTATGCCTATCCTTGTTCAAACCACATAACTGATGCTAAAAACAGCTTATCACACTAATGATATACTTTATCAAATAACAAAAAAATAAAGAACAACTATTTGGTGACTTACAGACAGAATAATGAATATGTACACATGCACATCTCCATTTCATTTCATACAAGCTTGAGGTAATCACTCAAATGCTTCTGTTTAATCATTCTTCTAAATCCAATTAAAGAAATACATAGTTTAAATTCATCTTTTAGTCCATTCCATAGCTTAACACCCTCAACTGAAACACATCTAGACTTCACAACGGAGCTCACTTTAACATTTTCAAAAATAAATAGACCTCTTAGGTTATAACAACTTTCCCTTAATTTAAAGAAACTCTTAATAGGCTTAGGAATGTTATTGTTTTTAACCCTGTGAACAATTTCTAACACTTTGATGTTGACAATATCCATTAATTTTAGAGTTTTATTTTGAATAAATAAATTATTGGTTGGTTCACAATAACCAACCTCATTTACAATCCTTATAGCCCTTTTTTGCAATTTAAATAAAGAATCTATACATGTCTTGCCAGCGTTCCCCCATATCTCTACACAATATGACAGATGGGACATAACTAAAGAACTATATATCAAAAACAATCCTTTTTTATTCAATAAATTCCTTGTTTTATACAATATTGCGATTGACCTTGACACCTTATGCTTGACATATTCAATGTGCGGTTTCCAACAAAGTTTGTGATCTAGGATTACTCCAAGGAATTTGGCTTCAAAAACTCTTTCAATTTCCACTCCATTTAAATGTAATTTTACACCATCAGTTTTTTTGTTACCTGCAAATATCATAAATTTTGTCTTGTTTTCATTTAAAGATAGCTTGTTATAATCAAACCACTTTTTGATCAAAACAAATTCAGTTTCTACTAATTGCAATAATTCATTCAGTTTCTTTCCAGTACAAAAAAAGTTAGTATCATCAGCAAACATGATGGATTTAAACATGGGTGATACGGTGAAAATATCATTTAGATATAGTATAAACAATTTTGGTCCCAGGACCGAGCCTTGGGGCACTCCGCAAGTAACTTTTTCGAACTGTGAATCCACATCATCAATTTTTACATATTGATATCTGTTGTTAAGATAGCTTTGCAGCCATTGATTTGTTTTACCACGAAGGCCATAATATTCACACTTTTTCAACAATTGTGCATGGTCAATTGTATCAAATGCTTTACTCAAATCAACAAATACACCCACTGTATAGAGCTTTTGATCAACAGCTGTCGCAACATGTTCTACAAGTTCCATCACTGCTAGGGATGTTGAATGATTGCTTCTAAAGCCATATTGATGGTCATTCAATAAATCATATTTGTTGATAAAAACATCAAGTCTAATTTCAAACAATTTCTCTAATATTTTTGAGAATTGTGGCAACAGTGAAATTGGTCTATAATTAGATAAAAGTTGTTTATTTCCACTTTTGTAAATTGGAATCACTTTAGCCATTTTCATTTGATCAGGAACAATACCAGTTGAAAAAGATTTGTTGCAAATATAGGTTAAAGGCTCAACAATACAGTGGATGACATCTTTGATGAGCGACATATCAATACCATGACAATCTGTGGAATTCTTACTTTTAAATTGATATACTGCTTCTAAAACATCACTTTGACATACGCCATTTAGGAACATTGTGTTGCTATTTGAAGTAGGAAACTCAATATTTCCAACAGTAGGTAACTGATTGGCTAATTTAGGACCTACTGTAACAAAAAATTGATTGAAAGCATTTGTAATTTCTTTTTTGTCTTCAATTGTTGTATTTGCATTTTTAATACTTGTAGGTAAAATCATCTCTTTTTTGTTTTCTATTACTTTATTGATTACCATCCATGTGGCCTTAATATCCTTTTTATATTTCTGTAGTAAGTTAACATAATAATCTTGTTTGCTTCTTCTTATTATAACTGTTAATTTATTTTTATATTCTTTGTACAGTTTCTCTTTTTCTTTTGTAGGATTTTTCATAAACTCTTTATATAATTTATTCTTCTTTTTACAAGCCTTCTCCAAACTTTTTAACATCCACGGTTTAGATCCTTTTTTACATTTTTGCTTATATCGTTTTGGAGGGCAATGCTTATTATAAATATTAAGAAATATTTCTAAGAATGCATTATAGGAATCATTAACATTTCCAAAATAGATTCCTTGCCAGTCATAATTTAAGAGCTCAAATTTCAAGGCTTCAATAGCAATAGGTGTTTTGTGTCTGTGAACAATATCGAACAAATATTGAGGTGTTTTATTGTAATGAAACATTTCCATCACAACAAAAACAGGCAAGTGATCAGTAATATCTGTTAACAAGAGTCCACTTTTTGTCTTTATACCAGTTTGATTTAAGAATATATTATCAATCAATGTACAACTATCTTTTGTTATCCTGCTTGGCCTCAATATTAGCGGGTAGAAGCTCAAACTAAACATTGTATTAATGAATTCTGTAGTTTGTGAGTGCTCATTGGACTTTAACAAATCAATGTTAAAGTCACCACAAATCAAAGTCAACTTGTTAACCTTTTGCTCAAACAACTCAGAAATCCTTTTATTAAACTGATCTATACAAGAACCAGGAGAGCGATAAATACAAGTTATTATTATGTTTTTTGTTGTTCTGGCTTTAATTTCAATAGTTAAGCACTCCATCAGGTTCTCAATAGAAAAAGTCATATTTTCGATTACCCTGCATTCTAAGCCCGTTCTAACAAACAGAGCAACCCCACCCCCTCTTTTATAGAGTCTGTTCTGTGAAAACATTTCATAGCCGTCTAATTTGTCCAAAAATACTTTTCCGTCCTTTATCCAAGTCTCTGAGACTGCAACTACAGAAAAGTCATCAAACTTTTGTAAATGGTCCTTAATTTTGGAAAAGTTTCTATAAAGACTCCGGCTATTGAAATGTATGAGTGAGAATCCCTGCATACTCATGTTAAAGTCCTCCTCTGTATAATATTCACAGTCCAACTCAGTGCTACTGCAGAGATGAGTCTCTGGATCAATATCATTTCCTCTATCATTAGATTTATATTCTTTGTCATCAAAACTTTTAAAGTAATTGTTTTTTTCCTGTTTCTATGCAATACTTTTTATCCATAAATGACAAGAAACAAAATACTAATCAAGTCAAAAACTTGGGAGAAAGAATACCTTTGCCTTTTCCCCTTGTTACTATAAGTTTCAATTTCATTTGTACTTCTCCAGCTCCGAGACATGTTTGATTGTCACAACTTTGGCCTGCTCTGGTGGCCCGTTGAGTTTGATCATTATTTTGCAGTTTCTCGTCCATGTATCCTGTATTTTTCTTTTCTTCTTCAACCATTCTTGCTTGCCAAGCAATTTCAGCATTCCTCTTCGTAAGATGTTCGTTAACATATACACCAGTACCCTTAAGCTTTCTTGCAACCTTTAGCAACTCAATTTTGTGTTTTCTATTTGCAAATCGAATGATTATACTTGGTTTTTTTGACTGTTTTTGAGGAATTGTGTGACATGCTGCTATTGTTGTACTGTCAATAGTGATCCCATTTCTATTGAAAAACTGAGTTACTTGTTGTTCAAGTGTCAGCAGTTCACCTGGTGGTGCGTCCTCTCCTTCATTGACATTAGCAGCGGCCCGTGCATATGTGCGATGTGTAGTCTCCAGTCCAGAAATCACCACATCCTCCATTCTTGTGTATTGTTCCAGCTGGTCCACTCTGTTTTCCAGCTCTTCGATCTTCTTGTCTTTCTCTTTAATCACTTCTTTCAGATTATGTACTTCCTCGATCAGTTTCAGTAAATCATTCTGTTGTGTCACCACTTTAGTCAGCTCACCTGACATAAAGTTTAGTGACTTCTTAACTTCTTCCATATCATTTGCCATAGTATTAGCCATTGAAGTGGTGGTAGGGGCCTCCTGGTGATCCAGTAGGCCTTTGTCAAGCACAGACCATAAAACTTGCTAAAAATGAAGATAATAGCAAAAATGATCCAGTGCCATGAAGCATTACTTCAGTGCATATCTGAGGACTTTAGGCAAATAGTTGGATGTCGATATCTCTTTGTGATATTTGTTAGATTGGCATAAGCTGTTCAGCACAAACATCAGCCGGCAGCCATCTTCTCCGGGGCTCCCGGACGAGACGAGATCTAATGTGATTACTCGCCCCAGTTTTTATTTTTTAGTTTCACTTTAAGTTTAAATGCTGTGTGGTTGCCAGGGTTACTGGGCAGCCCCAAGAGGGAGGAGTGGCTTCAGCTGCGGAGAGAGATGGAGGTGCTGACCGACCTGTGGCTCACACAAGCACTCAAGGCTCTGGCCCTCATCAACTCCAGGTAACTATAATCATTGTGTATATCTGTCACACAAAATGATAAACAAATATGTATTTAAGATTAAAATTAGGAACTCAACAATTTAATTTTAAGTTAAAACAGAACAGTTGTAGTTCCCTTTCCCACCACCATCACACGTGTTTTCGCCACACAGACATGACCAGAAGTTCTATAACTTAAATCTGCAGTAAAGGATTCAGGTTAGCTTAGCAGTAAGTAAGTAAGTAAGTAATCTTTATTTATATACCTTTATATACCTTTCACAGACCGCAGTCACAAAGCGGTTTACATTTGTTATTTATGGGCATTTGTCTCTCTCTCCACACCATGCCAGACCTATTGTACATGTTTTTAGTGGTAGGGGAAACCGGAGTACCCGGAGGAAACCTGCGCAGACACGGGGAGAACATGCAAACTCAACTCAGAAAGGCTCTGGTCCGACCAGGATTCGAACCCAGGACCTTCTTGCTGAGAGTGCTATCCACTCAGCCACTCAGTAGCATCCGAGTAGCATCGTCTCAAAACCATTTCTGTAATAACGCAGTCTGTGACGAAGCCTGAGAAAGTATTGCACTACTTGAGGGCCCAAGTCTGTGAGCGATTAGCCTGCCATACATGACAAGTGCTAGCGTCCCCTAACAAACTAGCAATTAGCTAAACTTGACTGCCGTTGTATTACATAACCCTGGAGTCTTCTTAATACAACGCCTTTTCCTCATCAGATTTTCTCTTCCTTGCCACAACAAGGCGAGTGGCAAACGTGAAATTGGCACTTTGGGGGTTTTTGGTTCAGTCATTGTAGATGTTTTAGAAAATCTGAGTCAATAACAACTCAGACAGGTGCACGGACGAAAAGCAGGAGGGGGGTGAACGCATCCCATTTCTGTTTATCCGTCCACTCCAAATATTTTTTGAGGATACAGGCGTCTGGTCGTGTCCATTCCTATTTGAATACACATCTTAACTTGACTACTTTTGAGGTTAGGGACGTTTCCCCACAGTATTTTAAAAATTGTGTGTGGATAAATCATTGACTGCTTCTTTAAATGCCACAATAATGGACCAAATACAAAACATGTTTAAGTTTAAGTTTATTAAGGAAAGCCCCTTGAGATGAATCATCTCATTTTCGAGGGGGTCCTAAACATAAATACAAACATATAAACAAACACACATACACAAAAAGCAATTTACAACGAATTAAAGATAGATGAGAAAAGTTAATTAAACACACACAAAGACAAACAAAACAAACAACAACAAAATATAACAAAACAAATGCTCCATCGCACCCCACTCCTCCCCTCTGCTGAAATTAAACATATAGGAAAGAGAAAAAAATAAAAAATAAAAATAAGTAAAACTATTAACAATAATGACACAGAACATTAGTGACATACACAAGGAGTTTCAAGAAACCTAATTAATTCAAACTTAAATAAACCAACAGACAGAATGGACCGTATGGATGTGGGGAGTTTATTCCAGTCTGATGGAGCCTTATATTGAAATGATCTGCGTCCAACTTCTTTAAAAACTCTTGGAAAGGAAAAGGTGAGACAATCAGAGCTTCGGAGTGAAAAAGGGGGAGAGAAGGGGACAAAAAACTGTTTTAAATACTGCGGACAACTAAAATGAATACATTTAAATAATAAGTGCATCCAGTGAAGGTGACGTCTGTTGTGAGGTTGTACAATATTTCTTTCTTAATCTTCCAAAACCAATTATCTGTTTTTTTAATATAATGTATTTTGTGTTTCAGGCCAAACTGTGTGAATGTTTTGGTGACCACGACTCAACTCATCCCCGCCCTGTCAAAAGTCTTACTGTACGGCTTAGGTTCTGCGTTTCCCATCGAGAATATTTATAGCGCCACCAAGACGGGTAATTACATCCTCATTGTATTCATCTATTTATTATCTATCTGTTTAATTTACTATGTGAGTTGGATAAGAAGCGAATTGTTATCGACTTGGCGCACTTTTTGCCTCATTAAGAGATCTTTTATTTGTCCCAGGTTGGGAAAATGTATGCGTTGCCTCTCCATTTACAGAAGAGATTAATTTTATTTGCCATTTGCAGTAAAACCACATTGGAATACATGCGCAAAAATCCCCAGTGTGCGCAAGATAAATATAGAAATAAAACAAGGTTAAAAGTGCAGACATAAAACGAACAAAACAGGAAATGATTGTCACTGTTAATGCAAAAAATAATCATGAATAAAATAACAATCTCTAACTCTAGCATAACAAGAAGTATAAAGAGATATACACTATAGCAGTATGTTAGCGTCTGTACATGTTAGCAGCAGTATGTTTACATCTGTACATGTTAGCAGCAGTATGTTAGCATCTGTACATGTCAGCAGCAGTGACACATGTGGTTGTATATTGCACATTCAGACATTATAGACTAAGAATACATACTCAAAGACATAAAATCCATACTCTCCTCTGATTGGCCAGGTAAGGAGAGCTGTTTCGAGCGTATATCTCAGCGGTTTGGGAGGAGGGCGGTGTACGTGGTCATTGGAGACGGCGCGGAAGAAGAGGCCGTGGCCAAAAAGGTACGTCTCAATCTTGTGCTCACGACAACCGGAGAATTGACCTCGACCAATCCGTTAACCTCGTGCAATATCCTTTCGATCCGCTTCGGCGCAATATCCTCCTACGGACAATCGCATCATCAGCACACGCTAGATCCTGTTTTTTACGTGCGTGGAAACTCAAACAAATTCCACATCTGTGCTTTATGGCTTGTGTTTTTTTTTTTTTTTTTTACTTTCAAGACTTTTTAATGCTTTGAAGGGTCTCTTTTGTGTTTTGCTCTGTTTGCTTTGTGTTTCTGTATCTAATTATTTTGACCTTGCATTATGACTGTTTTTATTGTTTATCATGCTGACTGTTTTTAAAAGTGCTATACAAATAAAGATTATTATTATTATTATTATTATTAGAAACGGTGTAGATGTATCCAAGTTTTCTTTTTGTCTGTTTATTTTTTCAGTTAAGGACAATGCACATCGAGACAGACAAACAACAGAATAAGAAGCATAAAAAAATCAGACAAAACAAAGATTTTGTTCACGTTCACGCAAAAAACTTTCTTTCATGCCACCGTTTTTGGGGCTTTTCTTTTTCTGTTTCAAATGAGCATTCTTCTAAACTGTGACAATGCGTGACATAATTTCTAAATATTGCAGTATATCAAGATCTTTCGTTACTAGATTTAAATATGAAGCGTTTCCTTTACGAGAAACAATCAATAAAAAAAATTACAATCACTTTAAATGTTATGTCTCCAAAAACCCTAATAATATTTACATACTTATAATACTTTAGAAATGAAAACACAAAATCCTGCCACCTAAAAGAGTTTGTTTGGTGTTACTATTGTGTTAATATTGTGAAAAAAGTTCTATTCATTTTTTTAATCTTTATTATCCACACAGTATTTTCTACTTTGACTTTTTTGAATGTAATTTTTCATCAGAGCTCCTCAAACTTTAATTTCAAGGAAAACTTTCTCCCAAACGTGAGCAGCGGTCTGGACACGCCTGCTCTAAATATCGAATCATATTGTTTTAATACTGTAGTTTTAGAGTTCATGTTTCAAACTCTCAAAAGTACGGGAGAGTAATTCTAACTCAGAAATGTGAAGTCTGCTTCTCAATGAAATGTGTATTTAATGACAGATATTTAGTGATTTTGAGTTACATGACCAACTTTACTCACCATGACTATTAGAGTTTTCTTATACTTCTCGAATGGATGTCTTAGGTTTTCATTTTTATTATAACTTTTTCAACTAATTATTTATTTTGCTACTTTTTCTGCACTGTTAAATGTCTAAAGCTTGTACTTATTTAATCAAATTGTATTAATATATTTATGCATGCCTATATCTATATCTTTTTTCATAACTTGAGTCAAAGCAATCTGTTTTTGACCTCCTGTTACTTACAATGGAAATGAAATTAATTCTGATTCTATGTTGATGTTTGCAAAAATAAAGCTTACCTTAATCACTCCGATAGTTTGTAAATAACATATATAAAATTAGTGTATTGCTTGTCCTTTCTAAATATTCCTTTTTGTGGTTTTCTAGAAGAACATGCCTTTCTGGAGAGTGTCCTGTCGGGCAGATCTGGAGGCGCTGAGCCATGCACTAGAGCTGGACTACCTCTAGGGGGCGCTACATGTTCACACTTTTCTGTGGGCAGCTCGTGGGAACACGCCACTACAGACTCTCCAGCCACAAAGACTTGACGCTCCTCCCGCGTGGCCTGGTGCAAAGGATGCTGGGGGATTTTTGGATGCAATGTTCTCCAATAATTGTCATCTGGAATTTGAAGCTACAGCGGTTTGGAGCAAATCTACAAAGAGCCAGAGCTTTAAAAGTGAAATCCTTAAAAATTGTATTATAGTTTTCATGTTTTAGCTTGTTTGTACATAACAGATTAATGCACTGAATTCAACATTGGCCGGTAATTATTAAAATGACAATAGAAAACTGGTTCAGAGTTTTACGAAATCAAACTAATTTACTGCATGATGACTGTGATTTCATCGTGAAAACATCACGATGAACATAGCCACTTTTACGTTCCTGTAGTTGAAGGCTACTAAACTAAAATACTCTTCTATGATAATGTGACCTATTTATTATTGAATTTATAGAAAATTTCCAAAGACAACAAAACAATTCTTTTGTAAGTGTCATAAATGCTGAACTTGGGCCGGGGCTGGAATACGTGGGTTTGTTTGTTTGGATTTTCTTGGTTAAGTTTCACCGGTTTTGTCAGTGAGTGCATGAGCTGAGTCCACGCCATGATCTGTATATAATGCTTTACTGTTGATTTATTTTTAGATGAATACAAATAAATTAAATGCATTGTGGGGAAAATGAGTCTCATTTGTGTGTTGAGGGATTTTCTTTTCTCTCCTTACACTGCCGTTATTAACATGAATGTATAGTTTATGACCCAACAGCGCCCTCTCGTGGTGAAAATATAAACTAGCACTATGCTCAAATCTTCCATTCAGGGACAACCACAAAATAGAACAAATTCACTTCTTAAAATATAATATAGTAGTCTGTGGTCAAAGATGAATGCGAAAGCCAGATCCCATAAGACCTTCAAAGCTGTACAGGGCAGGGCTTGGTTAGTACTGTGATGGGAGACCTCTGGAAATGTTGACGCGGCTGTAAAAGTGCCAAACTACAAAACATTTCACCTATTTCAGAATGAGTCTTGTGTGTGTGCGTGTGCGTGTGCGTGTGCGTGTGCGTGCGTGTGCGTGTGTGTGTGAATGGTTGGAGGTGGTCGGAGGGGCAGAGACTGGTTGCCTCGCTTCTGTCAGTGTGTCCCAGGGCAGCTGTGGCTTCAGTAGAATTTATCACCACCGTGTTGGGAGTGAGAGATTATGGAGCGTCTTTGAGTGTGCTAAAAAGTGCTATAAAACCGATAAATTATTATCATTTTTATTATTAATAATTTTCAGCATGGCATTTCCATTGCTGTTTTTGATTAGGTCAATGATTGTGCTATTTAGATAAATTAATTTCAATTAATTAGTTGATTTCTTTTTAAGTGCAATTGGAAAAAACAGATAAGTGCTATCAGAAAAAAATATTTGAATGGCTTAAAATGTGACCCTTTCGTGAGAAAAGTTTTTCTAACGCAGCGTCAATAACAAAACATGAAGATGGCTTGAGGAATCTGTTATATATTTTTTTTTTTTACAGATTGAACAATTCAATTGTATTTAGTGTCAAACAATCTGGGAAATACAGATTTATTTATTTTTTATCTTTAAATAACTTTACTTTAAGACCAATGCATTACAAACAAAAGAGGAAAACTTAAAGAGCAATACTGTTTTAATCGTGTAGAAAAGCTCGATCAGTTTCAAGTGGATTTCAGGCGACGGTTCATACATCATAAATATTACTCACAGATCACACACAACATGAATATTAAATACTTAGATATATAGAAATAAGATAAATATATTCACAGTAATTACAGGTAGTATGGAAAGCAGTCTTGAAAGCAAAATAATTCACACGTAAAAAAGAAGAGGAGAGTTAGCTGCGCGCCACAACGAGCATCTTGAAGCCTTTGACGGAGCACCTGACGTCGGAGAGCATCAGGTTGACGTGTAACATCTTGGTTCCAACCATTCGGGGAGTAAACGTGATGGTCTGCTCCACTTTCCCTCCAGCTTTTAGAGGAGGCATCCTACGGCAACCACAGAGAGAGAAAGTTATAACACGTGGGTTTATGGGATGGGAATGGGAATGCCAGGAGCGACAGTGGCTCAGCTCTGACTGCCCCACTTCTTTCTTGAATAATTGCAGAACATATTTTACCTATATAAACATTTATTGAGGTTGTGGTTTTAAATATTTTGAAATTTACCTTTATAAGTAGTGTAAATAAACATTAGGACACTCCACATTCAAAGACATGTATCAACATTTATGGACGTTGGTCTCTGCCCCTTATGGACCAATGGCTCTATGTGTTTTTTATCATTGCATTTATGGTACTTGAACTGCTTGATTCTCTGATTTGTGTTGGTGAATCGAAAACTTTGGGGCTATCGGGGCTAAATTGAATAAAATTTCAGGCACAAGTTACATATAAAATTTAAAATCAAATTGAAGGTTGGAATTTTCAAAAACATTTCTTTATGTCTTTATGTGATCATTCTATGGGCTTCTGTCTATTATTTTAACATTATTTCTGCATAATCATACAAAAAATGAATAATTATTACAACAATAACTATGTAGCGTCTGATGACTAAAGGTATATAAGAGGATTTTCTGCATCCAGGTGGATCATCAAGACTCCCAACTGTCAATCATTCTGGTGATACGTGCTCGTCCAATAAAACCAGAGAGATTTGTTCATAAAGTGGAGAGGGCGGTTCTTTCCTACAAATTGGGGAAATCCTCCTACGTACAAATAATTGCACACTTGACTGGACTCTTTGGACTCTGACCTGAAGGAGGCTCTGTTCTGGAGGAGTCCCGCCCCCGCGACGATCAAGACCCCGCTCACAGGATGAGTGAAGGGGTTTGTGAAGGTGACCGTGGCCGTCTGCAGTCTGTGCACCACCACCGAGCTTTCATCTGCGACCTGACAGAGAAGGACATGATTATTGAGGACCACAGAAATATTAGTGTGTGCTTAGAGAGGGCGACAGTGGATCAGTGCGTAGAGCATTGGCCTTTGAGCCTGAGGGTGATGGGTTCGAGCATGCCGCAAGACCTCCTTCACCAACTCCACTGATTCCTGCTGTTTATCTTGTTCTTGAATTGAAACTGTTTTAGTTTGATTGATTTCACAGTGACAATTGTATTTGTTTTATTTCTGTACTTTTAATCTTGTTTTATTCATCTAAATGTCTTGTGCACACTGGGGACTATTGCAAATGTATTCCAATGTGGTTTTACTGCAAATAGCAAATCAAATTAATCTGAATGTAAATAAATTGTGCACGCATTAATTTCAGCCTCCAGAGGGCGCCCTATTACAAGTAAAAATTTGGAAATGTCGATTATGTGGCATGCCAAATTACGAAATTAATTCAACTGAAGGAGCATCAATGTAGAAAAAATTCCATCATTTATTTTACCCACACTCGGTAAAAAGAAAAAGAAAAAAAAATATTATATGAGTAATGAGCTACTACACTTTCAAGGTAATTTATTGTTTTAATGTGAAACTTCAAAAAAACTCAAAAGGTTCTCTCAGTGGGAATTGTACTTCCAAAAGTGAGAACCAAACTGTTCTCATTGTGAAAAGTCAAATGAGTCCCAATTTTGAAAAAAAAAAAAACTATTGTAGGTAAATGTTCAAAAACTAAAAACCCTGTCAGTATAAAATGTAGTTGACAAAGTGAAAAGCCTAAACGACAGAATACCTGGATTATGAGTTCTGGGCTGGAGATGTTGAACTCCTCGGTGGCCAGCGCCTGTTCTTGAGACGCCACGTCCTCCACGACCACGGCCAGGTTTATCAGATCGTCTCCCACCACGTCCTCGTACTGCACCGGGAGAATCTGCTGCTGGATCGTTTTGACTGGAAGAGAACAAAACATCACATTAGAATGGAGATACACACAGGTGCACATCTGTAACCACTTCTGAACCAAGTGCAATTATAGCTCCAGACTTTTATTCTATTTTACCATCTTATTACTATACTATTTTTATTGTATGTGTGTAATCTGAGTGCTCTTATTAAATTTTCCCACTGTGGGACGAATAAAGGAATATCTTATCTTATCTTAAAAATTAGGCAAGGGGCAATATTAGTGTTTGCGTTATGGTTGTGTGAAATGTAACACATATTGGGGGACTTGTTTGCTTGTGCTATACAAATAAACTTGCCTTCCCTTGCCTATCCTTAATGATACATATCACATACATTATGAAAACTTTATTTTTTTTATTCAGGAGAGTAGATATAAATCAATGTGTCGGCGTCAACCTAAATATGCTGGAATTAGCACAGTAGCTCAATTGCATCCATTGTCCTAAGGCAGGTAAGAAACACACAAACACACAGGTAAAAGTACCACAATAAGTCACCAAGCACGACACAAATAATTTAAAAGAGAAGAGGAAGAGTAGATCATCGATGGGAGCATGACTGGTTTGATTTCCAACTATGTTTCAGGACTCCTTAAATGTTCGTTTTTTTTAATGAAGCATCCTAATCTCCTGGTCTGTCGTGCCTTGTTGCAGCACTGGACCAACAGGTGTCTTACCTTCAGCAGGGCCCATCTGGATGACGCCGTGGGACTCCCAGAAGGTGTCGGAGGGGCTGTGGTTGTACTCTTTGGCCTGGGCGTTCATGTGCATTTTCAAACGCTTGGACCTCTTCTGTTGGTTCATGATTTTCACAGTGAAGCGGATGGGTTCTCCAGACACCGCAGCTTTGTCTAAAGTCAAGAAGACCAGTACGCCCTTTGATGCAGTCGCAGCTGTGAGAGAGTGGACAGGAGAAAGACAGTATTAGTGATAAGAATTATTACATTGATGGAGGCCTTTGAGCCTGAAGGATGTGGGTTTGAGTCCACCACAAGACCTTCTCCACCAACTCCCATTGATGTCTGCTGCCGTTGTGCTCTTGGGCAAACCCCTTAACCCCATTTTGCCTGAAGCCCCCACTGAAAGAGCAGCCGACCCCCCAAAAGGGAAAGAAAATGGATGGATGGTCATTGTTGGAGGTATCATTTGTCTTTACTGTAAATGATATTCCTTCATGAAGATACAATTGTCCAATCCCATTCTTAACTCATACTCAAATTATATCGTGATAAAACCTACAAAACCTCTCAACCATAGACCTCTACTGGACAAACTATGAATTACATGGGCTGACCTTTTTTGTCTCAAGTAAAGGCCCTAAGAATCATTTTGTCATTATTGCATATTTTTAACCACATGATCAATAGAATTTGACGGTACTAACCGAACCTTAATACTATTGGTACTGTGACATAAACCAGTATAAACAGCTAATGTACAGATGTAAACATATAACCACATAATGCTTGCACTAGAATACACAGGACTGTATACTTGCCTCTTATTTTGCCAAATGTTACATGTATTTTTATTTATTACTAATATTACTATCATGATATTCAAGATTGAAATGTTATACTTGTTCTTTGATGCTAGAGTCAGAAATTTTGTTTTATCAGTATAGCTATTGTTCACTTATCTTGTGCTGTGTGCTCCTCCGTCCTACTGTTCTGTAACTTGTGATGCAACACTGAAATTTCCCCACTGTGGGACGAATAAAGGATCTCTTAATCTAAATCTTATAATCATCACCTCTTCTCAATGTGGAATCTTCAGAGCTCCTTGAACTTCTCGATGACAGAGTAGATGTCGGGCCTATAGCGCACAGAAGAACAACATAAGCAAAAGTAGCCTTCACAATAATCCAAACTACGATGAGAAATGTGTCTGTACTTTGGATGAGTTTGTAATTCCCAGTGATGTTCTGGACTCTGGGGAAGCCCACAGCCTTGGTGCAGATCAGCGCCCCCACCCTCTCCGTGTCCTTGTTCACGCTGAGCACCCGGCCCTGGTCCACGATGATGGTGTGCACGTCTGCGTTCACCTCGGCGCACACAAACGGCACGTCGTAAATCAAGTCTATGCGGCGATCGTGGACGGCTTTGACCGGAGCGGGACCGCAGCAGAACACTCCTGATAGAGGCACAGGAACCAAGTTTATTTATCAACAGATCATAGTAATAATAATAATAATAATAATAATGCACTGGTTTTATATACAGCACTTTTTTGGACCCTTTAAGATGCTTCACATGTCATTATACTTTCACTCCATACACAAAGAGGGCTTTAATGCAGGGCATCCTGGGTAACTCCAGACGCCCTCTGCATGACACTATGGCCGCTCAGAGGAGTAATCGAAACAACAGGCTCCTATCACTGCGCTGCCGAACAGAACGTTTCAAGAGATGCTTTGTTCCTTCGGCTGTCAGACTGTACAACAAACCTGGATGAGTCTTCTGCTACCAGACACCAGAATTTCACACAATCATTTAAGCCAATGACAGGAGCATCATTTATAGACAAGCTTCCGGCAGATTCCCGACAAAGGATTCAAAAAGAACAAGATGAGAGACAAACCTCCGCTTCTCTCTTGAGGAGTGGGGTCCAACACCTGCCACCCGTCCATGGCTGATCCCAGATCCGGTCGGGTCATCCAGCACTCCACCCACACATGGAAGTTCCTGGAGATAAGAGACACAAACATAGGGTTAAGGTTAGAGATTAGTGTTGAGCTACATACACCTAGAGTGACCTAAATGTGGGCACGGTGAGTCTACGCTACACCCTATTGCAAATACTCAAGTACTCAGAAAAGTATGATTACCGAAATATTATTATTAGATATTAATTAATTAATATGAGTGAAAACCATAGACTTTAAATAATAACGGTTCTAGTCACGCCTCTATCCGCCGTTGAAACTAATGTGCCACCGCTTTTGCCTTCTATGGGCTTTTTCAAAATGGCCGCGGGGCAGGAAAATGTGTAGCCGTCACTAGCCCCATTCATTTAACAAGTGCCTTCGGAAGTCCACAGTGGCTAAACTAGACTGGTCCGAGAGCGACTTTTGGACTATCCTGTTAAGCTGTTTTTTTTTTTTTTTGAGAAGAAAGAAGTTGCCATAAAAAAGCATTGGGTTATTCTCTTTCCGGGTACACCCCCACCGACCCGGAGTGAGATTGCAGCATGTCAGCGTACGTACTCATGGACCTTTTGGAGCTGGGACCTGCCCCCACTGGTAAAAACCTGCAGCTACTCCAGCCCTTTCTGGAACCGGTTTGACACCTCAGCTTTTCAGATTACTATATTTAAGTATTTCACTATCCCACACAACACTTTCTCCTCGTTGCGTAACCAGTTGTGTACGCGTCACTCACCAAATGCTGTCCCTGCTGCCGTTGAGCTTGATTCCAGTTTTGCTGTAAAGCTCCTCGATCACCAGGTTGTTGTTGGTGTCGTGAGCCGAGTTGTAGTTGGTGACGACGCGACAGGGAACGCCCAGCACCCGCATCACTGCAAACAGAGAGAGCCGATCAGAAAGGAATGACGAACATGAGGATGTGGAGGATGAGGAGGACGGAAAGGCCTCATGGAAAAGTGAGTGATTGTGTAAGAAGCCGCAGAAGTCGCACGAATGAGGCTGAATCATTTACGACTGGGGCGGTGGCCACATCTGCACACAGCTGTATTCTATGTGAAGGATTGCAAAACGTGAATTACTCAACTGAAGGAATTTATCTCTACAACTGAAGGAATTTATCTCTACAACTGAAGGAATTTATCTCTACAACTGAAGGAATTTATCTCTACAACTGAAGGAATTTATCTCTACAACTGAAGGAATTTATAACTGAAGGATTTTTTTTTTCTTCTCTTATTTATCTTTACTTATGATAATGCATTGTGGATATTTTGGATTTTAATCCCATGTGTGATTTGGAGCACACTGACAGAAACGAGGCGATGACACAGACTGTTCTGCCGTTTCAAATGGGGGAAATTGTAAGCCTCAAATATTCTTTAAACGGCACTTACTTGTTTTTGGAAATGAATTATTAATTTGTTTAAAAAATATTGTATAGTAGTATATACACGGCAAAAAAATGATAAAATATGGGGTAAAAAATACAGTAGTAATAAAGTCGTTTTTATCTAAATTTGAGTACATTTGACCATCTTAAAACAAGATTTGCCGATGGGACAAAGCCATTTGAGAACTGTTGCTTTTTTTCTCATTCCAACAGACATTTCTTGAATCTTTTTAAACAAAATCATTTTGCTCATTGTCCCATCGGCAAATCTTGTTTTAAGTCAAAATGTGCTCAAATGTTATCAAAATTGTCTTACTTTCAATCACTTTTTGCAAGTCAGGATGTTAAAGCTGGAGTTCCTCATTTTTAAACCGCAGCAAATGTAAGAAGCTCCTCGCCCTCAACACAGTGTTATTTTATCCTAAAAGACTGACATATCGTGGTCTCATTATGTTATTTCAGACTTTCTGTTAGACCAACAACAGTAGTATTTATGAAGTGGAGCACACTGGGGTAGTCTTGCACAGTTTTTCCAAGTGGTTTTACTGCAAATGGCAAAATAAATTCTTGAGTCTTGAAAAAAGTTACTCAAGCTGTAACACATTAATAAATATATTTTTTCCCGTAAACATATTTGTGGATGGTGTGTGTCTTCACCTGTGCACATGACGGCAGCGAACACCCAGCACTGTCCGTACTTGACCGGGCTGAAGCCGGACTCGGCCCACTGCCTCAGGATGTCTCCGCTGCCGGTCCACAGAGACGGGTGCATGCCCTGTTTGAAGTCTGCAGACCAGTTCCCTTTGAGAACCCCGCGGTCATCTTCTGAGTTTATCTGCAATTATAGTTTTGTTTTTGTTATTTAATGCTTCATACAGAATATTGAGGATGCTTCCTACCCATAGACTGCAAATACTATCCTTATAGACCTACTTTACCAGCAAAAGAAAAAATCTTCCTGGTCTTATTTCAGATGATAATATAATCTGATGCATTTCATAGTGTATCCAGCCACATGTAAATATTGAAATGTTAAATAATGTCAACTGATTTCTGTTGCTATGTTTATGTATGTAATAATCTGGCCAATAGTGGTACTGCAACCTCAATGTCAATAATCTATAAATCACTTTGTGTTGCATCTTTCTGTGAAAAACGCTTCATGAATGTTGATGGATTGATGATTTTCACATGTTTCACAAGATGATATTCATTTTTGTCACAGTATTTTGTCACCAGTTATTTGTTTGTTTGTTAAAAGTGTTGAGTATTGAGTTCTAAAACTAATATAAAACTAGTATCAACACCAAGAATACCACATCAAAAGCATTTATTTAGTATTGTATCAAAATTTCTTCAGCATTTTGATACATTTTAAACTATATCAGAGGCACTGGTAAAAAACCTTGCAGTCTCATAAAAAGTATTTTTTGTTGTTGTTAAATTTACAGCTACAGTCGAAATCTAGTTTGAAATGACAGCCGTAGTTATTGTATCTCATCTTGTTTGGTTACATCACCATATGCCAGAAAGTCTGTTTGGAATAATTGTTTGTCTGACTTTTATTATTGTTGGCAGAGGAGCAGGGACATCGGAACATTGTGCTCCACTTAAGCGCCAGAGCCAGCTCCGTGACGCACTATCACTTTAATCTTGTCATTTACATATTTGAGGTTGTGTTTCATGTTTTGCGGTGTTTATTCTCACCATCGCAGAAACCACACGGCTCAGGTACACCGGGTCGTTACGGTTCAGATGATCCATTTTACGGTTTTGCTGGTGATGGGGGCTCACATCCAGGAGGTTCAGACAGGCCTCCAAGACCCCAGACTCAAACTGCCGACAGAGAAAAGGGTTAGGGTTTTGGTGTGGTTTCATAGGTTAATGTGGCTTATGTTTAATGAACATGAAAGAACCATTTTGTACCTGATCAAAAGACCATGGACGTGGCACCAGGTTCATAGCAGTCCCCATGAACAGCAGGCCCGAGTCGTTCAGAACAAACTCCTGTCTCTGATCCTCAAATGGGATAAACACTGAGTCCTCTGGAGATACAGGGATTTCAAGAGTTTAAAAACATGATCCACATTAATGCTGAGATAATCTTTAGTAAAAATAAACTCTATATACCATCTATGGTTTTCAGGATTTATTTCATTGGATCTTTGTTTTTGTGACATGTGTATTATTGTTATATTAATGTTAAAGTAGTCTCTAGACAAGACACTTTCCCACATTATTTCATATAAATCTTGTGTGAACAGTTGGAGATGGTTCGAGTGTCCACTGAAGCCACTCGTGCAGCAGCCCACGGAGATCATGCCCCAACTGTGATTGTGAATGCCCTGAAGAAGTTTTAACTTTTACCTCTGTAGCATACGACTGCTGCCTTTTACAGTTTGAACATTCATTTTGTAGTCTGTGTGTGTGTTTGGAATGAGAGTAAAGTGTGTGACCTCTGACCTTGGCACCAGGGGTTGCAGAGCAGAATGAACTTCCCCAAAGTGCAGAGCTTGCGGCCGGTATCTTTAGTGAAGACGCAGAGCACAAAGTGGTACTGGCCCACCGGAGCAGAGGCAGGGGAGCGGATGTGCACCGAGGGCTCCTTCAGAGAGGACAGGTCCATGTGGGCGCTCCACTGAGACCCTGCAGACTGCACCTGGCTGTGGGTCACGGGCACGATGGCGTACAGGCGACCTGCACGAGAGAGACTCTTCAACTGTGTCCACCGCCACAACTCATACACCTCATACACCTGACTCTACGTCCTGATGTTTACGGTGCATTTGGTGGAAAATGGAACATTTAACAAAAGGTTTAGACAAGATGCTTCAATGCTATTTTATCTTTCCTAAAGATTGTATGTTATTTCTCAGTCTTCAAGGTTTGAATTTACTGTACGCAAAACAAGACATTTTATGCTTTCATCTAATTTTGTTCTCATATTGTTTTGCAATCATTCGCGAGGCAACATATATATGAATATGTAATATGTAGTTATTTCTATCCATGCATTTCAGATTATTAACAAATAGAACTGATGCTGGGCGACAGTAGCTCAGTTGGTAGAGCATTGGCCTTAAGCCCAGAAGGTCGTGGGTTCATTTCCCACCTCTGCACCTTCTCCACCGACTCCCACTGATGACTGCTCTCGTTGTGTCCTTGGGCAAGACACTTAACCCCACTTTGCCCAAAGCCCCCACTGAAAAATCAAGGCTATGCTCACACTCAGAGAGCAGCCATCCTCCTGTGGACTCACCACCTGCAGAGGATCAGTGAGGGGCTGGTGCTATGAGACTTGGGTGGCATCTCTGATTGCCACCCCCCTGACCCAGAAATGGATTAAAGGGTAGAAAATGGATGGATGGATGGAACTGATGCTATATACAGTAGTAGCAATAAAAAGGAAAGCGTTTTATTTTATTTTGAACGAGGGGGACGTCCTCTGAATGCTGTATTACTGTAAAACCATGCAAGATTTAAAGACTGTTAAAAATATAATACAAAAACTATATAAAAAACATAGAACAAAATGTGATGATATACTGTCATGGGCAACTTTTATGTTGATAAAATTTGGTAAATCTGGCTCTATGTAATAATTGTAACTGCAATAAGATCTCACTGCTGTAGTTAGCTGCATGTGACTAAAATGTAGAAAGATATTAAAGTTGAATCTTCCATTACATAACAAGACTATTATATCATTTCTCTATCGTTACCGAGCATGATCTTGATCTTGAGCGAGTCCGTCTTGGGGTTGAGCGGCCGTCCACTCAGTTTCAGGCTGACCCTAAAGGGGGCTCCTCTCCGGACCACCAGGGCTTTGGAGTCGCTGAAGCCATCGGTCCTGTGCTTCAACAGGTTCTCCGCTATCTCCAGGTTCATACACTGCAATGTAAATTCTGCAAAACAGAGAATTTTTTTTTTAGCTCAGTGCAATCCAATGTAAATCCAAGACAACAGCAGACTTTTCTTACTCTCCATCCGCTTTGTGAATGTGATGCTGTTCCGCGCCGGTGCCAATAAATCCGCTTTATAACCTGCACCTCTGTCCCACCCTCTGGAAGCATGTTGAGGACAAAAGACATGTTAGTAACTGTAACCAAGAACACTTTAGACACACCTCTCAATGATTTACGATGTCAGAGGCGAGTTGTTGCGGCATGAATAATCTGGAAGGAGGCAGGGCATGGTTCCACTGAAAAAAAAATTCTTGGCAAATCTCATCAAATTGGAGATTGGCCAAAGAAGACAAACTCACAGACTGGTCACACAGAAGTTGTTTATTGAAGCATTTTGGCACGTTGAAGCAGTACATCCTGATTTGTGTTCTTATACAGTACCAACATATTTTGACATAAAAAAAAAACTCAAAATCAAAAACAGATTCAGGAGGCTTTTTAATAGATGTTACTTTGGATTTGTTGAGGACACTTTTAGTTTATTTACCTTATAAATATGTTTGCTTGTTTTTTTCAATTCTAAAAAGTGCTCTATGTTTAAGCAGGGGTACCTAACTTATTCATAAATAAGAAGTTGCAGTAATACACTACATTGATCCAATACTTAGTACTTTTCCTCAGCCTCTGTACACCGTGTCCTCTCTTTTACTTTTTACCTAGATAAAGTTGTAGGCGTCTGAAACTCGCCGCCCCATTCTTCTTAGGAATTATCTTTAGTAAAATCTGCAACATTGCGTCAGTGCTGCTGTCATAGGTTCACTGTAATTAAGTTTCACATAGTTTTAGCAGGTGAATAAGTGGATAATGGAAAGTCATGTTTTAGAATAAGGCCAGATGGACACTATACTTTACTGGTATAAATGCAAATATGTGCAGTAGTGTTATCATCACTGGGAATATTTTAACCTGCACAGCTAACGGCTTATGACATTTATATATTTGCACCAGAGTCTATCACAGATTTATCAACAGATAGTTAAAAAAAAAGGACATATTTCTTTATTTCTTTGCACAAGATCAGGGATGTCGAAGTCAAATACATACATCAGAGGCCATTACTACAAGCCGAGGGCCGGACTGGTTCAATTTGTATTAAAACATATTAAAATGATGCATATAACCTGTTGAACCAAGACGTTACACAGTGGACAGAATTTTGATTAATGATTAAATAAATGATCCAATATTTTGTGGCTCTGTCAGTCATTTCAAGTGTAAAGAATGTTTCAACAGCTCACAGACTATAACAAACTTAATTCAAAGAGAAAACATACGTCCTGAGCATAAAATTAATAATCCAATATTTTCTTATAGCTCTGTGCGACAGGTTCGATTACTAATCAAGTATCATCCCAGGGGGTAATATCAGTCATTCGTGGGCCTCGACTTTAACACGCATGCACTAGACAAGAGTAGACACGTTTGTACCCATTAAGAAGAAGAAGGTCCTTTACGTGTCTTGCCCAAGGACACAACGACAGCAGACATCAGTGAGAGCCGGTGGAGAAGGTCTCGCGATGGGCCGGAACCCACAACCATCAGGCTCAATGACCAATGCTCTACCAACTGTGCCACTGTCGCCCCCCCTTACAAGGCAAGACTTGACTCAGACTGTCAGACTGTACAATGAGAACTGCCGAGCCTGTACATGTGCCCTTCACATGTTCTGAGAATCCACTCGCCACTTCACCTGCTGCTTAAGTGCAATAACAACATCAGTATCTACCTCCAGATGTTTTATTTTATGAACTATTGTCTTAGATATTAGATCCTGTTTGATGTGCAGAATCTGACTGCTCTTTTGGTAAGTATGTAAGTAAAGTTTAATTATATAGCGCCTTTCACAGACCACAATCACAAAACACTTCACAATTAAAAATACACAGTAAAACTAGTCCCAAGTCAATTCCAGAAACAAATATACATGTGACTATCTGAATATACCTTTTTATGAGCAGTGGACAACTTCATAGCAATGTCTGTAAAATAAACAATGATCGTCTATTTGATATATGTAGTAGTAGTAGTAGTAATCTGTATTTATATACCGCCTTTTCACTGCACATCAGAGTCTCAAAGCGGTTTACAATTGTTATTTTTGGGAGTGGGGCCAGTACAGGAGGCACATGCCAGACCTATTGTACATATTTTTAGTATATGTAAGAAATGTAATTTTGTTTTTTAAATGTCAAATGTTTTCTTATTTTCTGTTTATCACTGAATAATAAACAAACAAACGAAAAATCTATATTGACAACAGAGGCCTTTGCACTTTTTATTTTCTTTATACAACATTATTTATTATTACTATCGGATTTTTTTCTCTGGTTTGAGGTTTTCAGTGTGAATATGAGCTAGGGCAGCAATAATCAAGCACAAGGAATGGCCAAGTATTAGTTATTATGGAACATCTTAAATATTAAATAAATAATTCAGTTTAGAACAAAGTCACTTCAATATTTCACAGTTGATATTCAATGAGATTCTATCATGATGGTACTTTTACAGGAGAAATATCACATGGATCCATTTCTTGGACCAAATCATGACATAATTGTTTTTGTTTCTTTTTGTGTGATCCACGAGAGAATCAGAGAAGGAAACAAAACATTCTGATTATCATGATTTGTTTTCATTACGTTACATATTTTGTTTTAATTATGTTTCACAATTATCCTCCAAATATACAATTACACAATAATAACAAGCAAAGCAGTTTGTTTTCTTTTGCACTCTTCCCAGCACTGCCCAGGGACTGCCAAATTCTTGATAATGTTGATTAAGCTGATGAAATTTGTGACCTTTGTGAAATGTGTCGTTTTCTTTTAATTATTTGCTATTGTCTGTACTGTTGGAAGTGACACACAGTGAGTGTTGTGATGTGTTTGTACAACATCTGTCGGAGGTTGCAGCAAATCAATTGCCCTTAAGGGATCAATAAAGTTTTCTGAATCTACATAATTTAAAGAATGACCAGTAATTACACAGCAGCATGTCAGGATTGTGTGAGCACGTTTCATCAGACACCACTCATCTTTACTCATAGATTTTATAACATTTATATTTATCACTGGTGCAAGAACTGGACTTTTATTTTTGTCTGTTGGACTGAATGAATGTAGGTTGGACCTGTTCACTGCTGCAGGGAGTGAGCCCAAGACAAACTTCCCCTTGGGGATAAAAACGTTTATTTTGTCTTTGTCCCTAAATGGTAAACTATACTCACAAGTTTATATTTTCACCTGCAGTTAAAAATGAAGATGATAATAATTAAAACTGGACAGATTTTTGAGAATAATTGTCAATAGTTGTATCTATTTTGCATGTATTGATGCAGAGATACAACATTGTGCATAGAACAGAACAGTGCAATGTTTTTATGGTCAATAGTCCATTTTCATATTTCAGAAGGAAAATAACAGACACAAAACACAGACAAAAATCCTTGCAAAATAAGATTGGCAAATTACACTTAATGATGCATCAGTTTAAAAAGGCACTAGGCACTAGAGACTTTTCACTTTAACATTTTTTTCATTCATCTCATACACAGTGGTGGCAAACTATAACTGTAGTGCTATTTAAACTAAATCATTTAAACCTATCATTGTAAAAAAAAAAATATATGTTTCTATTCTACAATCGCAAATAGTCAGTTCCATCTCCACGGCAATAGAAACCATGGGGTCTCCAGCTTTATGTACCTCACTGTACAATAACACAACTCCTAAAACCCCATTACGTTTGGCTTGAGTTGACAAAAGATAAAATACATCAAAAACACATTGCCACATAATTTAAACATAATTAAACAATAATAATTATATGTAGTATGATAAAAGCTATGGCAGAAACTGTTCTGTAGGTAGTTGGTCCTCAGCGGGTGAAGCTTTGGATTATTAAGAGCTAGTCCTGGGTTTATTAAAGAGTAAAAAGTCTGAGACATCGTGCCATGTGTTGCTGTCGTGGTAGAGGTAGTTCATGGAGGACTGCAGTGACGGCTGCAGAGTGTGAGGGTGGTACTCGAACAGCCACAGCACCACTCCCCAGACCAGGGTGGCAAACAGGGGGAAGGGGTCGTGTTTGGGCTGGGGTATCACTCCCTTCTCCACTGCCAGTCGGGACAGTGCAAACAGGATACGGGACAACAGGTACATGTTGATCTGAAGAAGAACAAAACATTAACATTTACTACACATTTCTGTAACATGAATCCTAGGGCTGCACGAGTAATTGCAATCGGATTAAAATCACAATGTTTTGTGGTTGCAATTAGCTAATCCCAAAGTTCTTAGCCAGGCGACTTTAGTACCTTTTTTTTGTTTGTGAACACCAACATATTCACTTGGGAACACCATCCCAAGTGAATATGTTGTGCTTGAGCGCACACAGCAGCAGGGACAGTCCCAGGATTGGACTAAAGATTAACGTGTGAGTATTTCTCTTGACATCATTTTTTTTTGCCTGGGAGTGCTTTGGTCCTGCACCGGACCTGTCCACGTTCAGCGTCCACTGGTCCACGTTCTGTAGCTAGCTTAGGTCCTGGATCATTAGCCTGTCCGTCCGGAGGAGCGGATCCCTTTCTGGGTCTCCCTCCCTGTGGGTTTCCCTAGTTCTCCCCAAGGTTTCTCACTTTTTCCCACTGGGTTTTTTAAGAGTTTTTCCTTGTCGATGCAGGAGGGTCTTGTTGGACAGTTAGTGTCCAACAGAAAGGATTGGTGATGATCAGGACACTTCTACAACATGTATGGACATTTTCTTCTGTGTGTGCTTTATATTCTTCATGTGTTTTAACTGTTGATTCTCTGATCTGTGTTGGTGATTTCAATAGTTCTGTTAAGTCTCTGAGATGACTTCTGTTGTGACTTAGGGCTATACAAGAATAAATTGTATTGTATTGTATTTTGAAGATCAATGGAACCATCTTTTGTCTCGATGTCAGGCAGATGAATGATCAAATACATCCGGGGGGACCCCAGGGCGTTCCCAGACCAACTGAGAGACACAGTCCCTCCAGCGTGTCATAGTCTTCCCCGGGGCCTCCTCCTGGTGGGACGTGCCCGGAACAGCTCCCCAGGGAGGCATCCAGGAGGCATCAGGTAAAGATGCCCAAGCCACCTCAACTGGTTCTTCTAGACATGCAGAAGCAACGGCTCTACTCCGAGCTCCTCCCGTGTGACTGAGCACCTCACCCTATCGCTAGGGGAGCAGCCACTCTGCAGAGGAAACTCTTTTTGACCGCTTGTATCTAGTCCAGACTGCTTATATTAACAAATATAAATCACTATTTGTAGCAAAGATTATCAAATTGAGTATTCTTTTATTATTGTTTGCTTTTCTTTCATTGCAAAGGAAGTTTTCTCACCCATCATCTGTAGTTCTTAGCAAGTTTTCCAGACGTTTCGTCCTCAATCTAGCGGACTTCTTCAGGGAATGAATTCTCGGACCGCGCGTTGGAGATTTATAATCTATGGGCGTGGTTAGCCACACCCTAACCCTGATACTAACTGATACTAACTTGTTTATGAGTTAGTATCAGGATTAGGGTGTGGCTTACCACACCCATAGATTATAAATCTCCAACGCGCGGTCAGAGAATTCATTCCCTGAAGAAGTCCGCTAGATTGAGGACGAAACGTCTGGAAAACTTGCTAAGAAGTACAGATGATGGGTGAGAAATCTTCCTTTGCTTTGACTAATCCCTGTACGACTGAGGGCTTACACAAACTTTTCTTTCATTGTGCGCGCTTCAAAAATTACACTGGGTAACAAAAAAATATTTTTTGAAAATAGTCCAGGGTTTTCCAGCTGAATTAGACTAATTTTGATGCTCTGAGTCCAAAAATGACCTTGGTTTTGCTCAATCAGGTCAGGATTTTTTGCTACAGAAATATTATTTTGCGTAAAAAACAAATTTCTGCGGATCATCAGCTGAGAAACCCTTGACGTTTTTTCCGTTTTACTCAAGAAATAAAAGTCAACGTATCCAAAGTCATTCAGTTTTTATTTACTCCATCAGATTTGATAAGCAGAATTCATAACAACGTAGACGTACGTAATCCGTAACACTATGGCTTTATCTCAAAAAGTTGACCTGATAGAGAAAAATGCATGTGATATTCGGACTCAGAACACCAAAATTAGTCTAAATCAGTTGAGAAACCCCTGACCATTTTTTGGCTGTCAAGTTGTGTTATCCCTCAACCCACTTCACTCATCCCTAAATCAGTGCAGCTGGGGAGATCTATCTCAAGAACATCCTCCGTCTATGTTTTGTATTAAATAGCGGAACCACTGCAAAATAAGTGTGCAAATAAACCATGTTGTACCTGGCTATTGATGTTATTGTTGTCTCCAAAAACTAGCCATCCTCCAACACAGGCAGCAAGAAATGCGTGGGACTGCAGGCTCTTGCCCTGGGTCTTCTCCTGCAGAGCTTTCAGACCCTTGTACGTGAAAACAAAGTATGCCAGGTTCCTAGAGTGGGTGTAGGTCGCCTTGAAAATGGCTTTGAGCTTTTCCCTCAAACTGCAATGACATTAAAAAGAGGCGATTAGTAAATGGGGGAAAGGTGAATGAGTGGGAGTTCTAATCTGAGGGTGTGAAGGTGCACTTGCCTTCCACTTCTGAAGAGAAATGTCATGACTAATGCATGGGGAGCTCTTATTTTAGCCCCATATCTGAAAAATCATATGCAAAGACATCGATCAGCGTACACACACATAGATATAGGTTTAGTTACAAAATGATGCATTACTGATTTGTAACATGTTCAGTTTACTACATCCATCCATACAGATTACAGATCCACACACGCTGCTAATAAGTACAATTTACAAAAACATTTTATAACAAACTTTAACTCACACAGCACCGTTTCTAAACCCTTTTACAACCGCGAGAGTTGCTCTGTATTGTTCTTGATGAAGAAAGTTATTGATGGTGAAAAGAGCAGTTCTAAACATCTCGGAGGCTGCCATGACGGACGTATATGACTGCGACACTCTGCTTGAGGTGCGGCAGTGAAAAGGCGCCGTGGTGCTGCAGTTGGTTCCGTCATGGATCTATAATAATAACGGTGTTGTCTTTGCAGCAAAATCATAACGAACATAAACTGATTGACCTTGAAAAATGTGAAACTATGTTGATTTTAATGATCTTTTTCCTTTTTATTCATTTATATAAGGACAAAAACAATAATGATAGACGAACAACAGAAGCATAAAAAAAAATCACAAAAACAGACAAAACCAAGATTTTTTGTCACACAAAAACTAAAAATGTGTAATAACTTTGTTGATTTTCTTTTTCTGTTTCAATTGAAAATTCTTCTAAACTCAACATAATTAATAAAGCGTGCCGTATTTAAAGATCTTTTGTTACTAGACTTTATGAGGTGTTTCCCCAAAAAACAATTTACATTACTTATAATATTAGAAATGTTAACCCAAACTGCTGCCACCACAGGACAGAACCAGAATAAGTGATCAGTTGACTCAACATCTGTTTGGCAGAAGCAGCATGAGTACGACTCCTCCATAGACCGTAAATATTAACTCCAGACCACATTTTGAGGATTTTTTGTGTGAATAGAAAATTATATAGCATTTTGATTTGGTAGAGCATTGGCCTTAAGCCCAGAAGGTCGTGGGTTCAATTCCCACCTCTGCACCTTCTCCATCGACTCCCACTGATGACTGCTGTCGTTGTGTCCTTGGGCAAGACACTTAACCCCACTTTGCCCAAAGCCCCCACTGAAAGATCAAGGCTATGCTCACACTCAGAGAGCAGCCGTCCTCCTGTGGACTCACCACCTGCAGAGGATCAGTGAGGGGCTGGTGCTATGAGACTTGGGTGGCATCTCTGACTGCCACCCCCCTGACCCAGAAATGGATTAAAGGGTAGAACATGGATGGATGGATGTATTTTACCATTGAGATTTGAATATTGTTTACACTGGAAACGACAAGGTATTTTTCTTGTTTCAGCCTTTTTTTTCATGGTTTAACACTGATCCAGACCAGAGCAGAGGATTCATGGTCCAAAACAAGTGGATCAGGCAAAAATCCACTGGAGGAATGCTGACTTTTTGAAAAATGCTAAAAAAAAAAAATAAAGACATTCAGCATTTTACTTTGGACCAGAGAAGAAAAATGTGTCCAACAAGCGACTGCTCCACCTCTGCTGCGGTGACCTAGAATGCTGTTGCATCAATATGTATTAAACAATGGGACCTTTAATAAAAATCCATGAGACAGAAAGAGATGAGACAAATATATTTGAATTGTTTTTATCGGTTGTTGTTTTTATTGTTATTAATCAGATGCAAATTATCTCACATGTTGTTTCAAGCACACAATATGAATGTGATACGGACCTGAAGAAATTATTCAGCAACTTCTTAAATGATACAAACACAATAAGGATTTGCCTTAGCGGTTAGTGTTTTTATGAGCATTATTTAAAAACTTCTGGCTGTATGACACAAAACTACATTTGATTTCGGTAATTTACAACAATGAATGATCTAAACAAACACACACGTAGTAGGTCTACTACTACCCTATAAAACTAGGGCCGAGTTTGTAATTGTGTCTGGAATTCTGTGTCCTTTAATTAAATGGCCCCACTGCATATACTGCATCTAATATACTTTGGTCTATATAACATTTACACGTTTTGCAATTTCTCACAGTTGACAGCAAGGACGCAATAATCTCATAATTGGTCAGCAACTTTACATCAGGATCCCATTCAGAAGGATAAGTCCCACTTCAATGGTAAACTCCCAATAAACATGAAAAAATATATATGTTGTTACAGAGGACAAAAAGCAAGGCATTTCACCCCAAAACAATACCAACACAACATTTGCATAAAACCTACGCCTGAAAAGATCATTAGCAAACTCTACCCAAATCTTGGAAAATTATCAGCTGAACCGTGAATGGCTCAGAATTGGCAAAAATGTTTTCTATAAAAACTATTGCACATAAAAATTCAACCTCTTTTTAAAACCAGCCAGCTCTCACAGCTCATTATGTGCAAAACTAGTCAGAAATAATAATTAAAAAGATACACAAGTTCACATTACATTGATTAGATGCAACAATGATCCATTGGTATTAACTACACTCAAACAAATTTAAACCTTAACTTGAAAAACTCCACCCTGGTGCCTTCATATTTTTCTTTAGATAAGCCAAAATTGCATAAGCAACAATTCCCTCATAACTAGATTGACATACAGTGCATAGGCCCTGTGGAGGCAGTTCAGAAAGGTCTAGAGCAGAAAACCACAGATGAAACCTTTGAGGAAGAGAAGACAGCAGACATGAACGGACGTGAAGTACAAGGTTCTACTGAGTCTTGCGTGAGTCGGAGAGTGATTAAAGATAACGACATTTTTATACATCAAAAGCAGAATTAAAATAAAATCAAAAACAACATTGTGTAGCCCTAGACCAGTCCCAGCGGCTGACGTCAGGTGTAATGTTTGAGCATGGATCCTGGTTCCGTGTTATTCCTGCCCAAAGCCTTCTGTCTCCTCAATGGCAAACATCAGCTTCTCTTTTAGCTGCTCATAGCTCTTGTATGGAGGCAGGTCCAGGCGATTAAAACTAAAGAGAAATATGTAAGTTATGTGTTAGTTTACAGTGTAGCTGAAACACATACAAAGATATACATATTTTGTTTATTAGTCATCTATTCAATTTGGCATAAATGTATGTAATCTCAATCTCCTTCGAAACATGTCAAGGTAATAACATTGCTCACCTACTATTGTCTATAGAAGAACACAACATTTTGAAAACTTTTCAAAATGTAATTGGCCAATATGGCTACAAATATGTTTAAATACTTTTCTATATATGTATTATTATTTTCAATGTATTTTGTACGCTAACTGTGCTTTAAAATCTTTCACAGACTTGAAAACCACCACACATTTATAATCTGCATTGATTGTACTCACACTGTTATATAATACATAAATAGAAAACCACAAAGACAAGGCTTAAGAAAAAGTGAATCAGAAATGACTCAAAGGGTTAGGTCATAATAATCCTCTCTGCACAGACACAGACGGTCTTTTACATTTGGTGAACCTACCATGTGTGACTTCGTGGAAGCCAGTTTTCTTTTCCCACTTTTTCAATGCAGAATTTCTGTGGTCCATTGCTCCCTAATAGGAACATTTAAATGATCAGAATAACTATATAAGGTTTCATAATCCAGTGCTTGAGTTTCCACCTACCCATGAGGTCCGCAAATCCACCGACGGGGAGGCGGCAGGTTCCTGTGACAAACTGCAGGAGTCTCATCCTTTTCTCATTGTCCATTTCTTTTACGAACTGAAAACATTTTGCAATTCAACCACAAGTCAGTGCCCTCATTTTCAAAACCTGTTAAAGATGAGCTGCCATTTAACAGAGAGGGAAAAAAGAATGAGCTGCAATTGTTCAGTGTACGGTAAATACTTGAATTTCCCACTAAACTAGCAGTGAATTGTTCTGTGTAAAATATTTGTGTATGCATGCAAATCACTGTAGTCTTTTTGGTACCAGTATTTAAATGTGTTTTTGAGTATTTCTATTTAAATATCTCAAGTTTTTGAGGTTAGGGAAAATAAACTTAAATTGTATACCAACTATCACTCGTTTGCACAAGTATTTTGCCATCAGCTCAGCAAACTAAAAAATAAAATGTTTTCTACGATAAATTCAGCTTGGAGTGGTCTGATTTGTTCACAACACTTTACTTCAAAATCAAAATAATGTATTAATGATCACACAAAAAGTTGGTGGAATTTGTTTCCGGTACAGCTGTGAAACACACAAAGACACACAACAACAAACAAACAAGAACAACAGGGACATTTCACATCAGGGGTCTGAGTGGGACCAAATGGCGATGGGAAAGAAGCTGTTTTTGAGGCGAACTGATTTACAAGAAAAAAGCTGTAGCGCCTCCCGTAGGGCAGGAGTGGGAACAGATGATGGTCCAGGTGTGTGTGTGCGCGTGTGTGTGGTCTGAGGTGATTCTGCGTGTGTGCTGTGCGTCTATTTTAGTGTGTCAAGAGATGGAAGAGTGTGACCAGAGATCTTGGATGCTTTTTTTATGATGTGTTGGAGTTTGTTGCGCGAGTGAGAATCTAAGTTCCCACACCAGACTATTATCGACAAGGTTAGAATGCTTTTTATTATGGCTGTGTAGAACTCATTTAATATTTTTTTTCTTTTTTGTGTGTGTTTGACCCTGAACTTTTCTTAAACTCTTGTGTATGTTTTATGAATACATTTCCCAACAGACAAAGTTGAGTTTTAACAACCGAAACATGATTTATTACAATGCATCACAAGTACTTGAGGACAAATAGTCAGTCTGTTTTTATTTGTTCTGGGTTTTTTTCCCCAAAAATGTCCTGCTAATCCTCACCCTCCCTTGGCTTGCATCACTCAGCAGACTCGTGTGCACTCACCTGCCAGAACCACATGATCTGTTTGCTGTTTCGAGTGTAGTGTCGGTAGATGGCGTTTCTTTGCCAGTCCATGAGGTCGATCTCCTGCATTCCACACAGCATCACCTACAGACGGGACAAAGGTCTTAGCTGCAAAACCAAAGCATCTTTATACCACCACAACACATACATTTATCAACAAAAAGTGGAGTGTTGACTTTCCAGGTAAAGGCAAATCATAAAGAGCCTAGAAAGTCAAAACAACATGCATTTATACAGTCTAAAGACAAATTTTTACACATTGCCTTTTAACACCAAAAGACCAGCGTCCTTGTGTAAACAGCACCTGAGATGTGCTTGTATGTTTATGTAGTTTATGCTGTTTGCTTTTCATCTTTTGTGCCTGTGAAGCACTTTGGGCAGCTGGTGTTGTTGTAAATGTGCTATACAAATAATCTTGACATTGACATTTAAAGGCTAAAGCTGATCATTGTGCAGAGAAGAGTGGGTTGTACCTCTAACTCCTTGGCATCGAAATACTGCAGATATTGTTGTGGCAGGACTTCATTAAAGCCTTCAAAAAAGGCCTGTGTTTGTTCCTCCACGCCCCGGGACAATCTCCACTCTGCCACTAATCTGCAAACACAGTTACAGCATAGACAAAACATGAGTTAAAAAGCCAATGACACTCTTTCATATCTTGAATTAAGTTACATTTTGTTCACAAGTTATAAACTGGTGAATATATTTCCCCTTTTAAGATGTAATTTTAGTTGGGCTTGAAAATGGCACTATTCCTGATGATTTTCTTAGACGTTGCAAATCAACTACACAAGTTTGGCTGTAGTCCATGGATGTTTACTGTGGAAGTCTTTTAATGCAGTTCCTTACCAAACCATTGTACACATTTAATTTTGTACTAAGGCCTGGATTTTGGTGATTGTGAAACACGTCACACAGGAATTTTTTTTCTATCCATCGTTCCAGAAACCAAGTCTTCCTCGGAGGGTTTTTGACAATGGGAAGAAGTTCTGATCACACACTCATTCATTCATCCACATTCACACACAGGAATATTTCCACAAATTGATGTTGAATAAAAAATAATAGTTTGCTGTGATCATAAAATTGTGCAGAATATGGAGGGAGTTTTGCTGGAAGAATTTGACGTTATTTAAATTACGCCTTAACTTAAAAGCAGGCCGACCTCTACCCCTCAGGAATGTTGGAGATTATGTGGAGAAATGGAGGCTGATCATTCACATATATTTTGGAAGTGCACCAAAGTGGGGAGATGGTCGGATCAAATAAAAACAACCATAAAAAATATACTGGCCTATGGAACTCCGGGCGGTTGCCAGGTGCTATACTTGGGAAACATACGGGGAATGGTAGGGAAGGAGGACATTTATTTGCTGCAACTGAAAATGCAATAACAAAAGCTTGGCTAAAGCCAGATCCACAAACACAACAAGACTGGATCCAGATTGTGGAAAGCCTTTCAATTATGGAAAAAAAATACATATAATCTTAGGCTAAAGGGACAAAAATACACTGAGCAATGGGAAAAATGGAAGGCGATCAATGATACTAGAGAAGTTACAAAAAAATGCAATTATGGATTCGGCTCGTTATCGGCAAGGATAACCAGACTGTTTTTTGTCCGTTTATGTAACTACGATTACACATAGTTGCTTTTAATTCTCGTGACATTTGTGTTGTTTGTGAGCTGCTTTGAAAAATATTCTTGAAAAATGAAAAATAAAGAGTATTAAATGAAAAAATAGATTATGCAGAATATGACCTGATGTACTCCTCCTTGTTTTCCTCCGTTACAAGGACGTTTCCTCCGTCAGGTTTCAGTTCATGAGTCGTGATTTCGCCCAATATCTCTTTGTCCACCGAGAAAAACATCTCCAGACCACACTCCTCAATGTTGTTATCCCTAACAAACAAAGCAGCGAACAATTATCCATCGAATGATTTAATTTGTACTGTTAATATATGCATGTATCCTTATCTTATAATAAAATAAACAGTTAAAACAAATCAAAGAAAAAAACAGTTTTGCAATATTAAAACGTAAAATCAAATACTTACTTGATCCAGATGAGCGAATTATAAAACTCAGGATCAATGGACTCCAGGTCATTGAGACCCAGAGGTTTATTCAAAATACGTTTGTAGAAAGGCAGAGAAAAACCTGTGTCGATGAATTTACCATGAAATAAGGCCTGGGAACGACAAAAGCCATGGAATTAAAACAAAGTTCTGCAAAGGGAATGTTCTAGAGAGGCCAAAAACATTTATTGTCATTGACTACAAGTTACACGTTAGGTTGGCTGGAAAGTACAGTACATGGCTTCTGAACAACTAACCTTACATTGTCATTCTAGGGTAATAATTACACACCAAAATTTAATTATGCAGTAAAAATTCAAGTATGTATTGTAGAACTAAATGCATCTCTGTAATACATCTCAAATTGGATCTGCCCACAACAGCAGACAAAAAATAGATTGTTCAATAAATATCTGTAATTATCGTGTTACTGTTATTGTTTTTCACGTCATTTAAAACCAATGGCACAAAACATCAAAACAAACTTAAACTGAGATGATTCTTTCCGGTTCTGTATCAATATAATGAAATAATTGTCCAGCAAGGAATGCATTTTATGGCCTTGTGTCTCTAGATTACAGCACCTTTACAAAACGATTCAATGCCTTCTTTAGACATCCCAGGCCCAGTCTATCCCATCTATCTTGCTTTTAGTATGCAATTAAGAGCGAAATATATTGCAGTTACCATAGCAATAAAGCGTCCGATAAACTTAAAGTATTTGAGGTGATCGGGGTTGATGTAAGAGGCGGGGTTTATCTGCAGGCAGTAGTTGTCTTTTCCGGCGTACTCAAACAAGCAGTACATGGGGTTCAAAACCTCGTGAGAGAGCAGAAAGAACCATTCCCTGGAAAGACAAACATCACATTTAGAGAAAGCTGCGATTCTGGTTTTAGGAGACAGTGTAATTTAGATGTAACAAAAGATCACGGCATCAGGGTGAGTCCACACACGTAAATCGTGAGCACGCCCCATGAATCACTACAACGTGTAATTATCTTCACTTCAGCAATCTTCACTCTAGCATGAAGATTGCATGAAGATTGCTACTGTGATCCTCTGCCCCGGAGCCACATTGATGCCGGTGTTGTCGGTTCGTGCCGCTTTGTTGATTTGAGCTGCCTCAAACCTGAGCAAGAAGGCGTACATATAGTCTGTTAATTGTTTAAAAAGTTTAAATACAAACCAATTAAGACACAAACGTCACTTTAATGCAATTTGAGTAGAGATACTGAAGGTTCCATGTTGTGATATGTGGGTTTTAGGAGTCAAAGTTTTCTGTGAAGTTTGGTTTAGTTAGTCAACTGCTCTTGTCAAACGACACTACTGTATGATAGTATCCTATTGACATCCTTTCTATCATCAAACCACTACTACTGTATGATAGCATCCTTTCTATCATCAAACCACTACTACTGTATGATAGCATCCTTTCTATCATCAAACCACTACTACTGTATGATAGCATCCTTTCTATCCTCAAACCAATACTACTCTATGATAGCATCCTTTCTATCATCAAACCACACTATTACTGTATGATAGCAGTCCCATTGGTATCCTTTCTTGTCTACGTCATTTTACTGACGTATGCCGATCCCTTCGTTAATAATCCCATATCTACTTGTTAGATCCATGTTATCAACCCGACAGACCAGTTGTATGCTAACAGCTATCGAGTTAGCCCATGGATTTAAAATAAAATCTGCAAGGGTATTACTAGCTTATAGCTGTCCCACCAATGGGCACAGGGGGTGCCCGTGGTCTCTTCGTCGTCCGTTTGTTTTGTTTTTCCGCGTGCTCCACTCCAGCGTGTGGGGCGACAGTAGGTTGCAGCCATCACAGCAGATTCATCAAAGTGCATACATAAATCTATCAAAATGATTGCACATGTTTTACATATGGATATCGCATGTACCAATATTGTGATGATGATATTTTTACGAAACATCGTGCAGCATACTCAAATTACTATTGTACTGAGGATGACAATTACAACTGGGGCGCGGCAACATCTCTTCTCTGAGCATAATGGTTACTGGCAACAACAGCACTGATTATAAATCTAAAATAATTATAGCGTCGCATTTTGTTACTTCACTTGTGGAGATCTGTCTAAACCAGAATGTTTTTGGTGTTGTGCCTCACTCTGTTAATAAGACAAAAAGTCTTAGTGTTGCTTTTTGTTCTTTTGTTAGTGAGGCATCTCGGGTCTTTCTTGGGTCTCTCTCGGGTCTCTGAGGCAAGATTGTAGTCCAGTCATAGCAAAATTGTAGGATCTATTCCTTACTGTCTGTATAGCGAACTATCTAAATGACGTCACTAAGACACGCCCCCGCCGCCTGTCAACTCCCGCCCACATGTTTCGGACAAACACTGCCGAAATGAATCAAATACCACTTGTCACTTTAGACGAAAATGATATACCAGGGGCAAAATTCCACCATCAAACCATCAGGGATCATAGTGTAGACCAATTATAACGTTGGCTTGAATGTCGTGGTCTTCCAGTAACTGGTAGAAAGTTTGAATTGATAAAAAGATAATGGTGAGGATTATGCTAACATTATCTAGTCATTTAAATTGCAATGCTAGCGCCTTCTTTGTTTGTTTTGCTGTGATTAACTTCCATTTATCAAGTTGTTTTTGCACTATCCACTTTGTAATTAGTTTGATCATTAGTTAGCTACAGTCAGCCGATATTATAATAAATCCATGATCACAACGGGTTACGCCACTGTCTCTGAGAGAAACTATCAGAGCTAGCCACACTCAGTAAACGCAAATGACAATCAATCAACACATTTAAATGTTAATGGGAGAATACATTATACACATTCATAACACAAGTGCACGGAGGTTTTCAGAATTAACTGTTCAGGTTTTCATGACAAAAATACTTTTTTAATGCGACTAAAGCGATCGCTTTTAGGTTAACTATCCTCACTGTTACTCGCCTGCCACGGGAAAACCTTTGGGAACTATTTTCTTTGCACTCATTAAATAAACCTTTCGGCATGAGTAGTGAATGACGTTTATTTTGTGTGTTCAATTGGTACAAAGCCGTATAATAAGCAGACACAAAGTTGAAAAAAATCCCTCTCATCTTTCTTCAGGTGTGAGAATTGTATACTTTCTGGATTAGGACAAACAATACTAATATGGAGTGATGGGGGTAAATGGTGTAAAGAGAAAGTTTGTGCTAACTACATTCAGAAGAGCTCAGACGGACCTGATACAGCGGTCCAGATCCAGTCCCAGCTAAACGTAGCTAGGTCTGGATCTGGATACTCCACAGTTGGTCCAGCGAAGTGTTTTGAAAAAACATGTGTCCTTTTTAACCTTTTCATGAGAGAAATTCTGCCGACCACAAGCACCCACCTGGTCTGATCTGGTCCTGGTCTGGTCCTGGTCTGGTCCGATGTTGTGGTTTAACGAACAGGTTGAATGTTACTTTCATATAGTCCTTTTCAGAGTATCTGAAATCGCTCCGACAAGCACCATAACTGCAGTGTTTTGTTGTCACCATGATTCAATGATTTAGCCCAAATAAATACACACGCGTATGAGGAGAACACAGTAGAACTCAACGAGTCGTACACAATGTTTGTCCGAAACATGCGCGCATGCGCAGTCATCTGAGCTATTTTTAGCACATTTCGGAAACCGGACAGTGCCCTATTCCAGATTGTTCCAGTTTGTTTTGTACCTTTGAGTCCTTCTCTGTACTATTTTCATAGTAATTTCTAAAGTTCAATTGACTTTTGGGGGTTGCAGTGCACAAAAGCTTTTTGCTTCAGCCCACTCCTTTTGTGCAGCATTCATACTGTTTCAAATAAATAAAATCAAATTTAAAAATCTGTTAAACTGATATATTTCTACCTGGCCACTCCCCCGTAGTCCAAGCCCTCTTCTCCCGGGAAGATTATCCACAGCCGTCGCCTTAGGTCTTGAGGGTGGAAGCTCATGATCTTTACAAAATAGAAAGATAGATTTTATAAATTTTTCTTCTGTTTGAATAATTGTATCATTTTGGATTTTTGGATTTCTAATCCAAAACTCCACAACATAAAAGTACAAGTTCTGCGATGTCATTGCTTCAGTAAACTGTAGCAAGCATTTTCTGTTTTATTTTTCCTTTATGATGCTGCCAACTCCTATGGGAATTACATACCTGTATGTTATTACCAGGGAATGAGATTATTACAGAGCAGGCAGCATGTATGAGAGTTTGAATGAAAACAAAGACTAACAGAACTCTGATTGCGAGTGGAAGAAGATTACTCAAACATACTCAAACAAGAGAGTAAACACATATATTGCTGGTCTGTACTCGCCTGTTGGAATGAATCCTCAAATAATGTTTTACGGGTGACGGTGATCTTTATATGTTGTGGCATAGACAATTGCTGTAGAGAAAATAAGAGTTGTTCCTTTATAATCTGTTTGATAACATTTAGAAAATAATGGGGCCACTACAACACTTACCTGACACCAAAACCTGAAATATTGCACTTTGGCTTTGAAATCCCTGACATAAGTTATCTGTGGCCCATTCTCTCTGTTAAAAATGAAAAAGAATACATGTAAATCAAATGATGATACTTAAACAACTACTATACATATATTTGAAAAAGACACGCACAGAGATGATTTCCCGGTGCGGGGATCTATGTAGGTGGTTGTCCGACGGTTGTGATCAACAAAGTAAGGAATCCCTTCGACAGTGAACCTCATCTCCCATCCCTCTGGCAAAGGTTTGTCATTCAGAAGGCTGCATAACACAACAGCGCCACATAGTGAAAATAAGATGCAGTTACACCCACACTACTTCATTATGAATTAAGATCTTAAGCAAAAATACCCTTGAGTGCGGGGATCCTCCCACTGTGTGGAGCGAGTTGTGTGATGAACAAAATACACTCTACCATTTGTGTCTGTTCTTTTTTCTATAAGACATCAAAAGATATTTTATGGTTCAGTCAAAATTTCTAAAACTCTCTCTTCAGTAATTCAAAGCTTTTTGTTTCCATTTACCCCAGCCGTGTGGAAGAGGTCCAAGGGGATCAAACTCTTGCTTGCTAGCTGCTGCTGCAATCTGATCCTGGAACTGAAAGATAACAAAGATCTATAATGTGAAAAAGCCCATTGAGGGCGCGCCTGCTCCTCACAAAACGTGTAAATTACCCCATAGATGAACCTCTGGTTGAACTGCTGCATGGCTCCCTGCAGCTGGCTGCGCTGGTGCTGCCACTCCTCATAGTTTCTGACAGACTCCACGGTGGGTCTCTGCCACGTGGTCGTGCGAGTGATATGGTCCACGAAGTACACCCTCCCCATGGGGTCCACTCTACGCTCCCATCTGCACCAGGCACAAGTACAACATAATTACACATGACAAGGCTTTTGGAATCATCATTCACATGTCTCACAATGAAGAATCAAATGTAAATTTAGTAAAACTTTGTACCCTGTAGGCAGAGCCTCGGGTCGGTCCCAGGTGGTTCTTTTTTCAATGTGATCGACGTAGTACACACGACCATTTTGATCCACTCTCTGCTCACACCTGTGGTTCGGTTCAATAGGAGAAAACTGTTTAGCAAGTAAATACAGCTTGATTGCCATTCTAGTGAGTAGAATTTCACACAAAATATATTCACCAGCCTGCCATTGAAACTAAACTCCTCCTTGAATGCATGAACTATGGTTTGAAGTATAAGATATTTGATAAATACGCAAAAAGGAATTGGACTTTCAACGTGAAGTTCTAATGCACAATTTTCAGAAGTTTCAATGGCCATGTCCACATTCAATGCATTTTGTACTTTTTCACAATTTGATAGAGCCACAGGAGGTGAATGACAAAATTCACATGTGTTTGATCCATGAATCGATAGTTGGCGCATGATACGGTTGACTACAGCCCTAAGAAACACTGTACTTTAGAATAATTTCTGCTTGAAAAGTTTGGGAACGCCTGCTGTGGTGTAGTATGAAGAAGAGCATTGTTTACCCTGGCGGCAAAGGCCCATTGCTGACAGGGGCGCCTCTGGGAGCAGTGGAGCCTGTGGGGACTGCAGCAGAAGATCCTGGTTTGGGGTTTGCAGCTGAAGGCTGTGAAGATGCAGCTCCTGCTCCAGCCTCATCCTGCTGATCTGAGGCCTGGGACGAGCCGTCAGAGGCAGGGGCTTCACTCAACTCACTGGGGGAGGAACTGCTGGAGGAGGCTGCAAATCATAAAACAGTAAGATTTCAAAACAAAATGACATGTTCAGTCCAAGTTTACTTTGATTAGAAAGTTCTATAGCGACTGAATGTAATTATTTGGGATCGGCCAAAATTTCACAGGATGTTATTAAGTATTACTAAGTATCAATATCTTTTCATTTTATGATTATTATGCAATAAATACATGGTAGCGATATGTGGTGCCATAACATGTTATATCTTGATGTATAACACTCTTCTATTCAAGCCAATCGCTCATTTTGTTCATAATAATTCGCTCCAGAAATAAAAGTTGATTGATTGAAAATGCATATCCAAACCATATTCAATAAAAGTAATAATACCACACAACATTCATAATGCAAAAACAAAAAGACTGTGGTCCCTCACAAGCTTCTTCTTTTTCGTATAATTGTACATCTATTTCAAATATGGAACATAGCAGTGCCTCTGAAGCCCAGGTGAGAACGAGGCCATGCACATCAAGAGCAAAACTACTATTTGTGAGTGTGCAGACAGTCCTTGTGCAGAAGAACGCCTTTATCTCTCCCCTGCATGTGTTTTCTGTCCAGTACGAGTGGAAAAGGCTCAGTGAGTGGCCTTGTTAAGTTCAGCTTGACAATCAAAGTGTATGACTCCACAGCAGAGGGTGGGTTAATTCATTGATAGATAAGATACTTTATTGATCCCCATTTTCATGTTCATGTTTACAGTTTATTGCTCCAGTTTAAGTTCAGCCATTCTTTGTTAACCGTACTAAAAGGCATCCTGGATCTTAGCATATCAAACTTTGCATAAGCGTCAAAATGCTTTAATGGCACGAAAGGAAGAAGCAAAACTACCCAATAAGTACTTGACCTGAGAAGTAGCTTATCAAAAGTTATTTCCTCTTACATGGTGAGGCGACAGGTCTGGATGTGGCAGGGGCAGAAGTCCGCGGAGGACGTGACGGCCGTGAGCCTGAAGTCCTGGGAGATCGAGACGGAGAACGAGAGCCATTTACAGTGCTACTGTTTGGGACTATCACCCACTCATCCGAGCCGCTGGACGGAGAAGAGTCTCTGCTCGACCTGAACACAAGAAACATATTTAACACAAAAGAAGAAGAAGATTAATTCAAATGTCAAGGTTGGTGTAATGAGGAGAAATACCTGTTGCTTGATTTTCCATTTTGCTTAGCGACCCCGTTTAAAACAGACACTAGTATGGCGAGAAAGGGAAAGTTAATATTTTTCTAACCCTTTATGTGATGACAAAATTATTTTTCTGTTGTACAAAACTATAAGCGTTGAATGATTTCAATCTTATTTTCTACACGATAAGCAGCAAAAGGAGGACGGAAGACTTTGCAAAACCCTGAATAACAATGTAAGACTAAGTTCATCTAGGCTGAAAAATGTATTTGGCTCAGTCCACACTAAACTGTACTAATGTGTTGCATAAGGATCAATGACACAAAAGAGTCCTCAAATGTCCGCAGCCACTGATTAACAATGTCCTATATATGTCCTTTAATGTGACAATTGTGTCCCCAAAATGTAATACACATTTTTTGAAAGGCATTCATTTTTCTTGAAATGGTTTTGAGCTGCCACGTATGAGATTATCCTATGTATATTTATAAACTATAAGGTATTAAAGAATTTAGGTAATTCATGCATTTATTGTATTGCCACTTGACATAGGATTTGACAGAAATAAGATTGAACAGTTTAGCGTGGAGGGAGCCATTTATGTTGGGAGAATTAAAAATAAAAAGATAAAGAACGAGCCCTATAAAATAACCAAATACCTGTTTGTTTCTCTGCATCAGCGAGAGCGTCTGCGTCCACTTGCAGTCCGTCCAGGCACACAGAGAGGTCCCCCACAGCTTCCTGAGGATCTCTGTCTGAGCTCAGCTGAAGGGTCTGCACCACTTCACACACTGGAACCACAAAAACAGTTGCAACAGTTGGAATAGCTGTGTAAACAATACTGTGTTTTTGTCTGAGTTGTCAATTGTCTGAGTTTTTAATATCTAAACTACCATTTGTTGTTGATGTTTAAATAAGTAATTCTCATTTATATTACCAATAATTCAGAGTTTGACAATGAATACCCATGCTGCATTTGTCTACCGTTAGCTGTGTATAGAAGTTAAATGAACATTTTGAAAAACATCCAACAAGGCAGCAGCAAAATGAAACAGGCCTTTTTATGTACATGTTCGCTCAAGGGAACTGTAATTAGCCGTGCCCACGCTGTATACAATTTTCATTACATGACTGTGGATTAAATTAGTGTCTAGTTTGCAAAAATGAATGGACTGTGGACCAGTGTGAGCTCACGTTTTAGGTCATTCGCTTTTAGTGCCTCATTAATAAGAAGTGAAGCTGTTCCCAAAAGGATGTCTGACTTCAGAGTTTGATGACTCCAAACAAGAAACTTTACTTTGCTGACAGGGGTCACAATTCTGCAGAAAATAGAAAAGTATAATTATTGAGGTACATGATGCTGAAATTAAGAGAGAACAAAGGAAAGAGAGACAGAGACAGAGACAGAGAAACAGAGAGTGATACAGAGAGAGACACAGAGAGAGAGAGACGGAGAGAGAGAGACATAGAGCGATACAGAGAGAGAGAGAGAGACAGAGAGACAGAGGGAGAGAGAGACAGAGACAGAGAGACAGAGAAACCTAAAACTCTACAGTATTAACTTACACTGTCAGTGACTGTTTCCATTTGGGAGCATGCGTGTTTGTGCACTTCTCTGTCCTCTTTGATTGTCCATCAACTGTCACTTCAACATATGGACTGGGACCAAACCAGTTCTTTTTGTTTTCTTTTAACTTAGCTGAAATTACTAAAAAATAAAAGGACAAAATTCAAGTTTAATGCATAATGTATCAAACCTACCCAACTGCAGCATATCTCTTGCCTGTGACTTGTAATTGGGCCTTCATGGTTCCTCCATAACACTGCACTGTTACAATAACAACCTGCACACAGCACATCACGTGTTAAAAAGAGATACAGTGCTTGTTAAAGTATTTACAGTAGGTATATAAGCGGGTGGGTTTAGTATCATACATTGAAAGGTTAGGAGTCTTAATCTTAACAGGAGGAAGGCATGCTCTCAAATAGTGCAGCCCGTTTTACTTCTCACATGACATTACAGCTTCACATAGAGAATTAGGCCAATCTAAAAGAAGCATTCTAATCACAACAGAGTGGGTGATAAAACAGATCAAAATAGTCCTTTTGTACAGATGGTTTGAGTAAGAATATAAAACTCATTGGTCAAAAAACAGTGAAAGGGTATTACAGGCTATTATAAGCCTAAGAGCCTATTCCATAACAGAAGATCCCTGTTCTCCATTAACACGTCTGCACTTTAACACCAACACTAATTATTAACATCGTTGTGTTATGGAAATGTTATTGTAGTGAGCCATACAACGGTTATTGTGGGTGCAACAGTTTCACACAACCGTAACATTAGATCTTGAGAAACTTTCAGGAGCCTGGGTATTTTGTCTAATAACAGAAGCATTCCACCTTGGACATGGAGGGTCAAAGTGAACGGAAAGTCAGAGGTAAAATAAGATAAGATAAGATGAACTTTATTGATATGGGTGTGCTTACAGTAAAGTGTCAATTAGTATCTGGTTTTCCAAAGGTTATAAGTCAAAAACTGAAATTACAAGCAAAGATTAGAAAAACTATTTCAAACAGACATATCAAGGAAATATTGTGGATAAAATCAAAAGAAAAGGTTGTCAAATTATTTTTGTATATCTTTAAACCGCCAGATCCGCCTCTGTTTTGATAATTCTACAGTGACTTCTGTTACATAGAAAATAAAAGGTCAACAAGAAGAATCAATACAAATTTCAATTACCCTTGAAAAATGGATGTGATAATTTCTGTATTTTTGTTTCTAAAAAATGAAACTTAAAAAAAATCCCAGATATGTACATGTCACATTTGGCAAAGATAGCATCACACAGGTTGTGCAAAAAGACAGGAATTGTACAAAAAGGTTAAAATATAGTATTTTCTGTGCAGGATATATTGTGTACAATAACAGATAAAAGTGACAATAGCAGTGTTTTTTCAGGACTAATACATTTATCTTAATTAAATATTGTTCTATATTTATTTACGTGAGTAAGCCAGTCTTGACTCCACAGAAAGACAACAAATAATAAGACCTTTAAAAACTATTGATCAAAGTCAAAAGTTAACAATTGATAATTCAACGTTACTTTGGTGGATTTTGTGATACTTCAGCCTCAGGGCATCAATGAATAACTCGGATAAACAAAACTTGGCCCTTGGCATTCCTTAAAACAGCCCTAACAGATACATGTCCATTACATAACGCTGCATAAAGGGAAGTACGTCAGCGTTAAATCCAAATCGAGACTCTGGGTTTATCTGCGAGGCTAGGCTAATCATGTAGCATTAGTTAACGGGTGCTATGGTGCTAACGTCAGATGCTAGTAGCTAATCCGCATTCTCTGTACCTTTAGATATCGACGTAGTGTTTGTTCTCAGCTGGTGCCCATACACTCGTACCTGTTGGATAGGCGGTCAAAGTTTACGGCTGAGGGTCAGGGGGTGGTGTAATTGTTGAGCATGTTGTTGACAGGTAGCCTCCGCTGTCACCAGATCAGCTCCTACTTCCGCTACAGGGCGAGAAGACTGGCGTTTCCGGTAGAAGGGGGGGGGGGGGGGGGGGGGTTGGAGGGGGGATATTTTGGAGTTTTTTTGTTTGATAAATGTGTAGAGTGTTTTATATATTATTACATGGTTATTACTATTATAAATACGTCTGAAACAATGTATTAAATTAATTATTATTATTATTATTAAAATTATTATTATTATTTATTTAGTCCGTATTTATGTTCTCTTTTTGATTACAATTTGAATTCTAAATAAATAAATATGAATGAGCTGTAGGCTGTAGTAAGAAAGTATATCCAGCAGATGGCGCACATCTTGGAATTACGTCCTTGATACGCCCACCGATGACGTAGAATCCCGTGACACTGCGTCCGCAGTCCCGAGCTTTCTTGCCAGATAGCTTCACTATATATGTTTTTTATTTTTTATTAGCGAGATGATAATTGGCTTTGTTTAAAGGCATTTGCAACATATTGTGTATCCAATGAAGATGCTGTCTCGCTTACTGAAGGAGCACCAGGCGAAGCAGAACGAGCGGAAAGAGGTTCAGGGTAATTCACGAAAGCTAAATGCTAACACATATGCATTGTGCTAAAAACAAATCTTCCCCGTGATACAAACGCATTTTTCCTATATGCTTTTGTTGCAGAAAAACGCAGACGTGAAGCAATAGCTGCAGCAACATGCTTGACAGAAGCCCTGGTTGATCATCTCAATGTTGGGTAAAAATATCATTGCATTACACATGAATAAATCAGTTTTTCATTCCTAAAAGTGCATTGTGAAATACTTCGGACAAAAGTTGAGTTGTAACAAGTACATTGATTATTGAAATAGTAAAAGTAGTAACCTTGACAGATTGATATCTGTCTTTAAGCATACCGAGATAAGAATGTATGTGACTCAGGCAACTAGGCAGAGCTGAGATCTCTGCACAATGAAATGAAAATTTGTAAAATATATCTTAATTTAAAAAACTGATGTTTTGTTTCAGCTATACTTTACCATCATGCCCTCGAGGGGAATAACTTTAGCGTCATCATGGACTTTTGAATTTTTCTGTAATCCTACATTTCTGACTTTTTATGATCTCTGAACAACTAATCGATTTATTGTCCAACCAATCTAATAAACAGATTCATTATATACATACTTGTTAAATTACAGCCCAAGAGCCAAACTAATACTATCATTTCATATTGCAATTTGCAAATGTTTATCTAAATGCCTCTGGAATGAGAGGTGATACCAGTTTTGTTTAAAAATCCAATAGCCTACCTGTGCAGCTTTGATTGAAGGTCCATGCTTAAAAACTAAAAATAGTTCATAAGGTTTTGAAAACCTGTGATGCAAGTATGATTGGGTTAGAACAAAGATTATCCTGTAATTGTGCCTATGTCTGAAAATATGTGTTCTGTATTTTGTTTGTATATTCAATCACATATATGTTGTCTGTGCACTAACTATACATATTCTATATTGTTTTTGTTTTTTTATTGAACCAGAGTTGCCCAGGCATATGTGAATCAACGTAAGCTGGATCATGAAGTCAAGACATTACAAGTCCAAGCCAGCCAGTTTTCCAAGCAGACCGCCCAGTGGATCAGTATGGTGGAAGGTTTTAACCAAGCCTTAAAGGTAAAGAAACTGCATGTTGTACTGTTAGAAGAGATACGAGATCCTTTATTCGTCACATAGTGGGGAAATGTCAATGCTGCAGCGCACATACACACAGTAGTAAGAGACACAGGGAGCACACAAAAATATACAAAATAAGTAGTAGCTATGTTTCTTTACAAGCTGTAAATCCGGTAAATTCTTCAATACATATATATACCAAACATTATATATATATATTTATATATGTAGTGTGGAGTTATACACTGTACAAATAGGGCAGGACAATAAGTAGATACGGTAAAGTGGCATTTTTCAGTGACACTCTGAAGTTGCAGTATTGTACATTGCACATGATTTCCTTATTTAAAGATGAATGACATTTACAAGCTCAGCAGTTCTCATTGTACAGTCTGACAGTGTTGATTAATAAAACTGAATTTAGGTCAGAAGCGACAGCTATTTGATGGGAAAATCAGATTAGTCTCATTGAAGCAGTGACACTGCTCAGTCGAATGAGAGGATTTGGCAGGTGCTGGAGTAATTGAATTTACACAATGACACCGTCTTTGCTCGGTGCACATTGATTCATCAGTCATCAAATCCAAGTTGTTAGATAATAATAAAATTATCCCCCTCAAATCATATCTTAATTCACAAACTTCCTTTTTTAATAAATACACAGTTCTGATCATTTTTCCATCATTGCTTTTTGCCAGGAAATCGGTGATGTGGAGAACTGGGCTCGCAGCATTGAAATGGACATGAGAACTATCGCCTCAGCGTTGGAGTATGTGCATAAGGGTCAGCTCCAAACAGCTTCCACGTAGTCCTGAACTCGGTTTCACTACGAGATGCAACCAGAAAAAAATGGTACTAAGTGTGCTTGAGGACTGCTTACAATATGGCCAATTGTCTACTTTATTTAAGAACAGTATGTAAAGCTAGGTTTGTGTATTTGATGTCTGTTTGGCCATTCATACAGGTTATTTTCTCTTTTTTATTTCATTGTCAATTTATGCTTGAATTTTTGTTTTTTAAATGTTTGTCATTGTTTTCAAGAGGCATCAATTCTGATTAAAAAAGTAAATCACTTATATAAGGGTTAACAATGTCACTGTTCCTCAATTGTTCGAAATGACCTTGTGGGAAAAATTGGTAAGAGAAAAAAACACTAGCACTACACATACACTGCTGGTTCAGGGTGAATAAGTGTGTTTGTGAGTGCAACAACGGACTGTGGGACAAAGGATGCAAATTAGCCCAGGCTGCAATGCAGAGAACATTAAAATGCACTGTCCCAACCAGTCGGGACAGTGGCAGTCCGGGCTCCAAAATGTCCATGAGCATGTGCGCCTGGCCGGTGGGGAGTGGACCTGGAAAGAGAATTACCCAATGCTTTTGTATGGGGTCTTCTTTCCTCTCAAAAACAACTTTACAGGATGTTCCAGATGCTGTCGATGCTGAGGGTAGTATTATTTTTTGGACCAGTCTAGTTTTGCCACTGTGGACTTCAGAATGCTCTCGTTAAATGAATGGGGCTTGTGTCGGCTAACACATACACAAATGTGTTTTTTTCACATTTTCCTGCCCTGCGGCCCTTTTGAAAAAGGAAAAAAAACATTAGTTACAACGGTGGAGATGGTGGCGTCACTACGTTTGTTATATTTACAGTCTATGGTCCCTGAGGAGCTCAGTCACACGGGAGGAGCTCGGAGTAGAGCCGCTGTTTCTTCAGGTCGAGAGGAACCAGTTGAGGTGGCTCGGGCATCTGTCCCGGATGCCTCCTGGACGCCTCCCTGGGGAGGTGTTCCAGGCACGTCCCACCGGGAGGAGGCCCCGGGGAAGACCCAGGACACGCTGGAGGGACTATGTCTCTCAGCTGTCCCCAGCCTTGGGGTCCCCCCGGACGAGCTGGAGGAAGTGTGTGTGGATAGGGAAGTCTGGGCATCTCTGCTTAGACTGATATTTTGACCAAAAGTGTGAAATTATTGAATAAACTTTTATCTAGATTAACTGTTTGTAAAAGAAAAAAATAATCTTAGTAGAATAAGAAAAGAGAAGACTGCAAATTCCTTGTTTTTTAACACATATTTTCTGCCAAACCAACACCAATGTCTCCCAAAGGGTGTGATTTGATTATGTGACTAGACTCAGTGGATTTAATAAAACACTTTGTCATGTTTGTCAGATAGAGACTTACACCACATGTGACAAGGACAAAAAGGGAAAAGTAATGTGAGGGTTAACGTTTTGCTTATTATTTTGTAGTTTGATTACAGCTGGATAATGCATCACGCGCCATCAATGTTGTGGAATTATTTTTCTCCAGAGGTCTTTATGGCCGTGCAAGCAGCCAGAGTTTTGCATGTTTTCCTCTGTGCACTGAACTATACACAGTGTTTCAGATTGTGGATTATAGATCGCGGACTTGTCTTAAAGGATCAACCAAAGGGATAAAGGGTCTCCGGTCCCTCGTGGGGCTGAGACGCAATCAGGGCGAGAAAGGGAAAGGTGTGGAAGTGGCTGCAGGCATCACCCAGTTACAAGGTAAGACTGGTGCAGTTACTAGATCTAGAATAGATTATTTATGAATCTGGATTTAGGCTTGATCTAGTTATTTTTTAAGTTAAATTTGGGAATGTTTACTTTTAAACCCAATGAATTATCAATTCAACTTGCTACATTTAATGCTTCTTAGAATTGTTTTGCCTAATCTCCAAAGAGAAACATTCTCTCCATTTTGTGTATCTATCTTTTCTTATTCAAGTTTTACAATTGTAGGCTTTTCATTTGACAAGAAAAAAATATTATGATTATTGTGAAATGAGGGAATGGGGAGAAAATTGAACTCAAGATTATAAAATTGTCACATTTATGACTATTATAATATTGTGATCTATACTATTTATCATCATTCAACTTTATATTCCTTCTATGTCTTCTACACAGCCTAGACAACATGTTATGTAACACAAAGTATATATTTTTTTGTACAAATGGGAGAACATTTATTTTATTGATTTGATGTCAACAAAAGGCCAGTCCTTTCTGTGTGGAGTTTGCATGTTCTCCCCATGTCTGGTGAAAGGATGGTGTTGGGGGCTTTGATGCGTCTGTGTGTTCGGCGTCTCGCTTCTGTCATCAGCGTGTGTGGATGGAATGGAAAAATTATCTGAACTCTCAACAGTTGTAAAGCGCTAGGTCTTTAAAATGCGCTATATGCATAAAGATTACTCCCTTGAAAAAGAGGTTCTTAATCTCAGTGGGACTTTCCTGGTTAAATAAAGGTTAAATAAAACATTAAAACTTACATACTCACTAAAATAGGGCACTATTTTCTGACAAACTGCTGTTTCTTCTTCATTTATAGTGCGTCTCATTGAACATGACTGAAAAAGCAAATAATTGGTAGAAGGCTCTGAAGGCTTAAGCAGCTTTGTCACAGGCATTACATTTATGTCTCAAAACAATGCAGCCTTTTCCCTGGACCCCCTCCTCCTCAAATACCTCTCCCTGCTGCATAAGAGTATTAACCAAAGATTTCTCATGCGCCAAATGCAGTTACGTATAACAGTCATTTTTTCAATCAGTCTCTTTGTGATTAGGAAAGAGTTTTCTAAGGCTATTCCTGCAACTTTTTCAAACAACTCGGTATACCAGATTTTGAAGCTTGTCTTATCTGTATTTGCGCAATATGTTTTCTCAACAGAACCTGAATTTAACCCCTAACACTGTGAGCAAGGCCAGCAGCATGGACACACAGATTATTTATGATCTTTTAGGGTAAGTAAAGCAAAACATTCCCATTTTACTCCATTTGACATTATACCAACACTATTTTTTTTGTTAAATAGGGAAAATGCATGGCTGTACATTGTGGGGACTTTCTCTGTGTTATGGGTACTTGTGTGGCTCTACAAAGACAGCCTGGAAGTGGATAACATCGGCGACAAGTATGTTTTTGTGACTGGTTGTGATTCGGGATTCGGGAACCTCCTCTGTAAGAAGTTAGATCGTAAAGGTTTTCGTGTGCTGGCTGGATGTCTGACAGAAAAGGGTGCGGATGATTTGAAAAGGGTGGCAGGCCCCAAACTGAAGACAGTCCTGCTCGATGTGACCAGCCAGGACAGTATACAGAAAGCAATGGAGTGGACCAACAAAGAAGTGGGAGATAAAGGTGAGTCCTGTTCTTAATATATGGATACGACATTTTTGAATGATGTAATATGGGGTCAGTCACTCCTCCCTTCTGCCTGGAAGAGAAATGATGTGCTTTAAAGTCATTGGATTGAGCCTGTTTTATTTCTTCACCACTTCAATATCTCGTTCTTAAAGCCAGTGTACCTCCCTCGTCTCGTCTCGTCAACAAGTAAAATGTTACAGACAAATGAGACCACAATTATCTGACAAGAAAATGTGTTTTATTTTGTCTACTTGTAAGAAAGAGGCCTTTTTTGTTGCTAGCCCATAGCTCTGAATCTCTGTAGTAATAGTAATCCTTTATCATGAGGATTTTATATAACCACCTTGTGAACCAAGTTTTGTACACAGAAATACAGAAATTATGATAATAGTTTATTTCAATATTGCTGTCCAGTGTAGTCAGAGCACTTTACTTTGTAGCTTTCATTCTCCCCTCAAAAGACAATATATGATTCACCTTTGTCTGATCCTCAGAGGAGAAGTGGCTTTGTTGTGCACATTACAACAGAGTAGAAGGAGAAATACATTCAGAATATGCACAAATATGCAGGATCTATACTGAATTAATAATACAGTGCCTTGCGAAAGTATTCGGCCCCCATTCAACCTTTTCAACATTTCAGGCTTCAGACATAAAGATATAAGATTTAATTTTTTTGTCATGAATCAACAACAAGTGGGACACAATCGTGAAGTGGAACGAAATTTATTGGATAATTTAAACTTTTTTAACAAATAAAAAACTGAAAAGTGGGGCGTGCAATATTATTCGGCCCCTTTACTTTCAGTGCAGCAAACTCACTCCAGAAGTTCAGTGAGGATCTTTGAATGATCCAATGTTGTCCTAAATGACTGATGATGATAAATAGAATGCAGTAGTTATCTGCAGTTCATCCAGAGTGATCATGGGCCTCTTGGCTGCATCTCTGATCAGTCTTCTCCTTGTTTGAGATGAAAGTTTGGAGGGACGGCCGGGTCTTGGTAGATTTGCAGTGGTCTGATACTCCTTCCATTTCAAAATAATTGACTTGCACAGTGCTCCTTGAGATGTTTAAAGCTTGGTAAATCTTTTTGTATCCAAATCCGGCTTTAAACTTCTCCACAACAGTATCTTGGACCTGCCTGGTGTGTTCCTTTGTCTTCATGGTTCTCTCTGCGCTTTAAACAGAACCCTGAGACTATCAAAGAGCAGGTGCATTTATACGGAGACTTGATTACATACAGGTGCATTCTATTTATCATCATCAGTCATTTAGGACAACATTGGATCATTCAAAGATCCTCACTGAACTTCTGGACTGAGTTTGCTGCACTGAAAGTAAAGGGGCCAAATAATATTGCACGCCCCACTATTCAGTTTTTTATTTGTTAAAAAAGTTTAAATTATCCAATATATTTTGTTCCACTTCACGATTGTGTCCCACTTGTTGTTGATTCATGACAAAAAATTAAAATGTTATATCTTTATGTTTGAAGCCTTAAATGTGGCGAAATGTTGAAAGGTTCAAGGGGGCCGAATACTTTCGCAAGGCACTGTATAATATGAATACCAATCAAACCAATGTCCCATAACCCTAACCCATTTTGACTGGCTACTGTAAAACATAATCCTTCATTATTCAGAGACCAAAATCCTGTCAAAATGATTTAATTACAGACATTTCTAAAACTGTTATTTCATCTTGTTTAGGCCTTTGGGGTATTGTCAACAACGCAGGCCGGGCGCTGCCGATGGGGCCGTCGGAGTGGATGAGGATGGAGGACTACAGGGGTACTCTCAAAGTCAACATGGACGGAGTGATTGCCATGACCATGACTTTTCTGCCCCTCATCAAGAAAGCCCAGGGCCGAATCGTGAATGTGGCGTCTGTGTTGGGACGGGTGGCAGCTAACGGGGGAGGTTACTGCATCTCCAAGTTTGCAGTGGAGTCTTTTTCCGACTGTCTCAGGTGTGGCTCTGTAAAATATGGTGAAACAAAGTGTAAAAGTATAGTGAAAAAGTGTGTTTTGAAATATAGTTAGAAACATTGTACTGTAAAGTAATAGAAGTGTCTTGTCTAGTACATAACAGTATTTCCCAATATTTTCTGTGTTTTTGTTTCCATGTCTCAGGTTAGATTATTGTGGCTCCTACTATTGTATACTTGATTGATGGTCTATATTACTCCAAAATACTATTTTACTATTCAATTTTCCATTTCCAAAACTAAAGCTATTCTAGGAATCCATAAATGTGTATATTTCAGTGGAATGACCCCTTTTTAAAACATAAAGTAAGTCTTCAAATACTCATTTCAGAGTACATTGGATACATTTTTATTGCCAGGTAACATAGCTAGTATTATGTCATGAATCTCAACCAGGAAGTAAAATTATTATTAAAAATGAAAGTCAAACTATTTAAAATATTTTGCAAATGTAATGTGTGTTTTGTGAATTAATTTAGTGTGTAGGTATTTGTGAGCGTGCTGCACTTCTACAGTAGTATTTCTTACTGTATATCCCATAGAGACTTGTTTGTATTCTTATCACTCTAAAAAGATATTCAAAAAATCATCTCTGTCCCTCTTAAAATTAATTGTGATTTTGCTTTTAAACTTCATGCCTATTATTGCTATACCGTTCATTAAAATGGACAAATGCGCTCTATTCTTATCCCATTTATATCCTTGGCTTGTACCGTTTCAGGAGGGATATTCACTACTTTGGAGTGAACGTGTGCATCATTGAACCAGGATTCTTCAAGACGGCTGTGACCAGTCTGGAGCCTCTGGAGAGAGAGCTCCACCGCCTCTGGAACCAACTCAGTCCAGAGGTGAAGGCCAGCTATGGAGACAAGTACCTGGACAAGTGTGAGTTCTACAATGAATACTGCGGATACATATTTATCATGAAGTGCTTTTTTTGCTTGCATATTTGGCTATTTGATGTTTGTTTTTTTCCTTTACAATAAGTTAACAAACAAGTATTTTTATTATTATCTTTCAACTGGTTCACCAAAATATCTCAAAGTGCCATGGAAATAATTGTTTTATTCTTCTAACTTTTATTTGGAAAGCATTTTGTGATACCTAAACTCATCAATACTATTGTCATCAAAGTGTTACTTATCCATTCTGTCTTTCTTTACAATTCCAGATTGAACAGAAAGCACTAAATTTGTAATCCATTGTATTTGTAGACATCAATGTGCAGCGGTTGATCATGAACGCTGTGTGCGACTCGGACCTATCCAAAGTGACCAACTGCATGGAGCACGCCGTGTCCGCTGCCTACCCCAGGACACGTTACAGTGCAGGCTGGGACGCCAAGCTCCTCTGGATCCCCCTCTCCTACATGCCCTCCTTTGTGGTGGACCTGGGGCTCAAGCTGGTGCTGCCACGGCCCTCCAAAAGTGTCTGAATCTGATTGTTCTGTGATGTTTCCATTGCAGACAAACCTAAAGTGCATTTGATAGGTTACAAGGACCAGGCGTTAAAACCAACCACACATATAGTTTTTTCTTACATAATAACACATGTTTGTGCCAGTAGAAGGAGTCTTGTAAAAGTAACATGCTGTTAACAAATCAGACCTGAACATACTGTCTTCGTCCTATATGTCTGTCTTTGTCAGAAAATATATAATACTTATGAATATTATTATTTTTCTTTGATTGCCACACTCACCGTCTGCGGGCGGTTATGCCTCTCAGTTCAGTTCCCAGCACTGCACTTTGATTAGTTCTACTTTCACTTACAACCTATTATCTTATGAAACATCAATTTAAATTGTAATTCAGCAAGATAGGTAATTCTACCACAGATTTCCACTTATATATCATAACTATGGAGGTGAGCTTTGTTGTTTACGTTATGGTTTCTATGGTAACTACCTCTAGCTATACAGTATGTCACATCTCATGTCCAACCAAGAAGAAACACCAAACTAAGCAAGTGAAGATTTTGAGTCAAACATTTTATTGATCTGTTTGGATGACCTTATCATACCTGTCATATGGGCTTAAAGAATATTCATATACTCTTGTATCCATGTGTATTTATGACAATTATAATATACGTACTAATCACTCCAGTGCCTGTACTGCTGTTCGAAATATTAAATACTTATGTAAGCTGTTTTTTTCCTTCAAAATATATTATACCTTGTTTTCAAAATGCTTCTTAAATGTGATGTGTTATCCCCTAGAAAACTGATCTATACTCCAGGTGTATTATGCAACCCTTTTATGTTCTAGTAGCACTTTTGACCCACTAGATGGAAGCATAATCCACAGTAAACCACGGAAGCAAAAAAGTTATATTTCCACTAGACCTCTGTATAGATCAATCCACATGTCTACTTTATATGTATACATACGTCTATGTCATGTATACGTCAATAATGTATAATAACAACAAATGATTGACTAGATGTAATTATTTTATTATCCCCTCATATATCAGTCGTTTCTGTTGTTAAGCAATTGTGCAACCGTGAAAGAAAATACAATCTTGCGGTACAGGTCAAAGGCTTTGTGCAGTTGAAATATCTCCAGGACTTGGGAACAGGTGTTAAAAGAAGGAGTTGTTATGATGCGTGACGGTGGTCTCCGCTGATTGGCTGCGCTCAGTCTTCAGAAGTGGCACATGTCTGATGTTATGGCTGTATGACAAGAGTCTATGCGTGACGCGCGTCCTGTCTGTGTCCTAAAAGTTATTCCAGGCCTGGTTGCTGCTTTCTCTGGACACTGGAAACATTTGGCACCGACTTCTGCATGCGCACTCACCTTCAGGTATGCCCTACAGAGGCTGTTTTGTTTGCGTGTGGCATTACACTCCACGGTGTTTTCATTGTTAACACAAACAAGCGTGATAACCTGTTCCCTTTCGTGCGTGAATGCATCTAAAGTCTCCAAACGTGTTTCGACTGTAGGTTCCCTTCTGATCCTTGGCCGGAACCATGCTCTGTATTAGGGCCCTGCGCAGAGTTACCAAAAGGTCACAACTCCTGTCCAGAAATGTGGAAGCCGCCAGCAGGGGCTCTCCGGCTTCTCTGCGGGGCTGTAAGAGCTCAAACTTGGATGGATTCAAGAGGCGAACCGCTGGCCACATGGATCTGTTCAAAGAGTGAGTGTCAAATGCATCTTATCACAGAGAAGGAATAAATGTCAAGTCAGGATGGATGGCTGATGACCATGGATCTGTTATGGTGATGACCTACTTCTTTTAAAATGTTAATATAAGTGAAATAACCAAGATGGATAGGCTACACTACAACATAATACATGAATATATATCATATCTCAAGATACCACTTAGTTTAAAGATCCAGTAAAGTCATTTTTTGTTTTGAAAATAAGTGTTTAAGGCAGTCAACTTAACCCTTTCTGTGCCAAAGAAGCAGAATTGCATGAGCTGCAGTATATACAGTTGTATGTATAGCATCCTGTATATACAGTTGTATGTATCGCATCCTGTATATACAGTTGTATGTATAGTATCCTGATTATAGTATGTATGGACTATATACATGCAGTACAAGTACTGTATGTAGCAATTGCTGTACTACAAGTTGCTACTTTTTTCAAGTTGTGTGAAACTTAAAATCATACATTGGCCGGATTGCTACATGGCCTTTATTGCGATGCATCAGTGTATGTACTTTAATTTAGTTTAAAAAGTCATTAAATGGCCTTATTTTGCTCCATCAGCTGTTGGTTAAGCTTTGCATGTCAACGTGCAAACTTCCGGCTTATGTTCAAGTTTGGTCTTTATGTGGAAAAATAACACAACAAATAATGAGACCAGACAGTTATTACAAAAAAGTGGAGAGGGCGGTTCTTTCCTAAAATTGAGGATAATCCTTCTATATACCTCTAGCTATAATAATTATAATAATAAATAAGTAAGTATATATCCTGTATAACACAAGGTAAACATTCACATTTAACGTGTGCTTTATTGTGAAATGTGAGAGGCATATTAGACTAAATTGCATACTTGAAATTCAATGACTAGGCTGATTAATAATGTTTATTTATTCTTTTTTTTAATCTCTTATAGAAATGTCCACTCTCAGCCACCCTGCAGCGCCGGAGTGGAGGACATGCTTTTCTACACCATCACTGGAGGGAAAGAGCAGGTTCCCATTGCCCAGTTTAACTCAGTAGGTAGATAAAGCTCTGTATTTCCTCACACTTTTGGCGTTTATCAAATGCAGTGTGAGACTTTTTACTCACGCTTTAGGCCCTGAAACAGACCGGCCTGCTCCCGTCAGACCCGCGCCTCAGGGACTGTATGGAGAAGCTGCGTCAGGCGGTCAGGCAGGCAGTCGGGGACCTCATGATGGACAGAGACCTATTTCACAGGTTTGTTTTTGCCCTGTGCACCCCTCACCAGGATATAGTCAGGGCATGAGGACCTCAGGGTTGCCACACCGGGGCCGCAATCGTTATTGGGCTTTACTGTTAACACCAGAACCCCCAGTGCAGTCAGTTTGACGGCTTTTAGCTTTGTATAGATAGATAGATATTTTATTTTTACCCTGTAGGAGAAATTCAGGTGTCCAGTAGCAGCAGAAACACATCTATCCACACAAACAAAATAAATACATCATTCTGAAAATAGCTAACAACAAAGTGTAATTACTCTTGCATCTTTTTGATCTGTGCAACATTCTGTTTCTTTGTGTAGTTTATGTCTATGTCATTTTTTGTTTTTTAGTAAATAATCTTTTAGTTTTTAAATGTGATGAGTTCTCCCTTTAACTCTCCGTAAACAAAATAAGTATAAGGTATTTGGATTTTTGTAGACTACATGAACCAACTGGACCAGAAAAAAGATGGCTTGTTATTTTAAATGATTATTAATTGTGAGCCGCACTTCAGGGACTGGGTTCAATGTTCAGAATGGACTAAATTACGTGGTTTATTTCTAGCAAAAATTACCTTTAAAATGATGCCATAGTATCTCAGATTAAACTCTTAGTATCAATGTACCCCTTGTAATACACTTGTGTACCCTTAGGGGCCCATGTACTCCTGGTTGGGAAACACGGCTGTGAGAATTGTTTTTAGTTAATAATATGATAATAATAGCGCTTTTCAGGACACTCAAAAATGTTTTTACATGTCAAAATTCTTTCACTTCCTAAACAGTGGTGATAAACTACTGTAGCCACAGCTGCCCTGGGGCACACTGACAGAAGCGAAGCAACCAGTCTGTGCCATCAGCCCCTCCGACCACCACCAACTATTCACACACACACCAGACTCATTCTAATGTGGGTGAAGTGTCTTGCCTAAGGACACGACGACAGTTTGCCACTTTACAGCCGCCCCACTGTGGCACCTGGTCCCAGAGGTCTCCCATCACAGTACTAACCAGGCCATGCCCTGCTCACCCATCAAAGCATTGTTATGTATTGTATTTGCCTTCAGTAGTTTGTATTATGCTGGAGTAACAGTGGGTGGTAGATTTTACCTCAGATTGTTCTATTCTCAAACTAAATCATTTAAATATTGTTAATGAGACTCATAACTTTCTTCTTTTGTTTATCTTCAGGACAGTATCGATTGGATTTAGCAAAGATGCTATTTGACATTAATAAACACTTATTAGCTATCCTGGGCTAAGCCAATTTAAATCTGACCTTCAACAAGAATTTGTTTTAATGAATGTTTTTGCATCCTGGATCCGTGCCGTCGTCTCCATATTTAATAATACAGCGTTGGTAATAGAACATTTTCAAAGCCAATTAAAATCCACGACTACACATTAAGTGTTTATCCAAAACAAAACAACAGAACTAAAAAGACCCACAGCCAAGGCTATGTTTATGTTTAATGACTGTAAAAACTTGCTTGACTCAGGAAGAATAGTTTGACTCCAGTTCGAGCAGCTAATGGAGATTAGAAAAATAGAAAAATACTAATTTGACTGCATTTGAATAACTAAACTTCATTACAGAAATATCAATTATCACTGTCAGTTTCAATTCTACAGAGAACAACTACAGATTCATTCAATGTCTACAATCATATATGTATATTTGAACCATTTTTGTACTTGATAACATTATAAAACCACAGCATTTTTCGAGCATTGCGTTGGAAGATCGCAGAAACGTAATCCTTGCTTTGTGCTTGAATACAGAAAGCAAAATATGTGGGCTCCGTAAAAGTTGGTTCTGCTCCTCTCCGATAATGAACTCCTCCCACACAAACTGAAACATGGTTCATAAAAGCGGTGGTGAGCTTGCGCTGTCTCTTTTGGTTTTTTCAGGTGCATGGGCGGAAGCATCGTCCTGCTGATACAAGCCTTCAGGAGGAAATTCATTATCCCGGAGTTTGACATTTTTGCAAAGCAGATAAACCACATCTACTACAAAGTGGAGAAACAATCTGATGGAAAAGTAAGGCTTTAATATGTGTTATGCATATGTTTTTGTTCTTATTCCTTGTTTATGTTTGGCTATATGACTTATTAAACTAGGATTACAGTAAATTAAGTTTGAGAACATATCTTATAATGGGTTTAAAACAGAGGATGACAGTGAAATGACAATTATGTGAGGTAAAAAGTTATACTAAAAGAATACTTTTGGGGTTTTGGGGTTGTGCTTACAGAAATAACACAGACTTTTCTTTTTTTTTTCAAACAACTACGTAACACAGACTTCTATAATCATGTGTTTTCTGCTGCCCATGTCCAACAAGGAATTACAAATGCAACTTTAACTTCAAATTGACCATACTAAACAAAATAGACTGGAAAAACATTCAACCATCTCAACTGTAAGTGAAAACCTTTTCCTACTGTCTCATATAAATGGTCAAATTGATACAGCCCTTTTTTTGTTACTTTAATCAAGGCAATCAAAGCATTTCACCAATAAAGTGTGAAGGGTTAAGTGTCTTGTCGGCAGCAATCATCAATAGGAGCTGGTTTCACGCCTGCATTCAATCTGACTGTGTGGAGAGAGAGACAAATGCCCACAACAATTGTAAAGCGCTTTGAGACTCTGGTCTGTGAAAGAAGCTATTTAAATGAAGATTGCTTACTTACTTACCAACCACCAACCCTTCGCTCAGAGGATGCTTTACCAACTGAGCTGCTGCCCACAATGCACATTAGTTAAAGATACAGTCTTTGTCACAACAGGCAGAGTGGGCGGCAAACGTGAAATTGGCATTTTCTGTTTAGCCATTTTCGGTTTAGAAAATCCGATAACTCCGGTGCACTCACGAGAAACAGGAAGAGGGTGAAGGGGGTAAACACATCCCATTGGTTCGTTGGGGATGAACAAATCCCATTCGTTTATTTTTATCGGTCCGCTCCAAAATGTTTTGTATTAATTTTTGTAAACTATAGGTATCTGGTCCATTCCATTACTCTTTGAAAACTCATGATTCTTTTAGGGTTTAGTGACGTTTTTCCACAATATTAAAACAAAAATCTAGTAATTACCCTGATTCTTGAATACAAAGTGTAAAAATGCAGTCACTATATTCTCTTTCTATTCTTTACAAACACTTGTTGTGATGTCTTTAGGTGGCAGACTACATTCCGCAGTTGGCAAAGTTCAACCCGGAGCTGTGGGGTGTTTCTCTGTGTACAGTGGACGGTCAGAGGTACTGGAAAAAAAACATTGGACTTTGTGTCTTAGTACTAATGCAACAGGCAGGTCGAGAAAATAACCGTTCCTGTGCTAATATGACGGTAACATATCAGCACAGGAAATGACTGAAATACTGAAATTGACTGAAAAATTAGACTATTTTTAGAAACTCTGCCCAGTTTGAGAAATGTTGCTGAAAAAGGGCAGTGTCAAATGCGTTCTTTTCAAACCTCTGAAAAGAACGGACCTTTTTGGACTTGCTCTGCTCTTGTATGATAGCAAAATCTACTTTATTATTATTTACACGCAAACTTGTGAAGACCGAACCAGTGTAGATATGAAAAAAGTATTGATAATAAGGATCAATATAAACAATATGTAATCATCTTTAAGTAATTTATGTTAATCAGTAAAGTTGCAAGATTGTTTTTTGGCAATTTTTCATGAAGGGGAAGCTGGAATTAAGCACAGCGATTTACTTTCTTTCATTATTAAAGCTGGGGTACTGACAATTTGTTTGTTCCGGTAAAAAGTCTTGTAAAAGCAAAATCACACCACGACGTCTTTATCACATATACACATAACTAAATTTCTTTGCACTAGAGTAAACAGATGTTTGTACACTTTTTAAAGTTGAGCTATACTAAAGAGTTTAAAGAGTTGTGCTATACTTGATATTCACTCATCTTATTTTGCTGTTTTGTGCTTCCTCTTCCAACTGTTCTGTATCTTGAGATTAAAAACATACATTGTAATACCTTAACCTTAACACAGTACTTGTAAGAAAGATCCCGGTGAGGCGCAATTAACCCTTTAGGCGCCAGAGGTTTGTTCCTCAAGAAGCTCAAATTTGACATAAATTTCATAATAACTTAAAAGTAAACATGAGATAGAGGCTTCATGTCATTAGAGAAAGGATAAGAATGCAGGAATTAAATGGAGCCATCTAATTTGCATATTATGGTATCATATGGGCGTGGCAATCATGGATGTTCATTAAATGTATATTTGTTTATTTTTACTGACAGACACAAATTACTAGAACATGAATACACAAACAGAACTCACATTGTACCACACTCAAGGGTTTCAGGGAAATAGTAAATCAGAGTAAATCATTTTGTGGCAGGTGTTTGAATGATTATTGACACAATCAGTCGTTTTAAACAGTACAGCCCATTATCAATATAAGTCAACCGTGGCGCCCAGAGGGTTAACACATGTGAAAACTTGTAGTAGTGTTGTGAAACTGATTTGAGAGCTGGACACTGGTTTGTTGGATTTTCCTCGAGAGTTACAGTTTTTGTATATTGAAAATTAGGTACAATAGTTTAAGTTTTATTTCAGTTTTATTATGGCTTGGGTACTAAAATGTTGTCATGCATGGATGTCATAGATTATAAATAAATAGCATTTGTTGACAGCTATGGTCTCCTCACTTCCGTATTTGTATTTCTTTATGTATTTGACCTGGGAGAGTAGATGTCAATGAACATATGTAGTGTATTGTTGCCAAAGGATATTTTGTGTAATAATTTAGTACTAGTTGGGGCTGGGGTCACAGGTGATTATAAAGAATTACTGCAGATAAAAAAGCAAACATCAACAACAGAAATGAACACACACATTATTATTAGTGTTACAGCGTAGAGCAATACATTTCCAAAACCTGGGACATGTGGGACACTACTTTGATTGATTGCAGTGTGTTTTGCCCCCAGACACTCAGTGGGCGACACGAAGCAGCCGTTCTGTCTGCAGTCCTGTGTGAAGCCCCTGCAGTACGCCATCGCGGTGCACGAGAAGGGCACTGACGCCGTGCATCAATATGTGGGGATGGAGCCCAGCGGGGTCAAGTTCAACATGCTCTCGCTCGACGATGAAGGTAGGAGACTGTAGGGCCATACGCAGGAATATTAAAACACCAAGATCTAATGTTTCTAGAATACTATCAAGAATATCATGTTTGTGTTGATACAGTATATGTAATAAATGTCGATTTACAAAAGGAAAATGTATATCCGCTGTTTAATAACTAGTCATCATTTGGCTATTAATTGAGTCTTTGGGGTCTACCCTTTGCAAATATTGAAAGGGTTATGATCAGTTTTAGCCCCCATCCGTAAACTCTGGTCAGTTCTCAATTCCTACATGTTCGCCTGGGTCTGATCTTAGTGACTGCAGTTACTATTCAGCGAGTGGGGGAGGCGGGTGTTGTAGCTAGGTGTCGGGACGGTAGACGTTTGCGCCAAATTTGCTGGTTGTAGTTTGGCAATGGCAGCAAATGTGATAATGAAGTGATCCGTTCTGGTTCGGCTCCAAATATCAAATAATTGAAGTCGGAGCAAGAGGAATGTTTAGCAAATACCACTGCTGGCAAAGATGTTGTGGCTCTACTCCCCACAGGCTCTGTTAGTCGAAGGCTACATGCTAAAGCTAGGCTAAATGCTAAACGCTTCACTCACATTACATCCGTCTCTGTTAAAGTCACATCCAATCGTTTCAATCTGCAAAAGGAGTTAACCCTTCCCACCTGTTAACGGAGCTCAATGGAGCAAATTGAGGCACCATACAAAAGTATTGGGTAATTCTGTTTCTGGGTACACCCCCACCGGCAAGGAGTGAAATTGCAAGCATGTCAGCGCACGTGCTCAAGGACCTGGTGGAGCCGAGACCCGTCCCTACTGGTTTTCAACTTGCTGTTTTCTACGGCACTATGAAATGCTTTTACCATTCTCATTACGATAAGCTTTTTCCTGTTGAAAGTCCATAAATAACCTTGTATCTTATCATGGGGTCTTTGTTTCAGATAAACCCCACAATCCCATGGTGAACGCCGGAGCTATAGTAATCAGCTCACTTATCAAGGTAATCACTACTGTACATGACGTCGCACGTAGATAGTCTGGAATCAGCACATCTACATCAGAGACTCTTGAGTAAATGTATTACCTCCAGAGTCATTCTAGCCCGGTTCGACACTGCTCATATCTGCCTGACTAGAATGAGCAGCAAATAATAAAATAATAATCCCATAAGTGTCTTTAAATATAGTTTCTAATTTTCTGAAGAAGGATTATTCAATACAAAAATAAAACCAATGCATTCATAATAAAATCAGCCAATAGTAATAAACAATACAATTCTACAACATTAATGGACATTTATCAACATTCATGGGCATGGTCAAGTCCCCGTATGGTCAAGTCCCCGTATGGTCAAGTCCCTGTATGGACGAGTACCTATGTGTTCTGTATTTTTTTAGTTTGAACTGTTTGATTCTCAGATCTGTTGTTCCTGATTTCAACAGTTTTGAAAGACAGACACTAACCCTCGTTCTTCTCTGAATGGTGTGTATCATTTGTATTTTCTTGATTACTCAAATCTACTCAATTTCTACTGGAAACGTGTGAGAAAATGTTTGACCCACAGAGGAGGCCAAAATCTGGTTAGGATGCCTAAATTGTAATTAAAATTTAGTTGGTATAAAAACTATGAGATTATGATCTTAAGGTCAAGATGATAAAAAGATAATATAATCCTTTATTTGTCCCGCAGTGAGGAAATTGCAGCGCACATATAGGAAAGTTGTAAAAGCACACAGGGACTACACAAAATATGCATTTAATTGACTTTCTTTCAATGGAACAACCTGCAGTACAATTGGACAACAACTTCGAAAGGAATAACGTTGGCCCATGGACTATAACCAAACATTACATTAGTTGAGACAGTGGGTGTGTCAACTAACATAAACTGGAGCTACAATGTTTAATTTATATGAATATATAATCACAATGATCGTCATTTAAGGGAACTCTGTACACACCGGTGTATGTATGTGTGAATATGTATGTACTGTACTGTATATGTATGTGTGTATATGTATATGGATGTGTGAATCAGAATCAATTTATTGCCATTTGCAGAAAAAAAAAAAACGACATTGGAATACAAACAGGAGACACCGGGGGGCATCAACACCACAAAGCACACACACAGACAAAAAGAATAAGAAAAAAATAGCGAGACAAGATGCAATGAGGCACATTTAAAACTCTTAAAACTGACTGTGGCTCTGGTCTGTGAAAGGCGGTATATAAATAAAGATTACTTACTTACTTACTTACTTAAAAGCATGATTAAGAAACAATGAAGAGCTACAAAGAGAAGCAGATCTCAAGAAGCTCTGTTCAGTCTTAAAACCACCTGAGGGAAGAAGCTATTCACATGGCGGGTGGGACCGGAATCTTCTCCCCGAGGGAAGAGGCTGGAACAAGGCCGCTCCAGGATGACCAGAGGAGTCATTTACAATACTCAGGGCTCGGTTTAAGAGTCTGCTCTCATAAAGAGCCTCCAGAACAGGCATCTACAGTATATTGTACGTATATGTACTGTATATGTATGTGTGTGTAAGTATGTGTGCATGTATATGTACTGTATGTATGCCTGTGTGTATATTTATATGTAAGTGAGATTGACTTTATTATCTCATATTGGAGAAGTGGGTACATGTATTGAAGCAAATTCAATAGTTTTATTCATACGTTGCTAATTTCTACCTCCCATTCCCCGCACACTGTACACAGATAATATGGTCTAAATTATGCAATCAGCTTTATTCATGAAGCTACACTACCCTGTCTGTGTGATTACTGCTGCACAATCCCGCCACTCTTCATTATGGCGCCGATTGTTTGAAAGCAGCCATTTACAATCAGCGTATTTGTGAGAAAGCAAACCACTTTGTGCTCTGTTCACAGCCCCACACGAACAAAGCGGAGAAGTTCGACTATGTGAGTAAGGTGTTGTAAGAAGCTGTGGCAAGTCCCCCGCCATGACCTCTCAATAATACATGTGTCCTCTGTGTCCAAGGTGATGGAGTTTGTGAAGAGGCTGGCAGGACAAGAGTATGTTGGGTTCAGTAATGCAACGTGAGTGTTTACGTGTATACAGTGACAAGAATAGAAACATATGTCTGCAAACATTAAAGGAGCTGAACAGTTAAGTCACATAATGTAAAGTTTTGCATTGACATGAACAGATATAAACTTTTCTTTGTCTATATCAAAACTGCAGAACTAATAACCCATATTTGCATTGCATGAGCTATGTACAATTTGTTCTTTTAGTTAATGTTGAGTTTTGATAATAAAAATATGCTAGATGAATTCTTGAGGAAATGCTTCAGGTGCTCTGGCTTCTCCTATGAACTAAAAACACGTGTGGAAATTGGCCCACGGCTAAAACAATATGTCTACTTTATATTGTAACTGGATATCTGAATTTCTTTCTTTTTAAATGTTTAATGTCACATTGTGTTACTTTAATAACATCTGTAATAATGTATTTTATAGTAAAGGCATCTACCCCTTGATCAAAAAAATCCATATTACATTGGACTCTCTTTCACTGGGATATTATCCTCAGCAGTATTTATCTTGTTTACTCTTGTGCTAATTAGTACAACCTGACACAACATATTTTTACAGTCCGCCTTGTTTTCCACCAGAGCATGCTGGATTCCTCCATTGTTGTTTTGCATTATTTATGTTGGAGTATTGACCCGCTCTGCTTCTGTCTCAGGTTCCAGTCCGAAAAAGAAACGGGTGACAGAAATTTTGCTATTGGATACTACATGAAAGAGAAGAAGGTCAGCAGCTAAGGAACATTTTTGCTATGTACGCAAAACAGTTATCTTTATTCATTGTCCATCTGTAATCTGTAAATTATACTATCGTAGCACAAAAGTTCAAGTTCAAACCGATATCATTCATGTTTCCCTGGTTTGAACTGACCGTTTCTTCTCATGTAAAATCTGAAATGGATCCTGTTTCTCTCACAGTGTTTTCCTCCTGGCGTCGATATGATTGATGCTCTCGACTTCTACTTTCAGGTAAAATTACAAACATTAAAGTGGATATAACCTGCAAAATTGATGTGGATAGGTTCCATTCAATGCAACACATTTATCCACAAATGTATAGAACAGGTTTCTTGGATTCAGTTTCATACTCTCTTTGCGCAAATGAAAGTATATGGTGCTCTTTCTCTAAAAGACAAAATAATATGCTATTTCCAAGCATTTCCAGTTGCTAGTAAAAAATACATCTGAGTTGTTCCAGTGGTTCTCAACTATCGCAGGGGGCTGGAGATGATTGATGAAGATAAATCCTTTTTCATCTGTCAGTGGGGAAATTTCAATGTCATGGTTGCTGTTGTCATTACTGAAGGAAAGAAGGAGAACTAAGAGCACTCAAACTAAAAACACTCAAACCAATCACTTAAATGCACAAATCAAACAGGATCAACTGTTTAGGATAATATATAATAGAATAATAAAAACAGAAAATAATTAACTCTGGAGCTATAATTGCACTTGGTTCAAAGATAAGTCACTTGTGGAGTAAACAGTACTCTGAAGTCAGCAGCAGACATGAGTTTCTAATTTACAAATGGTTGGTTTTGTTTTTCAGGAAAAAAATTGACCAGATAAATAATCATATCAGCAGTAGGAAAGTAGTAAATTATCATAACAGAGTAATGGAATATGTAATAAAGTAATCATAATTGCAGATTAGTGACTAGTGAAATACTAGTAAATTATCAAAACAGATGAATTGTACAGTCTGACAGGAAGTAAAAGACCTTTGGAACTGCTCCTTCACACAGTGAGGGTGAATTAGTCTGTCACTGCAACTGCTCTCCAGAGCAGACAGAGTGTCCAGCAGGGGGTGACAGTCAAGCTTTGCAAGGCAAACTGCAGCGGGTTCATTGCTGCTTTCACCGTGTAGCGGAGGTGGTCCAGGACTAGCCTCCCAAGAGTCTTCATCCAGTGGGATGTCAGAGCCACCGGCCTGAGGCTGCTGAGGTCTTTTGCTGTGGTGTCTTTATTTCACCAATTATCTGACAAAAACTATCATCATATAAGTTAAATCAAGTCAAATAACCAATTCATAAGTGGATTTAACTTCCAATTGGTTGTTTATTTAAACCGTATCAACAGGGACCACGAATCACACGTATTTTGAGGACCCTTACTGAAAAGTTTGAGAGACTTTTATCAATTATTTTTTACACCACTGAAACCACTCTGTTTTGGTTCAGCTCTGCTCCATTGAGGTGAACTGCGAGTCGGGAAGCATCATGGCCGCCACTCTGGCCAACGGAGGGATCTGCCCCATCACCGGCGAGCGTGTGCTGAGTGCGGAGGCTGTGAGGGACACGCTGAGCCTCATGTACTCCTGTGGGATGTACGACTTCTCTGGAGAAATGGCCTTCCATGTGAGCTGCCCAACATCACCCCCAGGCCAAAGCACTGAACTAATGCTGTGTGTGTGTGTGTGTGTGTGTGTGTGTGTGTGCTCAGGTGGGCCTTCCTGCCAAGTCTGGAGTGTCCGGGGCCATTCTTTTGGTCATTCCAAATGTGATGGGGGTCTTATGTTGGTCTCCTCCGCTGGACCGGGTCGGGAACAGCGTCCGGGGGATACACTTCTGTCAGGCAAGGATATGGCTTATATCTCTCAATAATATTGGCCAGGCTTTTCATGAAACCACTTTATTAATTCATTAGATGAGAGAATTAGTGAAGTATTTATCTTTTTCAATTGCTGACACCACAAGACTCTTTTTCACGAGCGCCATTCACACACAACGCAACAACTTACACAAGCACAACAACAAAACAGTTAAAAGTAGTTCAATATAAAATTATAAAACCAAGTTATTAAAAAGCTGGCTCCAAAGTTAGCTAAAAACACACAAATTCTGAGATGCACATGATTATTAAAGCGAATATTCAAGCCTTCTTTCCCAGTTCACTTATTTCAACAAACAAACATGCCGGATAATCCGTCAGTTTTAAGTGCTTTTAATAAATGCGACTAAATAAATAGCACACCTAAACACTATATTTTACAAGACTGTATCGGATTGTTCAGACGTGTATTTTTGCCATAAAATTTTATATATTTAATGACATCTCACTTTTTTTTCCATTGTATTTTCCTTTAACTTAAACAAAAAACAACTTTAATAGGACAAATGTTAAATTTCTTTCTGGCTTGTATGGATGTAGACTACTGACAAATGATCCTTTTAAGTATCTGTAATATTACACTCTTTTGGGTTGCGACTTTCATACATGTCTTTTTCTAATGGAGTTTCAATGTGTGTTGTATTTGTAATGTTGTGTGTCATGCACTTTTTACCCACATCCATTCAGACGTTACAGGCGCTCTGAAATGTGACCTGCTTAGCTAAAAAAAGCTCCCATGTATTTTAGAACATGTATGGAGAAGTCTAAACACATGGTCAGCAACAAATGTGGTTTAGTGTTGTCTGTAGAAAAAACTCACATTACAAGACGTTTTGTTTTTTATTTGATTATTTATTGATTTATTCAGGGTGCTTGCCCAAGTCTAGAAAGTCTTGATAAGTATGGAATTTTGAAAAGTCTTGAATTTTGTGTGAAAGTCTTAACAAAGTATGGGAAAATAATGTATGGTAGAATTTAACAGTATATGCTCAAAGACATTGTGAAATGAGAAATAGGGTTAGGGTTACACATTTTGGTGATGTCACTGCTGATAGAGCATTGGCCTTTGAGCCCAAGGTCATGGGTTTGAGCCCTCCATAATACCTTCTCCACCATCTCCCACTGATGTCTGATGTCGTTGTGTCCTTGGGCAAGACACTTAACCCACTTTGCCTATAAGGAGCGCAGAAGTGATGTTTGCTGCTTGCCTTGATGTTTATGAATATGTGTATGTGTGTATGCATCAAACTGAAATTTCCCCATTGTGGGACGAATAAAGGACCTTCTTCTTCTTCTTCTTCTAGCCTAGTGGTCAACAGAAATGGGTCGGTTTAAGGTCTTGGGGGCAAAAAGCAACCCCCCCGTTTATTGTATTATTATTTACTGAAGTTTATCATTTACAAGACTGTTCCAAAAGACAGCTTTGTAAAAATGAAATGTTGTCAACAAATCTTATGAGAAAACACACATTATATTCTGCATACTTGTCTCACAAAGAGTCCTGTGAGGCTGAGAGCTGATTGGCTGACTGACGTTTTCCTCTCTTTTCCCTTTGTCTCACCGAACATTTAGGCCAAAATACGTACATCTGAAAACGAATGATAGAGTGAATATGTTTTGACATAAAGGAAGATGTATTTTATCACATCGCCTCATTTTATGTGGTTTGAAAATTAGGTACCACAGCTTTAAGTGTTGTGTGTAACTCTTCGTTATTCGCCCCATTCTTAGGAACTTGTATCCCATTTTAACTTCCACAATTACGACAATCTACGGCACTTTGTGAAGAAGGAAGATCCCCGCAGGACACAGGGAGACGACAGGGTTAGTTCTTGGGTTCCAGCTTTGAAACCATTGGACTCTTTCAGATTCTAAGTGTAATCCACTCCTTTCTCCTTTGCAGAACAAATCAGTGTTTAGCCTGATGTTTGCTGCGTACAGCGGAGACGTGTCGGCCTTGAGACGGTGGGCCGATGGAGTTGTGTTAATGAGTCACTGTTTAGTCACCTATCCAGAGGTTATTTTAAACTGCATGTATTTACATTTGTATCTTAGGTTTGCATTATCCTCTATGGACATGGGCCAAAAAGACTATGATGCCAGAACAGCCCTCCACATAGCTGCAGCTGAGGGTAAGGTCAACACAAAGAGGAAAGATGAAATAGTTAAGTTCATAAGGGTCTACTTGTCTCATAGGAAAATGTGTCCTCTGCATTTATTTATTTATTGATTTATTGCCACCCCAACCTAAACATGGATCAAGGGGAAGAATATGGATGGATGGATGAATGATTTTCTTGATAGGGACAGGTGTACACAAACCATCAGCACGTGAAACACCATTTACAGCCAAGGATAATTTGCAATGTCCGTCCCTAGTGCAACATTGACATTTCCCCACTATGGGACAAATAAAGGATGTCTTATCTTTTCTTAAATGATCTTTTCCATTTTACGTTACATTCACATTATGCGAATACTTCCAACTCATCAATGCTCACTCAACTGGTTTGTTTTTGAAAATCGCTTCGGTTCGTGTATAAAACCAGCCCAGTCCGAGTTCAGTTCAAGCTGCGAGTTCTAGAACTTTGTGTGTCCAATTTTTTTAATAAAGTTAGTGACAAAGCAGATGGCTAAACCTAGGCTAAATGCTAAGGCTAAATCCTATGGCTAAATGCTAAGACTAAATGCTAAAGTTAATGTGTCACTCATCTGTTAACGGAGCTCTATGAACCAAATCCAGACCTCAGTACGAAATGAAATGTGTGCGATGGTGTGGTGAGACCAGGCGAGTCCTGTCCTAGTCCAGGTTCTAGATCTATCTGTTCTCAAAGGAGATGTTCCTCTGTGGATGAAAGATCCTCCAGCTCGATTAGAGTAGACTTCCAGTTTACAAACTCAACAACACTGTGTTCAATACCTGTGTTATTAGCCACACGTGTGCACATGTAGCTGATATAGCACACTTGTGTTTGTGTCATTCCACTATTTCTGTTTAATACTTTTGTCAAACTGACAAATGGGATGGCAGTTTATCTACAAATGAGAAAGTGAAAATGATCCATCCCACTGCTCACAGCTGTAATCAGTGCGAGGCGCCACTCCATTTGTTTTGGTGATAAATGTGGAGACACACTACGCCTGCACCGTGTTAAAGAAGTCACTAATGATCCCTACACAATGCCATATGCTCATTGTTTGTTCACTTTATAAAGTTTAGTCTCTGCTGAGTTGTTTGTCCGGTCTGCTACATCTTTTAAAAAGGCCTGCAAGCTTCTCATTTGTTCAAAAGATAAAACTGGGAGCAATAATTGTTTGTCTGAGATGATAAAAAAGCAGTTCAGTGCCACCCCAAATCCGATTCCGAGGAAGATTGGCTCGATATTAAGTTGTAGTTTACTAGATGATACTTTTCAGACAAATGAAATGGTTTAACAGCCATATCTGGTTTAAGGAATCTTTAGGATTGAAATGCATTGATTTTCTTGGTTTGTCATTTGCAGATTTCAGTGTGAGTGTAAGTGTCTCTGTGTCTGTGTGTCATCTGTGTGTGTGTGTGTGTCTGTGTGTGTAAGTGTCTCTGTGTATGTGTGTCATCTCTCTTTGTGTGTCTCTGTGTGTATGTGTGTGTAAGTGTCTCTGTGTATCATCTCTCTGTGTGTGTGTGTGTGTGTGTGTGTCTCTGTGTGTGTCTGTGTTTGTGTGTGTATCACGTTTTTTTTAAAATGTTTTTGTGTATATATATATATATATATAGAAAAAGAGTCATTTTACCATGGTTTTTGTCTTTTTGCCAGGTCACGTAGATGTGGTCCGGTTTCTTACAGGCACCTGTAAAGTTGATCCATTTATAAAAGACAGGTAAGAAATTCTAACTTTCACAAAAATCATCAACATCCTGATGCATTATTTTACAATGTAAAAGAAAAAAATAAATGGTGAAAAAATGTGAAGAGTAAACAATGCTTTCTGCCTGTAACTCCCTATGCTACCACCAGAGAGAAGTGAGAATTTGTATCGTTTTTCTTTTTTTTTCAAGTTTGAAAACTTACTTTTGTTTCAAAAGGCAGAGTCAAAGTGTGATGTCATCACATTATACAGAGACAGGACTGAGGCAGGAGATTTCAGATAGAAGGGAGTTACGTGTTTGTGCTAGAAGTCCCTGATGTTTGCATGGATTGATCAAAAGCCCCTCCAGGTCTGTTTACCATGGTTAAAACAGCAAAACTGCATAATAATTATGCATTGGTTTTATACAGCGCTTTTCAAGACCCTCAAATACACTTCAGTTGTCATCATTCATTCACTCCATACATGGTGGTTATAAACTACTACAGTAGCCACAGCTGTCCTGAGGCACACTGGCAGAAGCGAAGCAACCAGTATGTGCCATCAGAAGTTGGACGGGAACTGGCTTTTGCACGCATTTAGAATCATAAATTATATTAAATAAGATTTGACTTCTGTTTCCTGAACTTCTGTGAGAAGCAGACGACTGTGGAAAGAGGCTGGGTTGAGAGAGTTTGTACACGTAGGTCATGGATCTATTATAATATCAATGTAGGTGCAGATTTGAACATTTGTTTTTGTGTGCTTAACCAGGTGGGGGAATCAGCCGATAGATGACGCGATGCAGTTTGGGCATGTGGATGTAGTGGCCGTGTTGAAGGACTACCAGCAGGTCTGCAGCGCGGACCCTGAAGCTGAATCTCCACACAAAATGAACGCCATCGAAGACATGGTGTGACATCATCAAAGTCAGCCAAAGACGACAAGTGACGCCATCACAACAGAAAGAGGACTGTGATATTTTATGGAGAAAGGTCATATTCAGGTACAAATGACTGTTTATATGCACTGCCCCACTGTGGGACGAATAAAGGAATTCTTATCTTATCTTTTATGTCCGACATTTGTGGATTTTTATCATGGATGTTTTGGTTCTAGTCCCCTATTTTAGATCCTCTGTACTGGAGCCCCAACACCGATCACAATCTTTAATCACTGACTATCAAAACCACTTCAGATACTATTATTATATTTTTCTATAATTCAATAATAAAACATTGTCAAACATATGTACACCTGCATTTCCACAGTATATGTTCTAATAAATTACTAATTGCATTGACTATTGGGAAGTAAAGTAAATTATTCTGACCGTATTAGCAAAAATATTGTTTGTGTATTGTGAATAATTGTCCAAAAAAGGTGTATCCAAACTAGTGCCTTCAGATTAACTCAACTTATTATGAGAGTTTTTTTTACAGCATGTTTGAAAATATTTACAACATCTACAAAAATGTTTCCAAGACTGAATTACATATATGTTGAAACTTAAAAATCTAACATAATTTTTTATTTGGAATTAGTCACACTCTTTCTTGGTCTGGGTTGCATCTCTCAATAAGAACAAATGTTTCATTGTATGTATATTCATACTATATCATAAACACCAAAGCATATATTGAGTTTAATATGTGTATCTTCCTGTATAATAATAATAAAGGGAAAATCATGGTGCATAATAATAAGACCACTGTATATTTTCTTTCTAAAGATCGCATTTGCATAAACCAAAAATCTGATTAATTACACTGCAAAAAAGGATTAATATGAGGTAGTAATTGCTTGAATCAAATTTATTTTTTTAAGCATTACTTTGAGTACATTCTGACTGTGATAAAACAAGATTTTTCAATGGAATAAAGCCATTTAGTCTTATGTTCTCATTCGAAGGGAGACATTTCTTGAATCTTTATAAAATCAGTTACTTTTGCTTTATCCCATTGGCAAATCTGGCTTCAAGGCAGTCAAAATGGGCTCCAAAAAAGATAAATTTTGCCAAATTTGAGCCATTTATTTATTTATTTTCATCACTTTTTACAGTGTAGTATGTAAAAATAAAAAATAAACTTCAACTTGTCGCCATATTTGCCTAAAGATTATTAACAAGTCACCCGTCGCTTTGTTCTGCCATTTATTACATTAGTCAGTGCTTCACGCTGCCAGTAATTGGGTATGAAATATTCATCAGTCTCTAAAAGGGACGAAATTTAGATTGAGTGGCAGCAAGCAGAGATTCTTGAATTTGTTTTGCAAGTTGTTTTTGTTTTCATCTGCTTAAGAGATGCCAAAATCAACAAAGGGAATTAATGCAAGGCTTGTGAGGATGATATTAATAAAAAGGAGGATTGAACATTTAGAGCAGAGACCGAACGGCAGGGACATATAAGGGCAGCTCTCAAAGTGTCCACCAGGTGTCACTGTGCTTCTGCCAGTTTAGCGACCAATACATTGAACTTTGTAGTAGATTCAGGGTAAGCTTTCAAAATACCAGATTTATTGTAACATACTACCGTGATTTCAAAACATTTCAATTCCATCCATTTTCTTCCCCTTAATCCATTTCTGGGTCGGGGGGTGGCAGTCAGAGCTGCACCCAGTCACAGAGCACCAGCCCCTCACTGATCCTCCTGCAGGTGCTGAGTCCACAGGAGCTGAGATCTTTCAGTGGGGGCTTCAGGCAAAGTGGGGTTAAGTGTCTTGCCCAAGGACACAACGACAGCAGTCATCAGTGGGAGTCGTGAAGTAGGTCTTGAGGTGGGCTCGAACCCACAACCTTCAGGCTCAAAGGCCAATGCTCTACCAACTGAGCTACTGTCGCCCCCACATTTCAATTCCATTTGTTTTTATATGGCCCTAAATCACAAAAGTTTGGACACAGGAATGCAATAATAACAACATTCATAAATGTTCATAAAATGTTAAATAAATGACTCAGATCCTCACTGTCCTGCATCGGAAAATAATGACGAAAAAAAGAAAAAATAAGAAAATGTAGAAACGTAGAAATGTAGAAAGAAACATTGGGCCCATATTGAGAGAATATCCCCTCCCACGAACGGACGGACTATAGATCCAGGACTGAGGCTGTTGAACCAGGACTCGGGCTCTAGAATCAGGACTGAAGAGGCTCAGGGCAGAGAGGGGATGACCAGGGCAAGCAGTTCACAGGTGCGGGTCAATAAGGCAGAGTTCAGGGGTCCCATAAATGCTGTTAAAAATATCTCAATAAAATGTTATCCATCCATCCATCCATTTATTTTCTTAATTTTCTGGGTCGGGGGGAGGGGGGTGGCAGTTTGAGCTGCACCCAGTTCACATTGCACCAGCCCCTCACTGACTCCTGGTGGTGAGTCTACAGGAGGAGGGCTGTTCTTGTCTGAGCTGCCTTGATTTTTCAGCAGAGGCTTCAGGCAAAGTTGGGTTAAGTGTCTTGCCCAAGGACACAACGACAGCCAACATCAGTGAGAAAAAAACTTAATCTATCAATTTCAATCCAAACAAAAGCTGAACATCTGATGGCCACTTCAGGTCGTTTTAACAACATACAATACACTGTAAAGTTGGTGAACCCCAGAAATCCATGGAGTACTTTTGTGTTCATGAACCTTTAATTTTTTCAGAAAAACAAGTATTATTTGAAATCAGGCATGATTGATAAAAATAAAAAAGTAAATTATAAATAAGTTTATAGGAAGTGAATAATTGCTCATTAAAATTGGATCTTGTTTCACAAATAACATTTACACAGGGAATACAAAAAAAACCTAATTAGCTTTGATATACTGTAGTGAGATTTTTAAGATGACTCAAAAAATAATCACAGTAAAGAGAAGAAAAATTACCATTTCGACTATTTTAGGAAAGGTAACTTTCTAAAGTGTGGATTTTACTCACAGATGGTATACAGTATATTTTACAACATGAAGCCCTAAAGGTTACTCTAATTTAACCTTTTATGTTATATAAAATTACTTTTGGGCTAAAATCACAGCCTGAGGTACAGTTAAGATCTTTGTCATAACAGTTATTTCAAATTATAATCATTAAGAGTTACTGTCTGCACCTTTTTAAATCTATGCTTTATAAAATAATAATTATACAGTTTGTTGGTGTCCCAAAGTAAATTGTTGTGCACAAATCAGAGAGTTTTTCTTATAAAAACCATCCATCCATTTTATCTTCATGCTAAGGAAGAACCTAATGAGTCACTATTTGATGCTTTGGGCTGAGAGCGACTGATTTGGCAGAGGATAGGTCTGTAAAAGCGGATCTAAACATGTGACAGAGGCCACGAAAGGCATGTTTGTAAAAACAAGAGAAGGAACTAGTGACATCAATAGTATCACTAGGCAACATTTCTAGTGTTTTCAAAGTTGAATACCTCAGGTTTTCTGAGAATATGTAGTGACTGGAACAGTTTTTATGTTCTCTTTCATGTAATTCAGAGAGCACTGATTATACACAGGAAGAAAATACAATGTTTTTTGACACATTAGTTTATTCATATTGAGTTTGACTGGGTATGGTTTGGTGAGTCTCTGCTTATCCCATAATCTGTGAGGACAAACAAAAATGGGTTAGTGTTTTAAATAACATACAGTAGTATAAAGAAAAAGAGAAAGGCTTGTGGGTCTGCAAGGATCATTTCTGTAGTTTCTTACTTGAGTTTTGTGTATCTAAAGAGGTTGTCTCCTTTACTATTGCAACAACACTTCATTAGTGGGTAAAACTAACCTGTCTAACGACAGTCTAAGGTTTCAGATTGATCCTAAGTTTTGAGCCCAGTTGTTGAGAACATTTTCAAAGTGTGAAATAAACAAATACAAATCTCCTGGCTACAGCTGGAAATACAATATTTCACGGTGTGTAAGCTCCTGTCACATAATGAGAGAGCACTTACGCCGTTCATCCAGCTGATGTAGGCAGAAGCTCTGGTGAAGACAGTGGGCCTCCTGTAGGCGTTGCAGCCGGAGGAAGACACAAAGCTGGTAACTCCATGGACCACCCATCGACCACCCACACTGCAGTTCAGAGGGCCACCGGAGTCACCCTAAACAATAATATTAGTTTAGAAATAGATCAGACATTCAGACATAGATGTGGGTAAGCATCTGCTAACAATGTAGCATGTTACCCGTTAGTAAAAAAAAAAAAGAAAAAGAAAAGAAAAGAAAAAATATAACCAAAGATCTCCTAACAAAGACGAAGGTTGAAAATGGTACTATTGTGTGGTTTCATGCATCATATTAGGTGCTGTTTTGGGTTCTTTATCATTTCCAAAGATGTACCTGACATCCAGACTCACTGCCACCTCCAGCACAGACCATGCTGCTCTTGACAGTGCTGCCCCACCAGCCAGAGCTGGTGCAGGTCTTGTGGTCCACCACAGGGAGGTAGGCCTGTTTGAGTGAGGCAGACAGCTGACCACCAGCTGCACACAGAGGCAAATGTTGAAGACAGGCTTTTATCAGCCTCCTCACTACTTAAGAGTGTGTCTTACTCTGGGTGCGTCCCCATCCGGTGATGTAGCAGGGGTTGTTGTGAGGCAGGACCTGTCCAGAGGGGGGAAGTTCTCCCAGCTGCACGTTGCTGTTGAGGGTGGCCTCAGAGGACAGGCGCAGCAGAGCGATGTCATAGCTTAACACAGGCACAAGTGCATCACAATAGCAAATAACAATTCCTCTGTCCCACCGCTCGAATATGTATTATGAAAAATAATTAAATGAAGAGTAGAGAAATCCCACTGACCCTCCGGCAACACTGCTGGGGTTCCACTGGGGATGCAGATAGACGCGGCTCACACTCATGTACTGCTCACGGCCCTCGTTACTGTTGATGTTGTGATCTCCAAGAACAACACGCCAGGTCCTGGTTCTGAACATACACATGATTACTCAATGAGCTGTTTGCACAAATGATGGTAGGTATTTGGGGAACATATTTTTTACTTTTGCAAGCACCACATAGAACAGACTGCTGAACTGCTGAACAATGGAAGAAGGTCCCAACAAATTCAGGTAAAATTGATCAGATTGGGGCCCAGGATGGACCCCAGGGGAATCCCACAAGTCAAGGTCTTTTGTCTAAAAAGAGATTGTTGCTTCATTACCTGTCGACACAGTGGGCAGCAGTCATGACCCATCCTCTCCTGATCAGGGTGCCGCCGCAGGTGTGGTGGAAGTTGGATCCACTCTGGTACTGAAGGGAGATCTACAGAAACCGAAAAATAGTTCTCATTTAAACTATTTAGTCAGTATAGGATGGAATTTTAAAAGAGACTAAAAAAAACTGTAATCGTTGTATGTTCAGAAGCAACAGCCAAAACTGCAGAATTTGTTTAAGGTTTTGGTTGATCATCTATTCAAAGACAGCGCACACATGCTTTAGTCACATGCAAAGGTCATCAATTAAGTAAGTACGTAATGTTTATTTATGCAGCACATTATTACAGACCAAGGTCACCCAAAGCACTTTTGGTAGTGTTTAATACAGCTTTGCATAATGATACTTTGGATGTATGTGAAGAAGCCATGTTCAGTGTACCTGCCAGGGCCAAGAGTTGGGTTTGGCCACCTCTCCTCCAACAACCCTCTCCTCCACACTGTCCTCCAGATACCTGGGCTGGGGCTCCAGCTCAGCCAGCACTAGTGGAGACAAGTGCAAATCATAGCAAAATAGTATTAATTTCTTTAAATTTTCCACGGAAAGCTGTTGCTCTGCTTGAACCGGTGGGTGTGTAGCTTTGTTTTGTTGTTTAAACTGTTCATTAGTTTCCAATTCCTGTAGTCATCTAATGATATAAAATAGTATTTCATATCCACTCCACCCAGAGGCTACTCCATCTCTGCTGCTATGACCTGAAGGGCTGTTGCTGATTATTACTATTGTTAGCTTTTTAGAATGATCAAATTTGTTAACATTTTTTTTTGCTGCCACTGGACCACTGAATTCCTCCGACTGGGATCAATAAAGTATCTATCTATCTATCTAATTCCAACACTATTTCCAACTACATTTTCTTACCCAGGGCTGCCAGCGTGGTGAACAAGACAAATCTGAGCATGTCTTGGGTCTGCTTCACTTCCTCAGTGTCGGCTGGATCCCCATCGCTCTTAAATACAGCGCCGGTGTGTGTGTGTGTGTGTGTGTGCGTGCGTGCGTTTGTGTGTGTCTGCGTGCGTGTGTGTGTGTGCACCTGATTTCCACCTGTGCCTCTCTCACACATACGGTGACCTCAGTATTCTGGGAAATACTTGGTCAAATAAAGTTTCTGTTTTTTTGCTGTGGATAAACGTGGGCAAAAGCTGTTAAGTTTTTTTGGACAACAGGTGTTCTGTTTTCCCAGTAGTCAACACTATAATGTTTTCACTAGTGTAGCTACAAATAAACCATACAAGATCAAAAGAAAATGCTCTTGGTCTTAGAAATATTCTTTATTCATTTTCAATTTGACATAGTTTGGCAGTGTGTCTTCAAGGTGAAGGGTCTTGACTCTAGTTCATTATCTGAAAAAGACCAAATGAAAAACATTGAGATTCAGATTCAGATTCAGATTCAGTTTATTTTCCATTTGCAGTAAAAAAACCAGTGTAGCACATCAACAATAATGACTAAAATGAGTATAACCAGGCTATCCATTCCACTCATGATGCAATACTTTTGATTATACTTTAACCAGTACCCCCAAAATGTATAGTTTGGGTGTGGGTATGCTAGCTGGGGGTATCAGCCCACTCCTTTTGAAAAAAAAAAAAAATGTTTTGCCAACAGCACTTACGCCGTTCATCCAGCTGATGTAGGCCGAAGCTCTGGTGAAGACAGTGGGCTTCCTGTAGGCGTTGCAGCCAGAGGAAGACACAGAGCTGGTAACTCCATGGACCACCTATCGACCACCCACACTGCAGTTCAGAGGGCCACCGGAGTCACCCTAAACAACCAACACAAACTTTTATTCAACAATACATTTTCTGATTTGCTCTGTACAATCCATTTGTCTTCTAAACTGCCTCCTGCATTTCAGTCTGTGTGGTTTCAGCATTATCCAAGAGCACTAAGACTCTGTTGATGCTGTACCAATCCAGAGATAAAGCTGGTCAAAACCCCACTTTTTACGCCCATGAACTCTCCCACATTTTGTTTGTTACATTCACAATTTATGTTAATGGATCTTCTTGTAAAATGCCAACATACATTGGCAGAGTATGTCACTTATCATTCTGCTTGTAGACAGATCTGAATAATGGACTGAGAATCAGGCGGAGAGGCCATCATTGCTTGGTTACCTGTCGACGCAGTGGGCAGCGGTCATGACCCATCCTCTCTTGATCAGGGTGCCTCTGCAGGTGTGATGGAAGTTGGATCCACTCTTGAACTGGAGGGAGATCTATGGAAACAATACTTTGTTATCATGTTAATATGGATATTTAACCAATTTAGGGTTGGTGCGAGTATGACGGGTTGTGTGCAAATTGGAGCCATGTTCAGTGTACCTGCCAGGGCCAAGAGTTGGGTTTGGCCACCTCTCCTCCAACAACCCTCTCCTCCACACTGTCCTCCAGGTACCTGGGCTGGGGCTCGAGCTCAGCCAGCACTAATGTAGATGAGACAACGTAGTAACATTTAAGGAATCCCATTAATATACTGTATTTGACATATGAACACATTTAAATATTTGAACACATTTCAAAATTGTTAACAGAGATATGTTTCACTTTCTTACCGAGGGCTGCGAGCGTGGTGAACAGGACAAACCTCAACATGTCTGTGGTGAACTTTCCTCAGTGATGTATCATGCCTTCTCCCTCTTAAATACTTGCTGCATCTGTGACTATGGACATATGGAACATACCATCTACCTGTGACTCTCCCACATTTATCACTGGTACTTGGTTCTGGAAAATGCTGAGTCAAATAACAGCATAATATGTACATACATATTCTGTACTGTAGGATATTATGATATAGATTGTTTCGTGTGCCGTTATTTATCCTGGATGTTGTAACATAATCATGTAGCACATATGTTTTATTCATTTTCCAATTAAAACATTCAGAAACCTATATGTCTAAGCCTATGTGTTCCATATATACCAGTGCTCGGCTGGGGAACACTGGGCAGCCTTTATGAACAATGCAAAGTACATCTCATCAAAGTATACTGTAATATATAGAAAATCAAACGGCGCACAAAAGTCTAATCTGCTCACATCAATTTTTTTTATTTACATTATTTTGAGCAATCTCATATTGGATCATTTCCAAAGACACACCACATTACATCTCAAGGAAGACTAACATGTCACAGCAAACAGGTTGAAGAAAACTACCATACAATAATGGTGAGGACTTGAGCTGTTTTACGACTCGTTTGGAGAGACCTATGAGCAGCTGTTACAGAAGTCTAATGTACTGGATACACAAGCGTGGATAATCATCTCCATGTCTACTTTATATACCATATATTTTTGATCCTGGCAGTTATTTCGATGGTGAAAAAGCTGCTGATGTTACTGATTTGATGTGGCTGTTAATTTAAAAAAAAAAAATCTACGTGTAACCCTTAAACTGTAAATATTAATGGACGTAGTCATGCCTATCTATCTCCTCCGTTCAAACTTATGTGCCACCACTTTTGCCATCAATCCGGTTACAAAATAGCCGCGGGGCAGAATAATGTGAAAAAACGCATTTGCGCATGCGCTAGCCTGCACGAGCCCCTTTAATCTAACACAGCGGCTAAACTAGGCTGGTCCAAAAACTCCCCTCAGCATTGACACACATCGTGAACGTAACGTTGGGCCTAGAGCCGACTTTTGGACCATCTTGCAAACCTTTTTCTGAGGCGAGAGGTGAGAAGATGGAAGACAGAATAGCATTGAATAATTCTTATTTTGTCCTGTAGAGGGCGCTATTGTTTTTACTGTGAATGCTCCGCCATCTTGTGAGAAGTTGGACATCGTATGTAAGAAAACTATGTACAAAAGTGCTTAAAATATTACTGAAATGTGTTATTAACAACTTGTTTTGGGTTCTTGTAGTTGATAACAACAGCAAGAGGAACTGGAGACGTGAATTTGTGGAGTTTTGTGTATTCTTGATCTCTGGTGAGTCTGCTATGCTAAGTTAGCTAAGCTAGTTCATGACACTGGATTCTCTTTTGACATGATATTGTGATTATTTCTTTAAAAACCAAGCGCAGAAAATGTGAAACTATATACAGATGAGAACTACTTACAGAAACATGATTATAATACGGGTTTTACATTACATTGTAAAACCCTGTGTGTTACATGTGAATGCTTGCGCACTGTACAATCTTACAAGCTTCTTTATGTGATTAGTGGTAGTTGGAGATTAGATAAAAAAACATCTATATAAATATTGACTATACCAACATTATATTGATGTTATCCTGCTTATGCAGGTTTTTTATTTATTTTTATAACCGTAGAACTGTTTGGTGCTTGGCCAGTGTCACAGAGTTTGTTGTCGCTGGATCCAGAGAAGCAATCTCTCCGTTCATTCATTCCATTCCTTGGCCTTGATCGCAAACAGCTGAATAGTAACGGTTGTGTGAACATTCAACATAAGACTCCAACAGATCCAACATGATCTGTTGAATGCAGTGAAGGAGTGAGTTCACCGGTCCATGTTCTCCTGAAGTCAGTTGACATCGATCTGTGTGTCGTCAGCGTCCTTGTGATAGGACACGTTGAGATTGACTTTATTGATCTCACTGGAGAAATTTACTGCATATTAATTGACCTAACTGCAGTATGTAAAGTATGTGCTTTACACACGGTAATACCTTGTTTATGTAAAAGCTGATATTGCTGCATGTTATCCAATGCAAGATGCAGTTGGAGGGAACAGGAGTACACAAAATAATAATAGGTCAAGCTCAAGGTAAATTTTATTTATATAGCACAATTCAGAGGTGGGACAAAGTCATTGTTTAGCAAGTCACAAGTCAGTCTCAATTCATTGCCCTCAAGTCCCGAGTCAAGTCACGAGTCAAGACAGGCAAGTCCCGAGTCGAGTCCAAGTCAAAGGCCAACAAATCTCAAGTCAGTCCCAAGTCCTACGGTTTGACTTTCGAGTCCTCTCGAGTCTTTTTGACCGCGATTTGTTTCTTGTTGGTCTCCACGTACTTTTGTAGGCAAACAAAATAATGTTAGGAATCATTTTGCTGGTGCATTCTCGTTGGTCTCTGACCCATGGACTAACAGTTTGTTCCATGTCGTTGGCTGCTGATAAATCATAACTATCTACGTGATCTAATTGGATGTTGTGCCAGATGCAGGCTCAGTTACACATGCACAGACCACACATAAAATCAGAGCAGTCCGTGTCAACATACTTTTTATCTTTGGGGTTTTTAATGGGAAGTAGCAAGTGCAGCATATATGAATATGAGTATTGGGCTAGGACCTGTATCTATGTAATCAGTTTAATGTCCGTAGTGGTTATTGTTCCAAATGTCCTACTGTAGAATAGGGGTAGTATGAGGGGTCTAGGCTTTGGACCTGGGGCAGCTCGCCATCAACTGGACCAGCATTAGCAATATCTCATAATTACCAATATATCATTACATAATAAAATGTCTCATATAAATTAATTCAATCAGTCAAAGCACTGATTCTCATATCAATGCACCATAAACAATAGTGCAAATATTAATCTAGCTTAGTGCACATAATCAAAACAACTATCTAATGTATGCAAACTTTAGCAGGAGGAGCACAGCAAAAACATACTCATAATAATAGGCCTCGGCGCCCACACAGAAAAATATAAGAAAGAGCCAACAGAGCAGCGCAGGCTAGCGCTAGTTTGACTCACCAGTTCCTCTTTAAAACACGGCACACAGTGTGACAACTGCGTCGATTCAATTGTATGAGGCGCCTGTAGTGAAAGCATATCAATTACGGTTTGTAGAACAAAATATGACGTTAGGTCGCGATAAATACCTGCAGCTCGCTCATTTCCAGCTCCCCTAGACAACACACCCACCGGGGAATGCAGTGCGCTTGTTTAGGGAAGTGTTGCTGCGCGAACTGCGGGGAACTCACGTTCGAACTCTCTCGCGAGCGCTACAACTACCGCGAGGCTTTGTTTCTTCAGAGACGGCATAGATAGAAAGAGAGATGCGGAGAAAGGTAAAAATGGCCCGGGTTACGCAAGTCTTTACAAGTCAATTGGCGCAAGTCCAAGTGAAAGTCAGAGTCATTGATGTTAAAGTCCAAGTCGAGTTGCAAGTCTTTTTATATTTGGTCAAGTCGAGTCTAAAGTCATCAAAATCATGACTCGAGTCTGACTCGAGTCCAAGTCACATGACTCGAGTCCACACCTCTGGCACAATTTAAAAAAACAGACATGATGGTCACAAAGGGCTTTCCAGACAAAACATGATACAACACAACACAGAATTTAAATAAAAGCGTAAAAATAAAATTCTGCTCTGCGATAATATTTCATTTTAGCTTGAGTTAAAAAGTCAGAGGAAAGAAATGTGTCTTTGGTTGCAATTAAAAGCTCTCTACAGATGGGGCGGCTAGAGTGTTCCACAGTTTGTGCCCTGCGACAGCAAGGGACAAACTGGTCCGGTCTAGACCTCTGGTCTTTGGTCTAGACCGGACAATAGGAAATGTCATCCACAGGTTCTAAAGCAGTGTGTCAAAATCTGTGTGGATCTCTGTGGCAATTTACACCTACAATTAAACTCTACAAACAAACTAAAATACTGTCTACTTTCTTGGGCAGAATCCATTGTCTAAAATAACCCAAATTTACACAGACTTGTCAAAGTGTTTGTTCTCAATGACAGCCATTTCAGAGCCTTGTTTTATTCAGTGTTGTAAAAAATGGCTCACCAGTAAAAGATCATGAAAACAGAGCAGAATGACAAACAGTTGCAAGGGAGTATTATTATCATATTGCTTTTAAGAAAATGTGTCTTGTGAAAACTCTGTGCTCCCTAACATCCTTTGCAGGGGGAGGCTGTGCTCCCTAACATCATTTGCAGGGGGAGGCTGTGCTCCCCCTGGTGGGCCACAAGGAGTCCGACTGGTGGGGCAGCACTGTGAAGGACTCCATGGTCTGCGGAGGAGGTGGAGACAAGGCAATGTGAGTCCTGATAGAAATATAAAAGAATCTTCAATAAGAATATATTTTTACTACTAAAGCATGACACATCATCACCTTCTCTCAAAATGTAAGAATAGAATAAAGGACAAGAATAATGGAGCATCCAACAAAGTGTATACTCAGTGCTTCTTCAAGAGGCCGGTGTCTGTTTCCTTTATACATGATTTGGAGTGGTACTTTTTACGTTTTTTCGGGGGTATTTCATAAAATGGAAATACATATCTATGAAATGCCTAATAAATGTCTGTAGAAAGTAATATACATATTAATGAATAACTTTAATCCCACAATATTGCAGCAATAAGCCAATAAAAATAATGTAATCAGAAAAATGTCATGCATTCTCATTTATAAACTTCCGGTTTCTACACAGGCAGAAACATATACTGTATATAACATTTGCCTTATTTGAGATTATGTAATTCTCTTAAATCTTAATGTAGTTTTGTTCACCTATAAATGCCTCATTGTGTTTAATTTAGTTTTTTTCTTGAAGGATTATGATGTAATATACATTTTTCGATTTTTTAAAGAAATTAGAAGTCCTATAATTTTTGTGTAAGAAACAAACAGAAGCTTACATTTATTTGGATTTCTGATTTTTAAATGACTATCATTAATCAACTTAGATTTTGGTTTATTTATGTACATATACTTACATCTGCAAGTGCTTTTTGATCGCCATTTGGGGTTCTGTTGTGTTTTGTCTTTGTTAAATAACATGTGAAGTAAACCATTCCATAATAGTATGCCGTTACTTGCAGAAGTCTATGAAAGTAAAAGTATAAAAAGTGCAGTATAGTGAAGCAAATTATGAATGCTGCGATATCCTTATCATTCAGTATAAAAGCTGCTGCTCCTATGATGGTTATATCCTGTTCTCCTTAATGGAAAATGGCAGTCTGATGTAATTGAATGCAACTTCTTGTGAACAGTCTTTTCATAAGTCTGATCCTGAAGTAGATGCATGCATATGGAGGAGGCGTGGGAACTGCACTGCTGTCGCCCCGAAACAAAACTAAATATTTTTTGCGACAAGAGATAGAGGAGAACTTGGCTCGTTCTAATTTTTACAAGATGCTAATGCCATTTTTGTCTTATATATTTAAATGAAAAACTCAATTTATTGTTTTTTGATCAGCCACAAAACACAAGACAAATATTTTGCTCTTTTGCAGACATGTGACCAAAGCTGGGCACCATACTGAGGGGATAGCAGCTGTCAATCAAGTCACCAGTCAGTATGCTTATTTTTTTCAGCAAAATGGACATTCAAAATAAGAACAAGAAGAAAGATTACAGAGAGAAACTCAACAAGGATGCCAAAGACCGGTATCTAGCTAAGCTTATCTCTATTAGCAATGTAGATCCATATGAATAGTTCATTTGCAAAAACAGATATCTCCATTTTAAGATGTTGTCCAAATATTGTATTCCTCTTGTTACAATCTTCATCATGTTCTGTTAATGGCAGTACACTTGAAGGAATGTGCGCAAGAAGGGTTGTAACCTTATCTGGCACCAAAATAGATCTGGCTTTTCACAAAACTACATGGTAAAGAGAAAATTGTAAGCCTTTCCAATATGTTTCCATGGCACTTATCTATTTTTGCATGTAAACTATTCATATGAGTTAGCCTCCAAGCATCGTCAACTGCGTCAACTGACCCAGAGCTTTTCCCACCAATAAAAAATATGGACATGTTTGTTGTTGTGATTGGTGTGAGTGCAAATTCATCCAGAGTTCAGAAATGATGAATCCCTGGAGGCTCATAGACTTTTTACTAACTGTTGGGTTCAAGATATATGTTCCTTTCAACCAGAGGGATGAGGTAACTCAACTGTTTTACTAGAATAGCCTTTTACACAACACTAACGAGCCATTTTCCGGGAAAAATAGCACAAATGATGAAGGTTACTGGGCAGTTTGTTCGTTGGCAATGAAACACGAATGTTGTCATCCCCTCAATACGGCGCTTGATATCATGAAGAAGCAGAACATTTAAAAATGATTCAGATGGAACTCTATGCATAATAAATTGAACATAAACTATTTGCAATTGTGTACTTGTGTTTTTTGATCTCAAAAATGGCTGCAGACTTTAGAAAATACTATATGCATGGATTTAAGTAAATTCTGCCTGATTCTAAGCTTCTATATGAGGTTTTTTGTTTGTTTTTTTAAACAAAAAATCTGTAAAATCTTGGCCAATGTCACACACTGTTAAACATACACGTGATACTTAGCGTTAAGTATTTTATTTGGTCATATAGATATTGAACATGAATCTGCTGAGAGGAGGTCCAGCTGCTGTTTCCGAGGATCCATAACTCTTCAGTTCATGATCTGCAGAAAGAACGGAAACATTATTTAATCCTGATAAAACACTTTATGGCAGATCATTCCTCATGCTTTTATGACTGACCGAGTCCATCCAGTTGATGTAGGCGGAGACGCGGGTGAAGACGGTGGGTTTCTTGGGGTAGTTACATCCGTAACCAGACACGAAGCTGGCGATTCCTGTGACCTGGTATCTGCCATTGACCAGACAGTTCAGGGGGCCGCCAGAGTCACCCTGAGACAACAAGACACACCCAGATTCAGGTCAGATAAAAAAAAAAATATGATTTACCTATACTCATTTTTTTCTTATGATGCTTTTCATTTGGTTTTATGTATGTTTCTGCCTGTGTAGAAACCGGAAGTTTATAAATGAAAATGCATGACCTTTTTCTGATTACATTATTTCTGTTGGCTTATTGCTGCAATATTGTGGGATATAATTATTCATTAATATGTATATTACTTTCTACAGACTTTATTAGGCATTTCATAGGCATCCACTCTAAATCATGTGTAAAGGAAACAGACGCCGGCCTCTTGAAGAAGCACTGAGTATACACTTTGTTGGATGCTCCTTTATTCTTGTCCTTTATTCTTTTCTTACATTTTGAGAGAAGGTGATGATGTGTCATGCTTTAGTAGTAAAAATATATTCTTATTGAAGATTCTTTTATATTTCTATCAGGACTCACATTGCATCCGGCCTTGTCTCCACCTCCTCCACAGACCATGGAGTCCTTCACAGTGCTGCCCCACCAGTCGGACGCAGTGCACTCCTTGTGGCCCACCAGGGGGAGCACAGCCTGCTGCAGGATGTTAGGGAGGGGGCCCCCGGCTGCACAGACCAGCACAAGTCACATCAGAGGTATAGCATTTAAATGTGAGCGTTACAAGGCCATCATGAATCTAAATCTAAATCCAAACGTCCAAACGATTATATTACGTGCGATAAAATTACTGACTGTAGGTGCGTCCCCAGCCAGTGACATAGCACACGTTGTTGTGGGGCAGGATCTGGCCTGAAGGGGGCAGCAGTCCCAGCTTGACATCACTGTTCAGGGTGGCGTCAGAAGAGAGGCGTAGCAGGGCGATGTCCCACCTAAGGAGAAAACAATAATCTGTTCAAATCTATTACAAAAATAACACATCACACTGTGTGAACAGAATTATGGGCTTGCTGCAAAAACATTGGCACTACTAAAAAGAAAACTTGCGCCTGAAACACCTCAAAAATGTATTTCCCACTGTGAACCGGGAGGAGGTAAAGATGCTCCCACTTCAGATACCAGCTGAACTGTCTTTTATTTGCAAAGATAATGGTCTTAATCAGTAGATTAAATAAGTAAACCCCATACAAACTTGTGACGTTTACTGTTTGTTAGCTTTTGGATTAGCATTAGCCAGTCTAATTTGCCGGAACACTCATATTTGTTTCCACTAGACAACATCAGACTTCCCAGTTGCCTGGAACACAACCTTTTTTTTCTTTTACTACAGTCGTCATTGTCAAGAGCAGGATGATCGCTGAAATGTCCAGTGTGAAGGGGCCTCACCCTTGGGCGACGCTGGAAGGGTTCCAGTTGGGGTGGATGTGGATCTTGCTCACGGACTTAATCTGCTCTTTCCCGCTGTCCTTCTTGAGGTCGTGCTCTCCGATGACCACACGGTAAGTGCTGGGCCTGTCAAACACAAGTTTACATGATGTTTATGTGTCCTCAAAGCATCAGTGTTAGAGAAACAGCACCTGTCGACACAGTGGGCGGCAGTCATGACCCATCCAGGAGCGATCAGGGTGCCTCCACACGTGTGGAAGTAACTCGAGCCAGACCGGTATTGAAGAGAAATCTGTAGGGAGAAGGCACTATTTGTTTCTGCAACAGTATGATTGAAAATCTTCTCCCAATTTGGCAAAACCAGACAGAATATGTGCATCTGTGGGAAGTTGTCTGTTTTGTCTTCTTATTTTTACGCAATCTTGAAATTGCAAAAAGTAGCGTTCGGCTTAAGCACAACAATCATGCCAGATAAGTTACATTTGAGACGTAATGGTGCACTTCCCTGACCCAGGAATGTATTGATTAAAGGATAAAAATGAATGAATGAAAGTAAAAGTATATATAACTGAATAATTACCTGCCAAGGCCAAGAGTTGGGCTGGGCATCCTCTCCTCCCACTACCCTCTCACTCATGTCCTCAATGTACCTGGGCTCAGGCCTCATCTCCGCCAACGCTTAAGAGGTAAAAAAACAAAACAAAAAATTATTTTAGTTACTTTTTGTTTGTGAATTTTCCCGATATTACTTTGATTATATTCAAGTTACTTGTAAAATAAGGTCCCACATTTCAATGATAATTAATGGGCATACTTTTCGTGGTCTCGTTTAGCATATTGCAAAGACTGTTATCATTTAAGGGACCAAAAAGCAGGATAAAGTTTCAAGTAAATTTTGAAGCTTTGTCAATGGACGTTTTTTTCACAATTTATATAGTTGCATAACTCAGGTCTGACTGTAAGAAATTTGTGTGAAGAGATAACTACATCTACTTCTACAAATAAATATATATATAATTAGTATCTATTCGAAAATATGGCTGTACTAGTTTTCAAATGTACCTCCCTTGACCCTGTTGTTTTCAATCCAAACATAATTATACTTAAACAAAATCACAATGTTTTATATTAAAATTTTTAGCCAAATCATGCAGCCCTAATGGGCTTTTATTGTACTTACCCATGGCGGCGAGGCTTGTCAACAACAGGAACCTGAACATGTCTGAGTTGAGTCAAAACTTCTGTGAAAAGTAAAAATGAGGCGTGCACTTTTATACTTGAGTCTGACCTTCAAAACAGGGAAAAGCAGGAAAAGTCAGGTGCATCGAGTCAAGAGCCAAATCGGCACCTGTGCTTCGTCTCACACTTTTATCACTCAGCGTCGACACTGCAAATATACAGAGCTACAAAAATGAAACACAAGTAGGTCAGCGGGTATTTTGACAAGTACTTTTAGCTTTGTCACAATTTATAGTGAATTGAAAGCCCAGTCAGAAAAGAGCCTTTCTCAGTGGAGTTTGAATGTTCTCCCCGTGTCTATGTATGTTTTCTCCGCTCCGGGGGCTCCAGTTTCCCCTAACACTAAAATCATACAATAGGTTGATAAAGAAATCCTCCAGCTCTCGTAGTCCTACGGCGACTACTGCTGCAGGTCTCCGTGGCATACCAGGATGGGTCAAATGTAGGGGACATAATTTACCCACGGGGATAATTAAAGTGTACCCTTAACCTAAGGAAGACAACATTATGTAGAATAACCTGCAAGTGCTACATACATGTGTCAAATAGTTAGTTTCACACCTAGTTGAAATGGATTACAGTATATATATTCATCCATCCATCCATTTTCTACCCTTTAATCCATTTCTGGGTCAGGGGGGTGGCAGTCAGAGATGCCACCCAAGTCTCATAGCACCAGCCCCTCACTGACCCTCTGCAGGTGGTGAGTCCACAGGAGGACGGCTGCTCTGTCAGTGTGAGCATAGCCTTGATCTTTCAGTGGGGGCTTTGGGCAAAGTGGGGTTAAGTGTCTTGCCCAAGGACACAACGACAGCAGTCATCAGTGGGAGTCGGTGGAGAAGGTGCAGTTGTGTCCTTGGGCAAGACACTCAACCCTACTTTGCCCAAAGCCCCAACTGAAAGATCTGAGCTCCTGTGGACTCACCACCTGCAGGAGGATCAGTGAGGGGCTGGTGCTCTGTGTACTGGGTGCAGCTCTGACTGCCACCCCCCCGACCCAGAAATGGATTAACGGGAAGAAAATGGATGGATGGATGGATGGATGGAAGTCCTATAGTAACGTTAGTAAGAGAACAAACAATAATATGCATTTCAACTTCTGATTTTTATTTTATTCATGTTAATCTACTTAGATCTGCAAGTGCTTTTTGATCACCATTTGGGGTTCTGTTGTGTTTTGTCGTTGTTAAATAACATGTGAAGTAAACCATTCCATAATAGTATGCAGTTACTTGCAGAAGTCTTTGAAAGTAAAAGTATAAAAAGTGCAGTATAGTGAAACAAATTATGAATGCTGCGATATCCTTATCATTCAGTATAAAAGCTGCTGCTCCTATGATGGTTATATCCTGTTCTCCTTAATGGAAAATGGCAGTCTGATGTAATTGAATGCAACTTCTTGTGAACAGTCTTTTCATAAGTCTGATCCTGAAGTAGATGCATGCATATGGAGGAGGCGTGGGAACTGCGCTGCTGTCGCCCCGAAACAAAACTAAATATTCCTTGCGACAAGAGATAGAGGAGATCTTGGCCCGTAGTCTGCCCTGTATAGATAACAAGAATGATTGTTGCTCGAATCTGCACTGTCAACACATGAGTTCTACAGCTCATGTTTCTGTATTAATTTGTTTTTATGTTAGAGAAAATGTGTATTATTATTATTATCTGTATGTATCTTTTCCGATTGAAGGGATTGGTTTTTTTGGCTTTTGATTGCAGTATTACTAAACATTGAGTCAAATTAGCAGATGTTTTCAAATTTGCTGTTACAATTCATTTCTATCAATTGACACAGCTCTACAGGGGGTTCAGATATTGTTCTACTCCTATCGACACACTTCAAGATTTTAAATCGATCCTTTGAATTTATTTTAGTTACATTTTATAGTTCAATGGGCCAACTTTGCGATTTACATTAAGGGGGCGACACCATCATCTCCATGGAGACGACACCACGTTGCCTGAAATATCGGACATGGTTTTTGACCCGTTATCTTTTGCATTTAATTATTTAAATAAAATAGAAATAAAAAAGTACAACTCAACAAATCAAATGTATTTTTAAGATAGGAAAATCCTATAATTTGTGTACAATACATCAATTGCATATTGCTTTACATAACATAAGAGCTATAAAATTAGAAAGCATACATCTCAAATAAATTGCATTAGTAATAAATTATGAAATAATACATGTATTCATTAGATTGATTGATGATCATTCTACAGCTTCGTTATCACTTATGTCTGATAACCTATGTGCACTAGGTGGTGCTAACGTCCAATACCATCTCCCTCATTGTAACTATACAGGAAGCCTTTACTGTCATATTACTTTTGACTCTCCCTCTCATTCTCTACATGTATTTATTTAACTGCACAGACGGAGAGGGTTGAAGAAAAAAACTGATATGCACCGCCATAAAAGTAAATTACAATCAACCTGGATTATGAAATTATCAACAGTATAAGGAATAGATCGTACGATTGGCTATGACTTCACTGACCAGAAAGAGACCAGAGAGAGACCAAAGAGAGACCAGAGGGAGATCTGAGAGAGATCGGAGAGATACCAGAAAGAGAGACCAGAGAGAGAGGGACCAGAGGAACAGACCAGATAGACACAAAGACCAGAGAGCCACTGACAAAAATAGATGTTAAGTTTCAAGGCTCTCTGGTGAGACACAACTACAACAACAGTCTGGTTAAACAAAATATCACCATTTAATATTTTTTAGATAGTTACTGTTATAGCTAAGTACTGATTAAACCTATTTTGCTAAAGTATCATGAAATACACCCATGATTCTTTAATCTTAATACCGGCAAAACAATCTATTTGGCCAGACGGATTCTGTGCTGGGGGCAAAAGAGTTACGGAGCTACTGTCTGGTTGCATCTTTGGAAATGATAATATGCAAATCTAGTGTGAGAACTGCCTGAGAGGAGATTTCTCTTGACCTTTCGACATTGAGCGATAGATTTTACCGAAGACACACAGCGGCTAAACTATTTTCCTTATTAAAGAAATTCACTCATCATCAGTGACAGTTCAAATAATCGCCATCTGAACAAAAGAGGGCTGCGGTGATGTGCACAACGTTTTTAAAAAGTGCTTAATTAGTGGGAAAGTCATTAAACGTGTATGGATTTTGGATTATTGCCTTATCGGGCTATTAGTGAGATAGCCCCGCAGCAAGACTAAGGTCCAATAGCGTCCAATTATGTTCGATTTTGACTTTAATGTTCTGTGTCATCCTTTTCTGCTTGATTATTTTATCTTGGCTCATTGTAAAGTTTGGATTTTTATATTGGCATTTTCATTGAAAGTCAGAATTTTGATTTCAGGCAGTGAGGCAGTTTCCAAGGAATTTAATAAAAGGGAGATAGGTGGATTTATATACAGTGTGATGATTATTTATGGCAAGGCAACACCATTTTCAGGAGAGGAGAAAGGGTGGGCACTGTATCTCTAACAGAAGTAAAATACACCATGAAAGAAAAGTGTTAGGTTTAACTCATGTAATGGAATGTAAAAGGTAATCAAAAAGACTTGTTTTTGCACTGTGTTCTGAGAGTTAAATTTATCAAATAGAAATCCCAATCCCACTTAATTTGTTTAGCACTTTAAACACTTTAACAAGTCGACCAAAGTGATAGCATAAAATTGTAGCAAATTATGAACGAAGGCCTAAATAACATAATTTGAATGTACGTTTCCTGAGTACATTTCAAGGTATTATTGGACTACTAACTATCCTCTAATGTTGACAAAATTCAGGCAAATTAAAAGCAACATGGACTCATGGACCAGTGCCATCCCTAAAGCACAATTAGCAGAGCAGATTGAGAGCCTCAACTTGATCTTTCCCAAGTTCAAGAAGTAGATATCAAAAATGCGGCAGACGCAAACCCGGAAATATCATAGATATGTTAATTAGTGAGATTGATTGGCGATGAGCTGATGAAAAGTTGATTTGAGTTGGGATGAAGATGTCACACTGGGTCAGGAAATTGAGCTCCCCCCGCATAACAGTGAATAGGACGTGCTGATTGGATCTGTGGAAGTCGCTGGATATCAAAGCTGTGACGAGTCTCTAAAGCTGCGTTAAATTTAGCAGCTGACAGTGAGAAGTCATGTTGTTGACAAGTGTTTGCTGAGGCACATCTATTGAACCTAGAATATAAACGCCAGCATGTGGTTAATTTTGTACACACAAGTATTGACTGAGAATCTTATATCCTGCGTTAAATTGAGGATGATGTAGGCACAGAGGGTCACAGGATCGAGAGCCATCTCCGCTACAATTATGCAAACTTTGCAGAGAAAGAAGATATTTAGTGTTTGGATTCTGAATTGCTTGCTATATTTTATAATCCAGTGCTCTTTCAACAACTATTAACAGATACTTAGTGTTGAGTTCAAATTGCCAATGACTTTTACCTCAAAGAAACAAACACCAAAACATGGCAATAGGAATACATAATTAATAGTAATGATATTTATAATGTTTATTATTATTTGTAATTATTATGATAATGTCCTTCTTTCACTTCATATACAGTGGTGATAAACTATGTAGCCACAGCTGCCCTGGGACACACTGACAGAAGCAAGGCACCCAGCATGTGCCGTAGTGGTTGTAGGGGCCACGGGATCTGGCTTTCGCTTCACAAGTGTGGTCACATATTCCTACAAGCACTAACACTGCTGTTAAATGATTTCAGAAAATTGTTTTCAAACCGGCCTCAAATTACAGTCTCAAACTTCTCTCTCCTTCAAATAAATTGTTTTTGGCCGAACTTTCTTTAAGAGGAAATAGCCACAGAATAAACCATGTGCTTGATGACCATATTGCACTGAACATTCTAGAGGAGAGTCAGGAAGACCTTGGATGTTCCAGAAACAAACTGACTCATCCAAAGGGTATATCATCAGCTATAACAGGGTTGACAAACACAAACTATCAGCCAATCAGCC